GGGACGTGGCTAGCAGCTGCTGCTAGGAGCTCGAGGAAGTGCTACCCAGTGCGGTAACTGGTCATCCGACATTCGTTTAGCAGGTGTTTAGAGAGCACCTACTCTGAGTGCCAACCAAGCATCGCTAAGGCAGCCAGGCAGGTTTTTCCATTTTTCAGCCCCTGTTTCACGAACAGGATTTGGGTTTAGCCCATCAGTTCATCGGTTTCTTTTCTCCTTTAGTGATGCTTTCCATTTCTCAGGAGCAGAACAGTGTTTCCTTGTTCCTCGCAGGGAAAATCAGAGCGCATCTGCTTGCAATTCTGCCGTCTCTGAGCTGGCTCCAATGTCCTCGCTCAAGTCTGCACTGCTGGCTAAGTCCTGCACACGCTGACATTCTCAGTCACATCTGCTCTTTCCCAAATCCCACTCTCCCTTGGGTTACTTTGTTGTCCCATTGATGGAGTTCATGTGCAAAGGACTTCACATGACAGGGTATAAGGCAAGTACCCAAGTCTTCGTATGTCCAACAGTGTCTTGGTGCTGCCCTCACAAGTTACGTGACTAAGCAGAGGTTTCCCCAGTTAGAAGTCACTTCCCCGTGAATTTTGAAGCTATTATACTGCTGCTTCTAGGATGGCCAACAGAGATCTGATGCCACTCTGGTTACTGTTTCTTGCAGGAGACTGTGTTCCCCAAGCCCAGGAAAGCCCTTGGGCTTTCAGCATAGTGCTTATTGTTCTAAAACTTCCAGGTGATGAGGGCCTTTTCCATCGCCCCGCCCCGCCCCTCGACACTGCCCAGGAGGCCCTTTTAAATGGAAAGCTCACAGCTTTTGTTCTGGAAATTTTCATTGTGTTATTTCTTTAATGTTTTTCCCCTTGGCTTTCTCTGCTCTTTCTGGAATTCTTATGACTCTCTTACTGGCCCCACTCTGGACTGATCTCTGTGTATGTGCGTGTGCGTGTGTGTGTGTGTGTGTGTGTATTTAATTCTCTTACATTTGACATATTTTTGCTCCAGGCTTTAGGAGATTTCCTCCAATTCAGCTTACAAGTTCCTATGAAATATTTCATTCCCAAGGGTTCCTTCCCATTTTCTCATTTTTATAGCACCATGTTGTTTAATAAATGTAACATCATCTCATATTTTTTAGTGATAGTTTTGTGGGGTTTTTATGTGACCTGTCAAATTTCCTGACCTATACCTGTTTCCTCCAGAGCCTGTTTTTCTGTGCTTATCATTCTTCATCAAGCCACAGGCTTTCTCAAAGGTTCGGTGACTTCTCAGCTGTCAGGCTGCCCTTTAAAATGAGACAGGAGCGAGGCCGACTGGAAACTCGAAGCGCATGTGGAACCTGCCCACGATCACTGCTCTAAGGCCTCTCGGATGCCGGAATGTAGATGGCCTTGTGCAGGGTACCAGTGACAACCCCATCTGCCCAAGCCTCCTCGGAAAGACCCTTCTGTGCCTTTATAAAAGCCCGCTCTGGTCATTTGCTGGTTGGTTGGTTGGTTGTGTTTTTGTCCGTGGTTGAAGAACCAGTTGCTCTGGGTTCTTGGCACCGGAGTTGAGAAGCAGTGAAGGAGGAGGACCATTTCAAACAGAGAGCTTCACTGTCTTTGTCTTCTCTTCATTCTGGTGACTCAGAATCCCCAGCATCTGTGAGGGTCTACCACACGGGGAGGCTCGCGTATCTTCTCTGTGACCTTCCACGCACAGCCTGGGCTATAGCTTCTTCCACTAAGTGTTCTCCAGGCACTTCCTCTCCCAGAAATTCATTGAAATCACTCACCCTTTTGTTTTCTAAACTGTTTTTGGTATTGTACCTTTTCTATAACTTTGAGTCCTAGGAGGGAAATGAAATAATTGAGTGTACTCAAGTCCCCATCCTAAACCAAGAGCAAGGGTAAGGATTATTTCATTCTACAACTGGAAAACCGAGACTTGTGTGAGTAAGTGACTTACTTGCCTATGATTGCACAGCCAGAAAGAGGAGGGCCAGGATTAAACTTGTATGCTTTCAACGGTGCCAAACTACTACTTCTTGTCCAAACCATGACTCAGCTGGTATGACCTGGAGGCCTTACATACTACTACAATCCTGTAAGTTTCCATAGTACCATAAGATTTCAAAACATTGTTATTTGCATATATAAATGACTCAGAAGCTGCACAGACTAAGAACCGTACAGTGTCGTTTTACAGGTTACGTACCTACGATAAAATGAGAAATCATCAAAGTTGTAAAACAGCAGTTTTGTGTTTTCTGAATCGGGGTGGAGTGCAATGGAGCTTCAGGAAAGAGAACTGATAGGAAGGGCTGGTCATCATTCAGGGCTTGGCATACGAACTGCTCTCAGCTCTGTCGAATCCACTTCAGAAGTTCGCAGTTGGGGAGCACTCGCCCCAAAGTGGTGGGGCAGGTTCCGGAGCACTGCAGTGAAGGGAAGACACCTGCCAGGAAGGCAGGGGCCCACGTTCACTCGGATGCCATTCTCTCACATACATTCAATACTTATTAAGTGACTACTGTGTACAGACACTGCAGTAGGCTCCAGGGAGACTGTCCCCTTCAGTCAAGGTCACCTCCCCAAAAGACAAGGCTTTCATTTTTGGAGACTTCTAGAAATTGAAATTCCACAATATCACACAGGAACACATCCTATTCATAATGGTTTAACATGTAAAGTGTTAAAATTGTTCTAATTCAATCACAAATATAGTAGGAGGGCTTTTGAATGGCTATTTATTCCACAGATCTTTATCCAGCTCCTACCTACTGGGAGCCCCTGGGACTAGGACCTAGGGACACAACACGCAGAACAGAAAATTATTTCTAATATATTTGGCCCATATCCACCAAAAACAATGCTGAAGCATCTACTTTTCTGTTTTTGCAAGGTGAGGCCAAATTAACTATGAAATATAAAGATTTTCTCTTGGTAAGAGCCACAGAAAACTGAACTATTGATGGTGAGTGTGCCGTACGCTGGCATTAGGTTGCTGTGATATTCATTTAGATACATAAACACCGGGGAATATAATTTCACAGAAAATCCTTCTGTTCATAGGATTTGTGGCTGCTTTGCTCTCGCTCTGGCATGGTAGAGAAATTCACATGGAGTCTGAGATGAGTATGTACCCTCTGTCCTCATAGGCAGCACACAAGCCCATGAACTTGGAAGGAGAACAAAGCTTTTCAGTATAATAAACAAAGAAAATGGAAATGAAAAAGTCTGGCTTCCTCTTCTTTGTATCAGCACATCCCAGCTGTCAGACACTGCTGAGCAATCCACTCCTCCTGTGCAGGGACGGTAGCCGGTTCTTATTAAAACAATGCCAAACGGAAGCATGTCTTCATGTTCACGAATAATGGCACAAATGAAGTACGAATGCCACAGATATCACAGAAACCTTTGAAAGTGCAGTATTGCACGTGACTTTTTTGGTCTCGTCTCATCCCACTCTCTCCAAGGGTCCCTGAAATCTCAACAGCAGGCTGACTTCCCAATACACATGGAGAGGAAGAGGCAGACCAGCCTAACAGGCAAGGTAGGTGCAGCAGCCAGGGAGGTCACAGGGAATAAGAAGTACGGCTGCTCAAGTGGGTGCAGATGAGGCTTTAGGTCCCAGGCCGACAGCAAGCGCAGCCCATTGAGAGTGGCTGCGTGGTGCCCGATGGCAGACTTCCACCAAAGGCAGAGTCCAGCCTTCAGGCCCTTGGGTGTAGCCCTGACTTCCACCCAAAGTAAGTTGCAGGACCAGTCCTAACATCGAGCAGCAGAATGCTGCCTTTCTTTGGGAAAACCTAGTAAAGGCATCTGCCTGTGCCCCTTACTGCAGAAGGGCCAGGTTTCCCTGGAAATCGCTACGGTTAGAGAAGACTTGCGGAGGCTGTGGTGGCAGAGTGCAGAGTTTGGAAGAGTCAGAACGAGTTCAAGTTCATCCAGCCCTGCAGGAGTTCATTCCCCTCCCTTGGCCTCGAAATCTGCATCTGTACAATGTGGTAGGCAGAGTGAATCAGAAAACAAAAGTGATTCTAAATCTCTAAAAGGCTCAGCTGGTTGGGCTTCATCCTGGGAAGCGAAAGGTCACCGGTTTCATTCCGAGGTGGGCAGATGCCTGCACTGTGGGTGGGGTCCAGGTCAAGGGGCATGTGGGAGGTGGCAGACCGATGTTTCCCTTGCACATTGATGTTTTTCTCCCCCTTTCTCCCCTTCTCCCCCTCTCTAAAAGTGAGTAAAATCTTTAGTTTAAAATTTTTCCCTCTTTATTCTTTCTTCCAATTAAACAAGATTAAGCTGTAAGAGCATAATCTAGTCCACCTGCTTTCCATACGCTATGATCAACTCACATGCTCCCTGACCAACATGATAAAGTTATCACTAGAAACACACGTCCCAGGGTCAGAACGACACCCCCCCCCGGGTCTCGGCTGCCACGCTGGTCCAAGAGCACACAGTCAACACCCCGATGTCCAGCAGGGCCCTGGACGGCACCCACTGCCCATGCTCCCCATGACGCTCTCTCAGGAGACAATATTCTCCTCTCCAACATGTTTCCTTTTTGCTCAGAACAATGATGGATGGATGAGTGGGTCTTCATTTGACTCCCTACCTGAATAATCAGCTTCTTACAATATTTCTCCAGAGCAGAATAAACTGAGATAATTTTGTGTTGTCACCACAATTCTTCACTGCATAAAAAAGTAAGAGATCACCAACTCCTGCCTGAAAGCCCTTCTGGACCATTTCTCAGGATCACCACATCTGGGTAGCCTAGTACCTAACAGTCCTAATTGACTAAATCAGCCAAACATGAAACAGGTGTCGAATTCTGAAGTGTTTATAACAATAAATTACAATTCAGAGTCGAGTTAGCAGGCTGACTTTGTCCCAGCCCTTGTTAGAATTGCGACTCCCAGGTTTGTGTCAAGTTGGAAACTGCCAATGACGTGTTCAAAGCATGTCATACAAGTCACATCTTGTCATCTTTCATATGCACGAGACCAAGCCCTATTTCATTCCCGTTTAAATTTTATTATCGTAGTTATTCATTAGAAATCAATGGAAATACGACGACAAAGGGGAATGTCAGGATAAATAACCTCTTCCTTATGAATTAAGAAGCGTGCGCACGCAGGGGTCACTCGCTGCGCTGCCCACCGTCTGTCCTGCTGCCCCAACGGCGACACGGCTCGGCCCACAGAGCCCTGCGCGCAGCTGGCACGGCGCCCGAGCGCCACCAGGCGTTGGGCCGATCTGGGCCTAGATGACCAGCTTCTCCACACTGAGCGTGCTGGTGGTCTCATCCTCCTCGTTTGACCCAAAATACCCCGGGAGGTCCAGCAGTCTCTGCTCGGCCTCGGTGAGGCCGAACGAGGTGTTATCATAGAAGGCGAACTCGGGGTGCGCCGGGAAGCTCTGACACCGGTCTTTTCTACCTTGCGAAGGGCTCAGGGGCCCGACCCTGGGGCAGCTCTCTTTGGGGGCGGTGGGCGAAGGCTGCTTCCTCGAGGCGCTCCTGTGACTGGGGGACGGTCCCCTCCGAGCCCTGGGAGGCTCTGCTCGGTCGCCTCCGGCCGCAGATCCGGCCTGGCGGACGCCGGGCTCCGGCTTCCTCACCGGCTGCAACAAGGTGTAGGGTTTAGGGAGAGGGCTCACTGGGCCGCCCGGCCCGCCTGCCCCTGGGGCGCGGTCCAGCGGCCCAGGACCCGCGCCGGCGCCGCGACTCGGGGGCCGCGCGCGGTCCTCCGCCGGCTCCCAGGGCCGCGTCCGCGCCGCGCGGGCCGGCGCCTGCCGCGGGGGCAGGGAGCTCAGGCTCCGCTCCCGGAACGGCCGCGCCTGCTTGGCCTCGTGGAAACTGGCGGTCCTCCGGAAATGCAAGCTCCGGGACTGGCCCCGGTCCCCCGCGCCCGTCCGGCCGCCCCCGGGCCTCGCCTGGGCCTTGCGGATCACGGTCTGGCTGGGGCTGATGGCGCAGGCGGCCTGCGCGCCGGGGCCCTGCAGCCGGGAGGCCGGCCTGTCCGCGGGCCCGGCCGCCGTCGGGTCCACGAACGGGGACTTGAGCCGGAACTTGGGCGCGGCGGCCTCTTCTGGGCTCTCCGGGTCCAAGGGCAGGTCGGTGGGCGGGGTGGCGGCCGCCTGCACGGCCGTGTCGGTCAGGGGGCTCTGGGACACGTGGTAGACCTTGGTGGTCTCGGTCAGGCCCTTCTGCTTCATCTCCTTCAGCTGCTGCTGGGCCAGCCGGTAGCTGAACAGGGGCGGGATGATCTTCTGCGCGCTGGACTGGAAGCTCTCGCTGCCCGAGGCCTCGTCGTCGGGCGCGGCCGGCGCGCCCGGCCTGTAGGTCAGGGGGATGCCCGGGTCCCCCGCCGGCCCGTCCCCCGCGTCCGAGAAGCTGCCGCGCGGCTCGCCCAGCTCGCCCAGCTCGCAGATGGTCTCCTCGTCCGAGTTCTTCCGAAAGCCGGGCGAGTGCGCGGAGCTGAGCCGGGCGGGGGTGCTGCACTTCGGGGGGCGCCCGAACTTCCTCCACAGCGTGATGAGCACGGTGGCCACGATGATGAACAGGCACAGCGATATCCCGGTGACCGTCACAATGTTGTTGGACTTCTCGGGGCCCTGGGGCTGCAGAGGCGGCGGACTGGAGGCGTGGAGCGCTACGGGAAAAGGAATAACAAATACGTGTTCTGGCCATTCTCTGGGGTGGTTTTCTCGGAGTGGTGTTAAGATTTCGTGGTGGCCTGCTCTCATCATCTAGCAGTTAAAGAAAGAAGTAAACTAACCAAGGGCTAGGATGTGCAGTCTTGCCTAGTCTCTCTGCTGGCAGCTTAAGCCAAACTGAAAACCGGAGGCCCGTAGAAGCCAGGTGACCCCATGAGACACTAAGGGCCCTGGGCTCCCAGGTCCTGCTGGCTCTTGCCTCCAATCTGCTACCACGCAGAAGCAGCCTGAGGAAAGTTTCCCGGAAAAATCAAAGTTTTCACTTAAGGTACACGGGATATCTGCAGTTAGGTGTACCTTTGAGGTGTGTACATCGGGAAATTCTTACAAGTGTGAAACTCGATATGCAGTACGATTTAGGTAGGTTGTACCTGAATTAGCACCTGTCAAGGGAAACTCATCTGTGAACAGGGGTGTGTGACAACGTGGTTACGTAGTCACTGGCCAGGTCCCTTCAAAACCACGGCTGGAGAAAAGCCCCAGGGGGCCCTTCACAACAGGGACATGTCCTGTCTGTATGTTCCCAACCCCAGTAACGGTAACTTGAACATGGTAACCTGCACATGGTAACTCTTCAATAAATGGAAGATTAATTAATCTGTTGATTCATTATTAAAAAGGTCAAGGCAAAACAATCGCTACCCCACCAGACAGAATGTGGGTGCCATGGCACATGGATCTCCTGCTCTTGTGTCAAACAAGATGAACCAAGTTAACACAGAACCAGACTCGGACCTCGACGTGAAAACAGCCTTTCCAAGCCAAACGAAACTCCAAACTCTCAACCGAGGGAACACAGGGGAATGATGAAAGGCGTTTCCTGACTTGTCACTTCTTCCATCCGCTGTGGCCGCTGACACCAGGGGGCAGCGGCAGGGCTGCTCCACTCTGCAGGCCCTTCCCTTTGCTGCTGTCTGCAACCTGGCCGGGTCCCCTCCAAACCACAGCTGGAGAACAGCCCCAGGCTGCTGCCTTGCCCTCCTCTGCCCCACCCTGTCTTTCCTCTTCCGCCTGAAATGAAGGTGGTTTCCTGATGCTCAGCAGCCTGCGAATAGATCTGTTTCCAAGGAGGGGAAGACAGGTTGCATAGGAAAAAGTGAACACTGGGAAGAAATTAGCATATTTATCCACAGCAGCGTTTATCTGAGGGCCGTGTGGAGAAGAAGTGGGGCGTCTGTACCACTCACCCTTTTGGCTAATCTATTACATACAAATTTCTAGTTCCCACCCAGCATTAAAGAGTTAAGATGCCAGAACATGAAATAACACCACATGTCCTCAAAAATTATTGCTAGTTTCGGGCAGGGGAGAACAATGGGAGGAAAATGGGACAACTGCAATAGCACAACAATAAAAAATTAAAAAAATGAAATTTCAAAGATTAAAAAAAAAAAGATGGCTAGTTTCAGGTGGTTGTTGGTTCTAGAAGCTACCCTGGTCTGAATACAAAGGCAAAGTACTCAAGATAGGTAGCTCAGTATGGGGTCAGGTCCAGTCCCCCTGCTTTCCAGTTTCATGGTCTTGGGCGGGCCACTTGCCCCTGCTAAGCCACAGAGTCGTCCTCTGCATGCGGGATGATGAAGCACCTACTTCATGTGTGCGAGGCCCTAGGAAAATGCCTGGTCAGCCGGAAGCTCTTAGGATCGAAGCCCGGCATCATTATCCTTCTTTGTGAGCCTCAGGTGAGACAATGCAGTTCAAGTTCGGCCGGCACATAGCAGACAGTCCACAAATGGTTGATGTGGCTGTCACGTCAACAATATCAAGGTGCAGTTCAAGGCAGTGGCAGTTGACTTTAAATTCATTTGATGATTATGGAACTCCAGATGAAGTGTCTTACCACAACATGCCATCTCAAAATTCAGAGGAACAGGTGTATTTGGAGAAAGTGATACACAAGGAAGGAACAGTGTGGAAGTGAACTTAAAAAGAAAAGAGTAGCCTTGGCAGGCAATATGAAATGAAACTGGAGAAAGAACAGATTTGGGATGTGGCCCTCTAAGAGGCCTTATGAAAAAAAGAGGGGCAAGCTCAAGGCTAGAAGAGCCTGGGTCTGAAGCTGTAATAGAGAAAACACAGAGCCCCAGCTGGTGTGGCTCAGTGGATTGAGTGCCAGCCTGTGAACCAAAGGGTCGCTGGTTCTATTCCCAGTCAGGGCACATGCCTGGGTTGCAGGCCAGGTGCCCAATAGGGGGCGTGCAAGAGGCAACCACGCACTGATGTTTCTCTTCTTCTCTTTCTCCTTCCCTTCCCCTCTCTCTAAAAAATAAATAAATAAAATATTTCTAAAAAGAAGAAATAAAACACAGAGGAGAGACCATCCTTAGGATACTGGAGCAAAGGGAAGAGGGACTATAGCACTGGCTACAAAGACAAGACAGCGAGAATGATTCTCTCAGGCCACAGGCCCAGACACTGACCAAGGTGTTGCCTGTAGTTTTGGCTAAAAGCTACCCTGCGATCTAAGCACAGAGAAACATCTACTGTCCCCAAATAGGAATAGGACAAGGAACCAGGGATGGTTTCCTAACCTGGAATTGAAAAGTGGAGACAGTCAGGGCTTGGCCGGAGGACTTTCTCTAAGGGTCAGGACCAGAGCGAAGGCCAGCCCCCTCAACAGGACGGGTTATGTACCGGAAGGTGGAAGGGTGTGTGAGGGGAGCGAGGGTTCGTTATTGCTGGAACCTGTGGCAAACGAGTGGGATTCAGCTCCATGAGCTAAAGCGAACACGATGGAACCACGTAAGCATCACATCTAGAGACAAGGACATCGATGCTCACTGAGCACCTACCAGCGTGTGCCTTTGTGACAATCCCAGGATGAAGGACAGGCCAGTCTCCAGGTGACGGCAGGAATGACTCCCCCCACCTTCCCCTCCTGGGCTGAGCTGGTGAAGGACACCTATGGGGCCATCCTGGAGGTAAGACAGGGGGACTTGCCCCATTTTGACAAAAAAAAAAAAATGCTCTCCTTGGAGCATTTCTTGGAGCTTCTCTGGGATGAATTTTTAAACTTTAAAGTTATTTCACAGAAAGAATTTTTAAATTTTAAAGTTATTCCACAATTTTGGTGGAAAGAGAATGAAAGGAAGTAGAAGTAAAATAAAAGTAAAAACAAAGGGAAAATTGGGGGGGAAACAATCATCTCTTCCATTTTCATAGGTTTAAAAATAATTTTGTATGTCTGAACCTTTAATGTAGATACGTGTCCTTGTCATTTCACAGTCTTCCACAGTGTTAAGTCCCCTGGCGGCTCACTGGCAAGCTGTCCCCAGTCCCTGACGCACTGGTGGACACGGATGGATTCACACAGCCGACGGCAATCACAGGACGTTAATGCGTCCCCTCCTGAACGCAGATTGGTGACTGTCAGGCAGACGCTGGCTCCACAGCCTCTCTGGGGAGAGGCCCCACAGGAGAAAGGACACCTACCCGCACACTCCTCCAGGGAGCACCGGGAGGTCTCCGAGGACATTCCGGGGCAGCCGGGCTGGGCAGGGAAGGACGTCAGGCACAGGCGGCGACGCTCTCGGACCCCGTCCCCGCAGGTGGCACTGCACCGGCTCCACGGCTGCCACAGGCCCCAGGTTTCTGCAAGGACATTAGCCAGGCGTTTAATGTGAGTTCACTTGAGAATCAGGACTGAACTGCAACCCCATGAAGCAGCAAAACTCAACTCCTGGGTCTTGACAAGTAAGTAAAACATTCCCAAAGATGTTAGAAAGCTGGAAAGAGCGTTGTTGCTCCAACCCTTAATATGAAGAGCTGTATATACAGCAAAATATTAACCTTTCTAGAACCCATCACAGGGCAGCCAGATAGCCTGCAATTTAAGGAAAGACAGGCTCCTCTAAGAAAAGACCGATGCAAACACGGCTTCCTGGGCAGGTGCCAGGCTTCACACGAGCTGGGGAGCAGAAGCCACTAAAAATGGAATGGGCCGCCTATGAGGCCGGCGAGAAAACCCGGAACCGCTGGGAGCCAGACACTCCAGGGGGGTTTGTAGCCACCTTCAGGCTCTTCCCCACCGATCTCACCCGATGCTCCCAAGAAGGACTGAGGGGAGGCGCAGGACCAGAAAACCCCATCACTCTGAGAGCACCTGGCGTCTCTACGGAATAAAAAAAGAAGAAACCCTTTGCTCCTGGAGAGGAGCAGAAAATATCTGGGCCTGGTTTGTTTCAGGGCTCCTGCCACCAGGGAGGGGCAGGGTCATCAAGGCCCTGGCCCTGAGACTCAGGGCACAGCACGCGCCGAAGACTAAGGCCGAACTGGCACAGGCGTGTGCTCTCTGGCTCTGACAACCCATCCCCAACCCTGCGCCCGTGAGCAATGGCCAAGTATCAAAGAATGACAGCCTCCCACCGCGGCAGGGGCAAGAGGATGCGTCGAAACCTCTCTGCTGTGCAGACTCAAGCCTACAGCTGAGGAAAGCCCTCCAGCCACCCGAACCCCACCCCGATCACAAAGCAACAGAGGAAACTTTGGACTCTGCTGTGCATGGATGGTTGCCATAACAACAGCAGAACCCAAACACAGCTCAACTTTTTACCAGAGCTGTCTGGCAGCAATGACCCAACGAATGGGAGCAACGAACTGTGAGTGTGTGGTTACAAGGGCCTTCTCACACTACACGGGAAGCAAAATCATGTTATTCGAAGGCCGAGTGAAAGTAATTGGCTGTATATTGTAAAATCTAGGACAACTGCTAAGATGCATTTTAAGATATAAACAATAAAACAATCGCATAGTTTAAGTAAATGCTTAAAAAAATTCAATGAACCCAAAAGAAGACAGAATAAAAGAGAAGAGCAGATCAAATAAATATAAAATTAGTAAGATGATCTTAATCTAACCACTTAATGATCACACTAAATATAAATAACCAAAATACACCAGTTAAAAGGCAGAGATTGTAAGACTGGGTTTAAAAAGAATGACCCAACTATGTACTGTTTAAAAGAAACTAGCTTGAAATGTAAGTACATAAATATGTTAAAAAGTAAAAGAATGGGAGAAGTTATACCTTGTGAACATACAGTACACAACAGACACTTCTCCCAAAGGTGCTCAAATGGCCAACAGATGAATGAAAAGATGCTCAACTTCACTAGCCGTTAGGGAAATGCAAATCAAAACGAGAAGGAGATGCCACCTCACACCTGTTAGGAGGGCTACTATCATCAAGATGGGTAATAGCAAGTGTGGGAGAGGTTGTGGAGAGAGAAGCCCTCATTCCCTGCTGGTGGGAATGTAGACTGGTGCAGCCACTATGGAAAACAGCATGGAAGTTCCTCCAAAAACTAAGGATAGAGTTCTCATACGACCCAGCAACCTCTCTTCTGGGAATCTGGCTGAAACGTTTGAAAATGTTTACTTGCAAAGATACACGCACCCCTGTGTTCACTGCAGCTTTACTCACGGAAGCCAAGACATGGAGACAACCGAATGCCCTTTGATAGAGGACTGGATAAAGACGGTGTGGTTAATCTGTACAATGGAACACTGCACATTAGAAAAGACGAAAATGGGCATTTGCAACACCAGGGGTGGTCCTGGAGAACAGCATGCTAAGCGAAATAAGTCACTCAGAGAAAGCTAAGGATCATATGATTTTACCCACACGTGGGACATAAAACTGAAACTCACAGACTCAGACAACAGCGTGGTGGTTACCAGAGGGAAGGGGTGGGAAGGTCGTGAAGGCAAAAGGGGCCAAGTATGTGTCGATGGAAGATGATTTGACTTTGGGTGGTGGGCACACAATACAATTCACAGGTCACGTACCATAGAAGTGTACACGTGAAGTCTATATAACGGTATTAACTAAAGTCTCCCCAGTAAATTTAATTTAAAAAGATTTCAAAAAAGAAAACCGGAGTGGCTATATTAATATCAGACAAAACAGAGTGAAGGAGGAATATTATCAGTGACAAAGAGGGACATTACATGGGACAAAAGGGCCAACTGAGCAAGGAGCATTAGGCTTTAACAGCACTAACCAGGCACACACCTAACAGCAGAGCTTCGGAATACATGCAGATCACTTCCATTTAGCTGTTGACAGCTAAATGCAAACATCTCTTCCAAGCACGCACGCAATGACTGCCAGATGGAACAACTGAATCGTGCCGTCTAAAGAGTTACCCTATGTCCCTTCTCTCTCAGCACCCATGCAGCAGCGGGCCCAGCCAGCTCGTCAAGCCCGCGCTAGGCTCCAAAACATCCTCTGCATAAAGGCCTCCCTTCATCTCCTTTATGAGCAACGCCTCACGATGCAGTCAAAGGTACGCAGAGCACTACAAAAACAAGGAGACACATTCTCAGGTGAGCCAAGGGGAGCGATCCTGGGAATGAGTCATGGAAGAGGAGTTCTTTACACCAATTAGAAGTCTCTTGGCTTCACACAAGAGTAGGAAAGTTACAAACCTGTACCCTGGACAAACATAAACTGAGGTGTGGTAATTGTGTTCCACCCAGAGGTTCAACTGAACACGACATTGGTTGTGTGCCTCCCGGACCACCCTGCGCCATGCAAATGGCAGAACAGGGGCCCAGCTCTGTCCTTGGGCTTCAGAGCTGTTCAAACACTAAGCCCCCGGCGTCTGCAAAGCTTTGAGAATCTGACATTAGAGTCTCTGAGACGTCAGGTATCTTTGAAAAATCTACTGGGAATTCCACTACTGTGAAATCTGAAAGGAAAATTAAGTCAACGTGTAGTTTATCCTTTTTCTTGTGCTCATATTTAAGACCACGGAAGACTGGGGCAAACACCAGTCAGCGTTTAGACGGTGAGCGGAAGGGTCTGGGGAAGGCCCAGCAGCCGGGAGAACCAGCAGCTTCCAGACTCTCTCACCACCTGGCCCAAATGCCTGGGCTCCCCTTGGTTTGAATCTCTATTAAATTCAGTCCTGTTGAATTTCTTTCCTCTTAACACGCAACTTCTTCAGAAAGGGCAAGCCCATCTTGAATGATTTTAATGAGTTTAATATAATTGTTTTTTTTACTAATACGAGACTAACCACATCGAAGATCAATTTTCACTCTAATCAACATGTATGGAGAACCTGTTAATGCGCCAGGCACACTAAGCAAGCCAAAGAAAAATCATAAATAGCTTCGTGGCAGCACAGGTTGGCTTTTGCCCCCCAAACGAGCTTCCCCAATCAGAGGGGCGGGGGGTGGGGCGGAGGGAAGGCATCAGGGGAAGGAAGACCTCGAACAAACACTGAGAGAAGTGGTAAATGCCACGAGAGACAAGCTAAGGATGCTGTGCCAGCTTTCGGCAAGGCGATTTAACTAGTCTGCATTGAGAACAAGTGACCCTAGTGGAGACTGGGGGACGGGTGAATGTCAGACCGCTTAAGGTGATGAGGGTGTCCCAGGCTCACAGCCAAGACGGTGGGGTGGTCAGTGTGGCCATGGAGGACCCTGTGGATCCCAACCTCCTGTCAAGCGAGGTGACTGACAGGCTTTAAGTGGGGGACAGCCTCTGCTGACCTCTGAATTTTAAACAACCCCTCTGGCCTCAGAGACAGAATGAAGTGGATGGGGGAAACCAACTAGGAGCCTGCTGCAAGAATTCAGGTAAGGGATGATGGAGGCTTAGGCCAGCTGGTGTCAGTGAGAGAGGGGAGACGTGGAGAAATTCAGACATTTTGTGAGATTCCAAGGGTCCGGGGTTTTGACTGAGGGAGGCATTAGCAGAGACGGTCAATTGGAGCTCCAGGGAGGGTTCCCCATTGGCCAAGACAGCAGCAGGGGGAGGTCCTTACACTGAGCTCTCCAAAGGCTAGAAAGATGAATGGACAGGGCCCAGCCCACCAAAAGACGGAAAGATAACGGAGTAGGAGAAAAAGCCCTCCCCTCCTTATCTCTACAGGGAATGGTGGGCTTGGGCAGAAAATAAGGTGGTCTTTGAGACAGGCGTCCACCATTCTCCCAGGTCACGTGGCACCTGAACAAATCTCTTCCCTTTGGCACCGGCACCTGCCTCACGAGTTTGGCTTTTGTGGCAGTAGGTAGCCGGACCTGCATCTTGATTCGTTACAGAACCAGCAGGCTGTCCAGGAAGGACAGCCGGGAGGCAGGAGGCAGAAGGGCAAGTGCGACATCACAGACTCAGGTCAGTGAAGATCCACAGGCTGAAAACACCCGTGGACCTGGGGACCTGGATGCCACCCACTGGCTGTGTTAGTGACGGCGTTTGCTGGGGAGGGGTGCTGGTTTGAGGGCTAAAAAGTAAAGGTGAGGTGTGGACCTGAACCCCAAAGTCTTAGGTGACTTTTTCAAGTACCTGGGCTATAAAAAGAAGAAAAGATTACCAGGGTGATTTCTGAGGAAAAACCAGGTAATAAGGGGTGGTTTTGCTTCGTTTTTAGATATGAGAGTTAAGTACAAAGCTGATGGGAATAAGCCAGCAAAGAAGGGACGGTTAGACACAGAGGAGAGGGAGGGGATAATCAGCAGAAGGTTCCTGAAATGGGCAGAGAGGCAGGGCTCCGCAGTGGAGGGAAGGGTTGACTGTGTGCTGGAGGAATGTCACTTCCTCCCCAGCGGCAGCAGGATGTGAAGAGGATGGGACCGATGCCCATGGGCTGAGACTGTGGAGGGAGGAGCAGGGAGCTTGCACCTTGTGGCTTCCAGCTGCTCGGTGTGGCAGGAGGCAAGGTCAGCTCTGAGAGTTGACTGGGGGCAGCGGTGAGACTGCAGGGAAGCAAGCAGAGGAGGTGGAGGGGTGAGGGTGGAGCACAGAGGCGGGGCCAGCCAGGGCGCATTGCTGGGCACGTGGTGGGCCCCTCTGAGGGCGAGGCATGACCCACCCACACTGGCCCCAGTCTGCCCCCGTGTTCCCTTCCCGTGCAGCCTCCGTGCAGTGCGTGACCAGCAGTTGGATGGATCCAGGCAGAGCTGAGCTGTGGCCTGGCAGGTGCGTCAGAAAGACAACAAGGCAGAGTTTAGGATGTCAATAGTAGAAGAATTGATGGGATGGGCCATATAATCTAGGCAGGGCAACGGCCAGGGGGTGCACAGACACGCAAAAAAAGGGACGTCTTCTCAGGAGAGGAAGTGGATGAACCTGGAACAAGAGACGATTGGAGTCACAAAGGCAGTGGGAGGCTTGGGCTGTGATAGGTGTGCAGCGTGCTGGGGTTGAAGACAATATCTGGCTTCAACCCCAGCAATACCTGCCAAGTAACCCCCTTGCCCAGACCTGGCTTGCACCCAGGAAAAAGGGAAAAAATTCTAAGAGGGACATAGGGCATGGGGCATAGGGCATGGGGCATAGGGCATGGGTGGAATTATAATAACCCATTTATGATAATCAGGTAGGGCATTATGCAAAGAATTCAGAATTTGAAGGAGTGTTTAGGAATCTTGTTCTGAAATCTCACTGAGGAGGCGTCGTCCTTACAGTGAAGGACAGTGGACTCTCAGCTAGAGCAAGCCAGTGAGTTACTAAACACAGCCTGGGATTTACCTCTGATCTGTGATCACACCTGCCATGGACTCCCCGTGGGGTGGGACAATGGGACATCAGTGCTGTTATGGGGAGCGAGCCCTGAAAAGGATGATATAGTTCATGGAGATTCAGTTCAGCTAAGTTCAAAATAATGATTTCACCACAGCGAGGCATCAATTTGATTTTTTAAAAAATTAAATCTCAATACCAACCTATGTTTCTCTGAATCAGCACACACTCCTTCTCCTTTGTGGAAAATGGGCTTCTGCCCGAAACGCCAAAATCGAAGCAGTATTTGTTCCTCCCCTTGTCGAACAACGTGCAGTTGAACACCGTCTTCCTCTGTCCCAGGCTCAGGCTGTTTTCGGCCAGCCGCGCGGTCCCTTCCCCTGGACGTCTGGGGGCCTCCTTGAAGACTGAAATCACTCCCTGGACATAGATGCAGGGTGGGGGCAGCACCGTCACCTCCACCCCAGACGCACAAGTGAGTTCCGGCACCATCGCCAATTTGTATCCGAATTTCTGGGCCAGGTCAATGGGTCCAATGGAGGTGATGACTGAGTCCCGGCCAAGCAACTTCAGCACCACAGTGACATAGGCTTCTGGCCCCACAGGGGCGCAGCCGAACTCAACCCACTGACCTTGGGTGAGTTCTGCCTTCTTGCTGGCTCTTATCTCCAGGGGCTGCCCCTGACTCATTCTAGCCTCGGGAAGACTGTTGGTGAAGATGACATCCACCAAGAGGTCAGGCTTGTCCCCTGGGAACAGGCAGAGCGGCTGATCGGTGAAGAGGCCCACCTGGAAGGTGCCTTCAGCTGCCTTGGCAGTCCTATTCAGATCCACGTGAAAGACGGGCCACTCCACCTTCAGGAAGGCCCCTTTCTCCCAGCCGGGAGCTGGCACACTGCTCCCCGCCGCTCCCTGGGTCATGGTGAACCAGTAGTCACCGGCCTCCTTGAAGTAGAAGCATTCGAACTCGAGCGTCCCCTGGGACTGGTTGGTCAGGAGGTGTTTGGTGGTCACAGTCTGGTTGGTGCTGGCCTCCAGCACCAGCACGGACACGTTCCTCAGGGTCCCGTCAGCGCCGTCAGGGCACTGGAAACCCAGGGACACGCTGGTGTTGCTCAGCGCCACATGTCCCGGCTCTCCCAAGAGCAGGTACTCGGCTTCCCCAAGAACTGCAACAGAACAGTCAGAATGGGTTTTACAGAGGGACGTTGGAGCGGCACAATGAGGGACATCAAAGGAAAAAATCTCTGTAGGCGCAAGGAAGCTGGAACTGAGCCAAGGATGAAATAAAAGGATGCTAAGTGCTGATCTGGGAGCCACTCTGTTTCCACCCTAAAGTGCTCTGATCCTTTATCTTCATCTTATTTGGTGAGGTTTTAAAGAAACACCGCTGAATACTCTGACTATATCCACAAGGAAAATCTACAAACAAGAGTAACGATTCACAATCACCCAGATAAAATCCAACGCCTCACTCTTCTCATTTTAATCGTATTCTGGGGGTTAGGGATTTGGGGGGGAAAGGATTCACAGCGAGGTGAAAGCTTGGTTTGAATAATATAACAAAAACTGCTCTAGAGTACTTAAAATGTAAGACCCCACAGATCCTTCAAAATTATTATTTTCTGACATACAAGTATTTAGTTGGGCGTTTTCACCCTAAAGAAGCTAGTGCCCTTTGTTTCTTTATGAAGCAGAAATTTTTAGACACATAAGAAATGTTGACACTCTGTTCTCTGTGGGTCACCCAAGGAGAGAGTGACACTTGTCCCTGGCAATTTTAATAACGTCACGACTGCTATTGACCCAGATAGGAGAGACAGCTACTGGCCCACAAGTGCCCCTGTTAGGATCAATCACACCTTTTTAAAGAGACCCATCAGAGAAGCTAAAGTAAAGACTGGAAAAAAAACATCACACATGGAATCTTTGTTTCTATTTTGAACCCTATCCAAATGCATATTAAAAAAGACAGACTGTGGCAATGCCGCAAACGGCTGGCCCAGGGCTGGGGTAAGGAGCAACTCCAGATGTCAGGGACCACGGTGCCCTTCTGGTGTGAAAAACAACACGTGTAACTACGCAGTCATCTATCTTACTGCATATATATACAATATAGACACATCATACCATATATATATATATCTCCAAAGGCCCTCAATGTGTTGTTTGGCAGTGTTAGTAGTCTTTAAATATACCCTTCCATGTAGTCCATCAATGATGATTAGAATCAGCACATGAATATATTCGCATATGGAGATTTGGGGGTTCTTTTAATTAGCTCTGCACTTCTTCCATTTCTTATTTAAGATAAGGTGAAATAAAAGATATAAAACTGGGACAGTCCTGAACACTTGATCACCACTTGCTTGAAAACCCTGGTAGGATAGCCCTTTACAAAAATTATTTAGCCAAGAAATTGAAGGATACTTCCTTTCAAATGGAGACAGTTCAAGGTTAAGGTTGAAAAAGGTGGCTGATTCTGGTACCTTTTTGTGAACAGGTGGCTGAAGAGCCTCCAGTGATCACCAGACGAAGATTAAGAGGCACATACCACTCAGTTCACTAATGAGAGCCTACTGCCCGTGACAGGGATTGTCAATGAGGCGGATCAGATTCTGATGTGATAGGCAGCCAATCAGAGAGAGAGAGACATGCCCAGCTGGAGATGAAGAGAAAAGATGCAATGGGCTCCAGCATAGTGTACTCTCACTTTTACAGATGAGAATACCGCTTCACGTAGGAAACTACAGTTTGACTGCCTGCCGTCCTGATTACTACAGTGTGGTTTTCTCTGTTCATTTCTTCCCTCCCCATTCTTTCACTGTGTTTAAAGACACTGGTGTCTCCATATAAACACGTTGCTGGCTTATTTGGATCAACATCAAGTGGAGGAAGGAAAATGAAAACCCAGGTCAATGAAAATACCTCCTCTTCCCTCAGTAGTAGCTCATGCACTCAACATTTATGCTCTGTGCTCTATTTTACACTCATTCAATTTTTATTTTCCTATTCCAGTGAGATACTTTGTGCTCAACAGTGACAAACATCTTTGCAGACTTGATTTAGGTAGAAGATGTTGTCTTTCTTTATCACTGTGAAACCAAGGACACTGTTACCATTTTTTTGTATGAGGTTGTCACAGTCAGAACAGTCTGTTCTTAAGTAGGGGTGAATGCCTTTAAAAGGAATGAGTCCCAGATCGGTTTTCCTTCAACTGAGTGTCTTCTTTTTAAAATACACTTCTTAAAAAAGAGACGATGACTGAGGACGGAGATCCACTAGGACCAGTGCTCATTCCAGTGCGTTTGCCTGCTATGCCGCTGGTATTACACAAGCCAGGATTCCCTTTCTCTGGGGTCATAATTTTTTCAGGAGAATGAAAACAATTTCTATTCTCACACCATCAACTGCTTAGATGTTTATGAAATAATTTGGAAATCATCCAAGTTAGCATTATATTACTGAATCTATTGGTTCGGTAGTTTCATGTCTGAGAAATGAACTCAATATTCAGTTGAAACAAACTGAATGAAGAAAACTAACAGTCAACGCCTACTGTATGCTCAGCCGTTCAAGGTGGTTCACATTATTGATTATATTTTACCATCACGACAACTCAGTGAAGTCGGTATTGCTGCGAAGGTGGAAAGGGATTAAGACATTCATCCAAGGCACACAACTGGCAAGGACTATGCCAAATCTGAATCGCTTCCAAAGATATTCTAGCAACAAGACTCTCCTGTCAAGTGACATTTTATGTCAAACCCCCATAGAGCTCTCACTGGTGTGGCTCGGTTAACTGGGCATCATCCCACAAAGTGAAAGGCTGTTGGTTCAATCCCCGATCAGGGCACATGCCTGGGTTACGGGTTCAGTCCAGGCCCCAGGAGAGGCAGCCAATCGATGTTTCTCTCCCTTTCCTGCTCTCTAAAAATAAATAAATAAATAAAATCTTTTAAAAACTCCCAATATGTGCAACATCATTTCATGTGTGTGTAACAGGCTGGTCTCCAAAATTTGTTAAATTGAAAGTGAGTTCTTTTTTTTATTACCTATTTGCACCAATGATGCCGAACCTTAAAAGAACCCAGGGTTGCAAGGACCACCGTGTAAAAGCACTCCACTGCCCTGCCCCCCTCGTTCAGGGCCATGGACACCAAGGCATTTGTAAAGGTCACAAATCTGGGTCTCGATCCCCGTGGCGTTATCAGACTCACAACACTCACCGTAGTCACACAGCACCACCAACAACAGATTCGAGAAGTCTTTCAGCCTTGGTTTCATTCTGATCGGCAGAATCCCAGGGCTTTGGTCTCCTCATGTCCTTTCTCACATCAAAATTGTGAACGTTTTTCCCCTGAAAACACCTGAAATTAGAACCTCAGAAAAGTGACGTGACCCTTAAAATAGTAATGGTGAAATGACAAAAACCATTCTATTAAGAAGTCCAACTTCCTAGGCGAGAGTGAAAGAAAATGGGAAGGACAGCAATAGTCACTGGGGACGTGATCTGTAATGACACACTTCCCTCCTGTTGCATGAAAGCCCACCTGGTGAGAACATTCCGGACGCCCAACACCAAGGTTATCTTTACCGAACATCTTTGCAGCACGTCCTTAGTGGAGAATTTGCTGTTAGTTGCTTAATTTCCTCGAAGCTAATAGCGGATCCTGATAATACATCTTCACCTATTTATCTGTCTGGAACTTCATACAGATTTAGTACAGTTTAGTGAAGTTACTAAATTTTTGCCAAACTTTCACTTTGCACTATGCTGTGTAGACACAATCCTGCAAGTCCTGCCTTGCTTCCAGAAATGGATGTACTGTCTTTCCTACACAATGGGTGTGTTATCTGAATTGCTTCATTCTGAATGCCCAGGAGCTATACCAAAACGATCAGACCATTAAAAGTGATACCCAGGGTATTGCAGTTCAATGTGAACTTCACGTGGCCTGAGCTGCCTGTTCTGGGCACTCGAAAAGAAAGCAGGGCCCTGGCCTCGTGGCTCAGTGGGCTGGAGTGTTGTCCAGTACATCAAAAGGTTGTGGGTTTGATTCCCAGTCAGGGCATAGACCTAGGTTGCTGGTTCCAATCCTAATCGGGGTGTGTATGGGAGGAAACCGATCAATGTTTCTCTCTCTCTTTCTCTCTTCCCCACCCGCTCCCTCTCTCTCTAAAATCAGTAAACATTTCCTTGGGGGGGGGGGGGTGGAGCAGGGAGAGAAAACAGAGAAACAACAGTTAGCATCATGTGTTATTCTTCTAGTAGCATCATGTGTTATTCTTCTAGTACTTGTCGCGGCTAGTCCGCATCAGGAGATGGGTGACTTCATGCAGCAACCTTCCTGGACCACCTGGGTGCGCAGGAAAAACCTGGCCGGCCAGGGCTTCCCAAGGATCTGTGGGAGGAGGCACTCACTTTGATATAAAAACTGTTGGACTGTGGAAGAAGATGCAGGGTTTTTTTCATACGAGAACTTAGTGAACTGTGGAGTACTGAACATAACCAAACATATATTTTAATGTTCATATTCCCTTTATTCAGTTAATAATTTTAATAAATATATTTATTCCAAATATAAGTGTGCGATATCCACTCAAATGAGAGAGAAAATAATGGAATTAAAGGGACTGATTAAAATAATAAAATTCAAGGGAAAGACAACCGATGATGTGTCTCTATGAGCTTCCTTTCAGTGGGAATTGGCTGAACAAAGGAAATACTGAACTTCCTTAAAGGGAAGCAGAGATTTAAGGCATAATTATGCAGATGATTAGAATTCCCTTCCCTTCCCCAACAGGAAAAGAAAATCCACTTGCTGGACTTGGGCACAGATCTGACCTCTTTTTTTTTTTTTTAACACAGACTGGGAAGCTTGGCCAAAGACAGTAGGTGAGCATCAAGTCCACCCCCCACCCCCCCACCCCCCACCACCACCGCCTCCACTTCCCGCAAGCCTGGGGCCTGGGGCGATTCAAACGCTTCCCTTAAGTCAGCGGTACTCAGTCCCCAGTGAGTGTCAGGAAGAACAAGGCATCCCCAGCTACCAAAAGTTGGACTGGCTTTTCCAAACTGCTTGTTTCCCCATGACGACTATTTTTTAAAGAGGCTCCTAATGATTGCCCCAGCAGGGTGGTTCGGTTGGAGGCTCATCCCCGTACACCAAAGGGTCACGGGTTCATTCCCCGGTGAGGGCACATATTTAGGTTGCTGATGGATCTCTGGTCTGGGTGCACCTGGGATGCAAGGGATGGTTCTCTCTCTCATCAGTGTCTGCTCCCCCTTCTCAAATCAATAAATGTATCTGCTGGCGAGGGTTAAAAAAGCAGCAGTAGCTCCTAATTACAATGGCCTATGATTATAACACATATTCCTCCTTAAGAAAATGACTGGTAAAACCTAGAACAGTGTAATAATCTACATTTAGTACTGAATAGAAATGGAATTGTAAAGTGAACCAGTCTACCAGAAATCATGATATGGATTTTTTAAATATTCTCAAGCTGAATTTTTACAAGCTCAACCACTAATTTGAAGACTTTAACAGAACATCCCAAAATAGAATGAATTGCTGGGTAAAATCACTACATTTCAAGGAAAAAAAGCATACTTTTTTTTATGTGTAAACTTACTTGCTTCACTTATCACAATGTGTTGTTTCCAATACAGTGCTTGCTACTTACAAAGTTTGACTCGAGAATCGTTTGGAGAAAAGAAGAACTTAGGTGATTTCACACACATTTAAAAATACTTCTAGATAGCATTCACGGACATGACCGTTTACAGACACATTTTAAATGTTTCGACTCCAGGGGAGGCAGAAGTTGTGAATATTCTCAATGACTAACGGTTTCACACCAAGCTTAGATTCCATGTTTTTTGGTAAAACCAGCTAAGATAACCCCCCACAGGGCCTTCCTAGTTGCAGAAAAAGACAATAAATGACCCTAAAGGATTAAGAAAGGATAAAAGGGACAAGAAAAAGAAGCAAAATGAGTCTGTCGCTTCCCACAAACCTGCACACGCTCGTGTGTATACATCTAATAATAATAGCATTTATTAGCAGGAAATGCCTAATGCCAACGCAGCTCCTGTACACTGGCTTTATTTATACACGCAGTGCAGGCGGCTCCGCCCTGGGCACCCCCCGCCCCCGCCCGTGGGACGCAGAGAAGCTGCGCACTCCGCACCTCCGCTCCGCTTTCCAAAGGCCCGCGAGTCAAGTTCATGTTTGGAAATCTAGCCCTGTCCCTGTCGTCAAACAAAGCTCCCTTAAAAATGAGGACTGTTTTGAAATGCTCATTATCTCATATTCTTTATATCCCAGAACGGATTTCTTTGGGGGGGGGGGGGAGGAAAAAAAAAAAAGCAAACGTTCTGAAACGCCGAGTGTCCTATGACTGTTCTTCAAGGGTCCAAGTGTTCGGACTTGGCAGCACACAGCCAGCCTCGCTCCCTCGCCAACACCTGCGCCCGGGGAGCGCCGGGTGCAGGTTCCAGTCGGGACCGGACCGGGACGCACCCCTTCAGAGCCGGACCTCTGAGCGCGGAGGCTGAGCACCAAGCAGTGAGCGGTGACTGGGTCCGTCCAGGGACCGGAGCCGTTCACCTTTCCAATCACTTGCTTCCCCGAGGGCTTGTGCTTTGGGGCTGCGGGAAGGGTGGGGGCGCCAGAGTCCGGGAAGTCTGCGCGGCACCGGGGCGCCTCCCTGGTGGCGGGAGGCTCTTCTTACCTCTCGGGACTGGCGGAGCGACGGCCGGTGCCCTGGCGAGCTGGGCGGCGAGGGGGCCGGCGGGCGAGAAGCCTCAGGGCCCGCGAGGCAGCGCGCCGAGCATCCTGCTTCCCGACTGCGCGCCCCGGCCCGCTGCGCTGGCGGACCGCGGCCCCACCCGGGCCCGCCCCCTACCGCGCGGGGGGGGGGGGGGGGGGCGGCCCTCGGAGGGCGGGGGCCTGTGCGCGCCGGCCCGCCCGCCCACGTGCTCTGGGCAGCGCATCCTCTCCTGCCCGCTCCCCGCCGGCCGTCGGGGACAGAACGCCCCGCGGGAAACGCGCGCGGCCCGCCCGGGCCAGCGGGAGAGGGCGTGGACCCGCACACCCACAGCCCGCTGGAGGGACCCGGGTTTTAAGCGGTCTCCTGAATTTCACTTTCAGTCGCTCCTCTCCCGCGTAGCTTCCCTCTGGGGGACACAAAGTCAGCCATTGACATGTCGCGACTGGGGGGCTGGAGACGTGGTTCCCCAAAATACTTGGTTTCCTAAATGTCATGGAAGCGTCTCAGAAGAAAACAGTTCAGGGAAGGCACCTATCCGCCAAAGTAACATTAAGAAAACTCTATAATCCGCAGGCTAAATTCTTTCTGAAAGAACACGAGAGCACCGTTCCACCTTGTGCAACAGTCGTTTCTGAGCGCAGTGCCATGTACAACATCGCTGAGCATTTCCTTTCACACCAAACATACCGTTTCATAGACAAAACTAACATGGTAACAGACGTCACAGGCCTGTGGTGGCCTGGAGTGGAGCAAGTGACTGGAAAGATCCACCGGGGAACTCTTTGGGGATGACAGAGATGAGTCCTGTCAGTTGGAGTGTGCATGACAGGGACTTGGCATCTGTCAACAGCATCCACTTTTAAGTAAGATCTGTGGATTTCACCCTGCAAAGTTCACCTCAATTTTTAAAACTCTTAAAACAGCATTGGCAGGCCGACCGATCTGTATCCGTTAGCCTTTTCAAAGGTAGCACGGTTATCCCGTCATCAGAAGTTGTCAGAAGTACCAGGATTGCTATTTCTAGCCGTGTTAATTAAATCCATCCAGTTTCCAAAAAAGGCTTTAGGGCCATCATTCAGTTTCACTGCCAGTAGTTACCCAGACTCATATCCCTTTATGAAGCTGGGATTCCTTGTCAAATACATGCCATGGTCCTGGGCTTTTTCCTTTCTTTTTTTTTTTTTAAAGATGTTATTTATTTATTTTTAGAAAGAGGGATGAGAGGTGGAAAGACAGCGAGGATACTTCAATGTGTGAGAGAAGCACACATAGGTTGCCTCTTCTTGCATGTCCCCCACTGGGGATCTGGCCTGCAGCCCAGGCATGCGCCCTGACTGGGAATCCAATCAGCAACCTTTTGGTTTGTGGGAGGACACCCAACCCCCTGAGCCATGGACAGGGCCCGTGTTATACAATTTAAATAGACGAAGTGGGTCTGAGACGGGCTGGGCTCTGGTGAGTCTGGTTGAGAAGCTCTTGGGAAGTGGGAACAGGACTTCCCGGTCCTTTGCAAGTCAAAGATTTAGGTTTGTGAGTCAACTCGTAACACATCATGCAAAATCACTCATTTTAGTTAATACGTTAACAAGGACACTACCATGTACAATCACTGACTTAGCCCCGTGGGAATTCAAAAGTCTCATTTGACAATCCTTGAACTTGAAGGAAACCAATTTCTCTATTTTCTTATGGCATTCAGACAACAGTTAGAGAACAGTACAAAATAGAGTCAAGGTTATCGGACAGACAATAACTCTTACAGAGTTTAGAGATCGTAGAGCCGTGCCCTGGAAACAAATTTTTCGAGCGCAGGTAGGATTAGTTAGTGGGGGTGGGGGTGGAGATGTGAGTGGGGAGAGAGAAGGAAGTCTGGACAGATGAGGGACATGCTTCCGGAAACAGGAAGGGGGGCACCGTGCGCTGTTCCCTCCACCCAGTGCCTCCCACCCACGGCTGATCACCTGGGCCTTGTGAGCAGTTTCCGGAGCTCCTCCTCTCCCACAGGCCTTCCCAGACTCCTCCCTCAGCCCAGTGCGCGCACCCCTTCCACAGCACACACGTCCCATCCTTGGCGAAGGTGCTCCCATGTCCACGTCTGCAACGAAGCCACCCTCCAAAGGGCTGGAGCTGTATTTTATTCACTCTCGTATCCCACCCCCCAACCGGTGGCCCACAGAGTTACTCACACTAAGTCGGTTTGTAATAAAGAATCTATTTTTAATTGAATTGATTGGGAGATAAAGTAGGAAGATGTGAAGCCAAGTTGTAACAGATAAACACATCAGAGTCCACTCATTCGATACACATTTATTAAGTGTTTACTGTGTGCCAGGCCCTGTTCCAGGCTCTGAGAACATATCGGTGGACAGGTAAAAATCTTTGCCCCTGTGGGACGTCTACCCTAGATCTATCGTGAGAGATTGGATTAGTGATAAATTTACATGAATTCAACCGTATCTACCAGCTGAAAAAGAGACACACACATTTAAAGAGTTTAATCATTGGTGCTCTAAAGGCCTCTTGTTGATATGTGGTTTTTATTACATATTGTACTTACTAAATTCACACAATATTCATGCCCATGCACCACGATAGGAACTCTAACGTAAGACTACACGTAGAACTTTATTGGCAATGTGAGAGGTTTTCAGGATCATTTTGAGCATGTCCGATTTTATACTTTGGCACAGCGTTCAAAACCTAGCCACCTTGTAGGCTGCAACTCTCCTGCACCAAAACGGAAACTCTGAATGGCTGGATGAAGAAGCACCATGTTAAGGGGTTGGGCGTAATGACACGGATTCACGTCTGCTCAGCCCAGTCTGGTAACAGCAGGGAGGACGGAGTACATTCGCTGAACACACCACCTGGTCAATCGCGGTGGAATCATATCCACAACTTAAACAATTCAGGAACCGTTTGCCATTCTTTTACAACCACTGAGATAGTAAGAGCTTGAGGTCATTAATATTTATAATCAACTCTTGATTATAAATCTAAAAGAATACATTGTAACATACACTGGGTTATTCTGACTAAAGGTTTACCATTTTCATATATTTTTTCAAAGAGTATTTAAAAAGACACCAAGTTAAGAAAAATCATTTTTAAATTTTGCAATAACTTTATATATATTAATACCAATCATTTAACCCTGAAAACAATCTTCACTTGTACAGTGTAAAAATTTTTTGACAGTATGTGATGAGACATATTCCATTACCATAAAGCTACAGATTGATGCTCCCAAGAGCAAAGTTAGGAAACTAAGAACAGTAATCATACTGTTGACAAGCACCAAGACAGAATGTTTTTGCACCTGGAGCCCAATTGGCTGTATTTAACATAACCTCTATCAGTAGAAGACCAAAAAAAAGATAAAAATATATATACTGAGGTCTGGAAAGAGTGCAGAATGCCCACTTTCAAAATAAAACAATGAAAGCAATCATATTTGTTTTTTAATTTTTTTGGCAAAATATGTTCATATGTCACTTCAGTGCCGCTTTAGTTCACTGTATACAATTCGGACTGTTCCGTGTGTGCTAGCATGTTGCACACTGATGCGAATACACCTGCTGAGCCGTGGGAGTGTGCTGTCAGGAGTTTGCACCGTTAACGCTGCGTCCAGTGGCTCAAACAGTCTCAGTCTGCAGCCTAGAGACCAGCGGGGCCGGGGGGGGCGGGGGGGGGATGGTGGCGGGCTGCAAACAAGTTTCCACAAGAGCCAGGCGGCCAAAAGACTTGGGCAGCTGGACCCTGAATTTCCCACAAAACGAACCCGAAGCTGAGCCATGAGGGAGGCAGGGCACTGCCATCACAATGCAGAATCGGTGACGGGTCTGCAAAGTGATGCCGGGGGCAGGACGTCTCAGCCACCACATTCCCCAGACGCTGGAGGAGGGGCGGCGGCCACGGCCACTTTTCAGCTGGATCAGGGATGGACTCTGGCTGCTTCTAGGGGGACCCCCGGGGCCTGCAGCAGAGGACCCCTCCCAGCGGGCACCTGGAGCAGCCTCTTCACTTAGTGAGGACATCTCAGGGACCGCAGAGTGTGACACTGGGGACCGCCTCCTCCGGGTCTCAGTGGTTCCCTCCACACAGAGCCTGTCCCTCTGGAGACTTGGCCAAAACCCATCAGTACACTCCCCCTATGACTTGGTCTCAGGAGGAGGGTCCCCTTGGTGGCTGTCAGGCCCGAGTTGGAGGTGCCCCCTACACACTGTGACTGTACAGTCAGGACACGGGAAGTCGGGGGGGCCACGGAACACCCAAGCCACCTAACTTCTGTGCTGGCCGGTTTCTGTCACCTCCGTAATACTTTTCAGCCAGAAAGTTTCTCCACATGACGTATTATGTATGCGGTGAAGAAAAAATAATTGCTAGAATATGACAGCAAGATTTTTAAAAGTTCAGTGTGGAAACTCCTTGAGGAAGGGGAAAGGAGACATCGCTTTTCCGTTCCAAGGCCTCTAGGCCTTGGCCTTGAGGTCAGAGGGCACCGAATCCCTACCGGGTCAGAGCTTCTCCCCACCCTCCACCCACACACAGTCCTAGGGAATTCCTGGGCCGTCTGTGTCCCAAATTTGCAGTCATAACTCTGGGCATGCCCACACAGCTCTTTAATTCAGTTTCAAAATCCACAGCATTCTTGAACAAAATGACATAGTTGCGTTCTTTACCTGCCAGGCATGAAATCACCGATTGAAAAAAAACCCAAGTCAGACAATACCTACGTAAGTCAAATAACACTCCCTCCATTTAAAGGTGCTTCGCTTGCTCTGGGAAGACAGGCCGTGACCCCCTGGGACGGAAGTGCCCGCAGCGGCCTCCCGTGGCGCTCTGCACCCGGACGCTCCGCTCCAAGGCCATGGGGTCCTCGAACACCACGGTGGCGGGGCTTGCTCGTGGGAACCCCCAAGAGGGGCACATTGGACACAGAAAACTCCACTAATTCACAAGTCAGTGCATTTTAGTCACACCGAGATCGCGACCTAACCCGTCCAAACATGCGGCGTTTCTTTCTCTTGCCCCACGAATGAAATTCCTTTCTTTAAAGAATGGTTAGATCTGATGATCGAGATAAAAGTCACCATATTTCAAGTGAAACTATGAGGGTTCAATACAACTGTGGCGTGATTTCAAATTCACATGGGCATCCATTTTCCTGTGTTTTCCTATATTTGCCCTAAATCAACTTCCTAGTCCGTAATGTTTAGGGAGAAATTAAAAGGGTTTTACGTTGTACTGCAGAGTTCCAGTGAATTCTCAGTTTGTCGGTGTTTATTCTTAGCTTGCTTTCACACAAACTCTACACAACGCAAGAATATGGATGAGAAGTATTTAAAATACAAAAGTCCCTTAGCTCTGTGTCATAAATAAATTTGGGTAAAACCGTAAGCCTTCCACGGAGTCGTCCCGGCAAAGGTGGCCCATCTTCTCGGCGAGAAGCAACCTGGGGTTGAAGGAGAAAACCAGTCACCCGCCGGTCCGGAGGCACAGGCCGTGACGAGGAGCAAAGACCCCACTCACCTCTCTTTTGCCAGAAGGACAGACATGCCCACCAGCTTGGCAAACTCTTCTGATGTTAGGGACCCCTTTTCTGAAACCTGCCAGAAACACACAGAAGGGGAAACACACAGAAGCCATTCAGACCACCTAGGTACTAACAGAGAGACTGTCTACCAGTTACACTCAGGAAAGAATTTCCTGAATTTTCTACCAGAGTCCAAAGAACATTCACTATAGAACTAAGTCTTCCTTACTGATGTTTAATTCTACACACGATGAAGGACCCGGGTTGACTAATGTAGAGGCTAAAATAACATAAAGGCCTCTGTACTGTAATAAAGGCTCTATACTAAGGTCTAAAAACTTCCATCTTCTGAAAAGGAACATAAAACAAATTCTAACTGAATTCCTGTTACATGGTCCAGTGAAGGCGTGGTTTAAAAATGTGTGGTTGAAATATCTATAGTCTTGGGTTTTTTCAACTAGTTTAAAACAAAACATGTAATAAATGTGAGTTACTTAAATGATACAGGCTCACCATAGAGTCTACACAGGCAGTAATATCTCAAGTGGCCTCACAAGTATTAGCAGTTTGGCCACAAAATCCATCTAAACTGCAGTTGCTGTTCATGTTTCTTAAAGATTCCATTTATTTATTTTTAGAGAGAGGGGAAGGGAGGGAGAAAAAGAGGGAGAGAAACATTAATGTGTGGTTGCCTCTCAATGCCCCACTGGAGACCAGGCCTGCAACCCAGGCAGGTACCCTGACTAGGAACTGAACCGGCTACTCTTTGGTTTGCAGACCAGCACCCAATGCACTGAGGCACAGCAGCCAGGGCTATTCATATTTTTTTGAAACAATTATTTCATAGAACAACTGGTGATGTTTTATAATGCTACTTGTGTAGGTGTTGCGGAAGGAAAAGTTCTGTCATGGAAAACATTCTCATTAACAAAGTTGAAAACCTGTTCTCAAGGCTGAGCTTCAAACAAAAAAAGAGCACCTCATTAATTCTAATTCTCCTTTCTTTTAAGATGTTTTGCGTGTTAGCAAGTTTTGAAAAGCTTTCAAAGAATAACTCTGATTAACATTTATCCATTGTTCATGATAAGCCATTTTTAACTGGGCCGACAAATGTTAGTTGTGAGTAAAGTCAAGTCCGAAAGGAAATCCTGTTCCCCGGCCGCCCGGCATGGGCACCGGGTCTTCCCAGCACGGCCTGGTGCCTGGAGGAAGCCGGGTTCACGTACCGTCTCCAAGGCCGAGGCCACCATTTCCTCTTCCCTGTGAGACTGCAGCTCGATGACCATGACGCCGCTGTCGAACACCCGCAGCCTGCAAACCGCAGGAGAGAGAGCGGAGCTGTGAGTGCCGAGACCTTCGAACAGGAAGGAGGCGAGAGTATTTCTCACCGTCTTCTACACCCAGGTGGAAGGGCAACAGTAACACAGAACAACAGTGAGAACTAACGGCCACGAGCAACTCCGGCCTAGCTATAAAGCTCATGAATGAACAGTTCGTAAAATCGTGAACTACCACCCATATGCTAAAAAATACTTATGTCTGGCTACTTTTTGCCAGTTTTCATTTATATTTATTTTTAATATTTTCACACAGAGCTGACGCTCAGTGCTATTTCAGATCAGTGTCAGGTGTCCAGCGGTAGTCAGACAGTTACGCAGTTTATGGAGTATCACCCTGGTGATTCCAGGGCCTGCCCGGCACCACGCACAGTGGTCACACAGTGTTCCCTCTGCTCTCGGAGCCGCGCATCACCAACTGGTTAACTGTTTTTAATCTGAGGACCAGGAAAACACGACTCACAGCTGCACATCTGCACTTCTGAGTCCCCAGGGACAAACACACACCTTCTAAGGGAAGAGGGGCTAGCGACTGTGACCTGATGGGAGGGGCCCTGTTCTTATCTCTCTCTGCCCGGACCCCACAGAGTCAGACCACCACGCCCCTTGGGTCACAGGACGGAAGCCGGGGTGACGGAGGTGCTTGTGGTGCCCAGTTCTTTCAGCTGACACTAGTTTCAGGCCGGAGGGCGCACCTGGCCGGGCCCTCCTGTCTGACTCTGTAGGGCAGTGGCCACAGCTGGCAAACTCCCTGCGGAGGGGCTCTCACCTGAGAGGTAATTTCAGGGCTTCCAGCATCTTGCACGCATTCACTAAGTCTTCCGGCGAGAGCAACTGATGGGGGAAGAAAAAACCCAGTTCACACTGCAGACTAATGGCCTGACGCCGTGCAATTACAACGATCACTTCAATTCAACAGAAGAGGGCGTTTACAGATGATCACTCATCAAGGATTTCAGGTGGCCTAATCACTACAAGGCGAAAATATTAATGGAGAAGCAGAAATGTCTATTTGTTAGAGCAGTGCTAGCCAATAGAAACCGAGTGTACAAATGTACATTAAGTCACAGATGGAATTTCAAAATCTTCCAGAAGCCTTATTAGAGAATTACAAGAAACGGGTGAAACTAATTTTAAAAGATGTATACCCAATATGTAAAAAATTCAGCACACAGGGTGAGGCAAAACTAGGTTTACAGCTGTTTGTGTGGAATACACTATAATTCATAAATAATAACATAAGAATAAACTCTGTCTTCTGTACTCACAACTGTAAATCTACTTTTGCCCAACTCTGTGTAACTGGTATAGAAAATTCCTTTAGCATTTCTTTATTCTGTACTGACTCCTGTAAACCGGTTGTGTGACTTACACTCATACACAGGCCAGTTTGGAGTCACTGTCACCATGGGCAGCTGGCCAGCGGCTTCCCCTGCAGGCCGTGGGGCCTGAGAGAACGAGCCCAGCGGGGTGGGTGCCACGCACGGCCTGGAGCCAGCCCAGCCTGGGTCCGAATCCCTGCCAAAACACCGGCTCCAAGAGCAGCTTCACTGAAGACATTTGGTCTTTCTAAGGCTTGATTTCCACCTCCGCAGGTAACCCAAGTAGGGGGGTGTCACAGGAGCTGCCTCCCGAGTTACCAGTTATCAGGAGGACTGAGGAGGGGACTTGCAGGGAGCGAGTGAGTGAACAGCAGTTAGGGACACTCACAGAGAGCCACGGGGCACGGGCTCAACTCATGGGTGGGGGTGGGGAGGAGAGCAGGAAAGATGGGGTTCACTGGTGATGCCACAGAACTGCATTTGACCGTGAGGGCACCAGGAGTGCCAGATGGAGCCTCGGTGGCCGAGGACACCGGGTGTGGAGGGTCAGCGAGCACTGACTCACAGCCCGGGGCGTGGCAGCGCTCCCCTGGTGGTTGCTCTGGGCACTCTGTGTCCAGCCCACGGAGGAAGGGCACAGGGGCGACCTTATTAATCACAGCACACGCACAGACTTCTGCAGCGAAAGGTGGCCGTCGGCCCAGAGCCTCAAGTTCAAGGTGGGAAGACTGAGTCTGAGAGGTCGAGTGAGCCACGCAGGTTCACCGGCCAGGCCGGCACGGACCCTCCAGCCCCAGGGCGGTGCTCTTGGAGGTGCACCGTACTCTTTCTCAAAACAGTCTTTGTAGTCACAGCCCTTTCTCAAATTGTGCCCCCTGTAGGGAAATCTGTATCACGGGGAGAAAGTCCATATTTAGTTTTAAAAGAAGGAAATCTAAGTACTCCGTGCTTACCTCCATGCCTCGAGCTCTGTTCACTAAGCAGTACACCTCCGTGAGCGACATGATGCCCCCTCGTTCCTGGGAGAAGGAGAAACAAGGGGACAGCGTTACACTGTGTCTTAGAAACCACAGTCGGGGTGAAATCAGAGTGACAGAATGTCTTTAGAAGCTTTTAAAAACACTCTTACTCCCAGGAGAACTTAGATACCATGAGACATTTCAAGTTCAAAATTTGGACGTCAATGTCATTATTACTCTCAACATCTACTCAGAGGTAAAGAGGGCTCTCCACCGTGTTCCCACAGTGTTTGTTATTCCGCCAATTAACAAGGAAGAAGCCGGGGAACTGAGTGAGTGAGAAGAGCACCACCTCCCTGCCCCTAACGAGTGATAATGCAGACAGTGACGGCCAGCGGCTGCTATCATCACAAGGACAGGCACACGTACCTCCCGACGGGAAGGTACACCACCTTTATGAGATGTTCTCATCAGGAAAAACACAACAGAACTTCTAGATATAACTACCAGTGTACAGGGAGCCATGCGAACATACGAGTCGGCAAAGTCCAGACCCTGAGACACTCTATCAGATCAGCTACTAGTTTCTTCAGTCAATAAACTGGGGGCGGGATGGGGGAGGTGGGAGGAGGGCAAACCCACAGAATTAAAAAGAAAAAACTTGAGAGACAAATCAACCAGTGGCAATGTATCCTGATTTGAACAAATCAACTGCAAGAGAACATGTGAACAAAAACTAGATACTTCAGAAAATTAAAACTATTTTTCACTCTTAGCTGTGGAAAGGGATTCTAATTACACGTGAAGGTGTGTTTATTATCATAACCACACACTGAAGTGTTTGCAGATACAGTGACGTGGTGACGGCTGGTGTCTGCTGCAGCCACTCCGAGTGCAGCCGGGCCTGCCGGGGAAGCTGGGGGACGGGCCCGTGGGACACTCTTCTGCTTTGTCCTACGTTTGAGGTATTTCTTAATGCTGGTACTTTCATAAACAAAGTTCTGATTGCCTGCATGCTACACTCGAAGAGAAATCTTACTGTGAAATCAATAGTGCATGTACAGGGAGGGGCAAAATCAGGTTTACAGTTGTGCACACACCAAACAGTTTATTCGAGTATTACTATTTATCAATTGTTGCATTATTTTCCATACAAACTATAAATCTACTTTTGTCCCACTCTGTCTATTGACTACTTATATACAAATATACCTAAATACACAGACATCATATATTTCCTTTTGAAAATAAGAGGTAAGAAAAACTTCATATCAAATAGATGTAAAAAGTTATAGATATCTGAAATGAAAATCAAAAACAATTTAGATTACTGACAAAGAATCTATTAAAAGGATACTAAACTAATTTAATATTCCTGAAAGAAAAAAATAACATGTTGGTTGAACAGTAACCATGTCACGAGAGAAGTGACCCCCTTCAGATTTCTGATGACATGGAAATTACTGAACACACTTTCGAAAGACCATGTAGGTTTGGTCTTTACCTCCAGAGGTGCCTGCAACATCCCAGCCAGCTGCCTGGCCAGCTGCACATGGTACTGAGTGCCGGAGCCACAGGTCTCCCTGGTGACCGGGTTGGCGATTCCCATGCTCAGCAAATAGGACTTGAACCTGATGGTCTGCAACGAGAGGGAAAAATGCACAGAGATCGTTCGGAATTGGTCTCTCTGCCCTGACACTTGAAACCCTTCCATCCTAGATTCGATGCTAAGCCATTATTTCCAGTAGTTCCCTGCATAAATCTGCTTCTTCTTCCTTCCATCTGGCTGTCTCTCGCTCCCTTTATCTCACAAGTTTGGTGTGACAGGTGATTTAAAAAACATGTGTGCCATCGCTAATGCCAACCGAGTGCTCTGACTGCAAGCTCAGAAAAATGGCTGTGACCAGACTGTAGACAAATGTAATGGGACACCAAACTTATGACGTATAAAATACACACTCCTTACATATTTCGATATCTGTTTTGTACACTCCAAGAAAAGCTACCGAGATAACCTATAATCCTACTAGAATTGACAGTTTTCATGGTTGACTTTCTCTTTGACATTTTCACGTATCTTCAAGTCCTAAAAGAAGTAAAACATTACATTAAGGAAGCAAAATGGGCTCTGGGCCAGCATGGCTCAGTCGGTTGGAGCATCGTCCTGTAAACCAGGAAGCCACAGGTTTGATTCCTAGTCAGGGCACATGCCTAGGTTTCGGGTTTGGTCTTAGGTTGGGATGCAAGAGATCAATGTTTCTCTCCCCCTCCTCCCTCCCTCCTTCCCTCCCTGTCTCTCTAAAATCAACGAGCATGTGTTCAGATGAGGACAAAGAAAAAGCAAACCAGTAAACCACCAAAACACCAAAGCACTATCGGTGCAGTTTCAAAAGCCCAAAAACGCAGCCCATTCACCTCATCTTCTGTGATGTTGCCTTGCTTGTCTTTAATCTTATTCGCAATGGACTTGGAGAGCTCCACCATGTCTTTAGCCTGTCAAAAGAGCAGTGAGAGACTGAAGGAAATACTGTCCCCAAAGTGTGTGCTTCTATAACTGTGCCACCGTTGGCATCAATTTAACAGGTATAAATGACATGTACCTTGACCATTAGCTTGCTGAGGTCTTCAAAGGCCTGAAATGAGAAATGAGTTTTGTTGGAATCTGTCTAAAGAATTAAAACATTTTAAAGCAATGAAGCACTCTATTTTCTTCCCTATGATAAAAATTTACAAGATTTTCTTACAAATGTCAATTTATTTACATAAATGTTTATGCAACTAATAAATCTACCTGATTCTAAGAAGTCAGTTGAGCATAGATTTTCCAAAACAAACTTGAAAAACAACTTTTTGAATTTTCAAAGAGAGGAGTTACTCTTGATTAAGCAAGCAGAAGGTGCCGTAATAGTTCAGAAAACGGTATTTTCTGTTCTTTGACACAAGCAAGAAAACTGCCTCGAGCCCCCCCCCACCCCCGCCACGGTCTCCGGCAGGAAGCGCCCAGACCTCCTGGGTGGAAACAGCGAACATGGGTCCACAGTGACACTCGGGCTCAGGCGGCAGGTGTGGGTGAACCGAAACCAGGGCCCTCTGACCACTGAACAGGTTAGACCTGTGGCTGTGGATGTAGTGAGTATAGCAAAAGAAAAACATTCGGATGCCATGAAATGCATTTCTAAGTAAAATCCATTGACTGTTTAATTTACTACAGTGAATATCCTCTTCAAAGATCTCTCCACATTGAATGAGATGCATTGTGTCAAACTACCCCCGATGTATAGACAGTGCAGAACACGCCTGTCTGATCGGTGTGCACAGATGATGTTCTATAAAACCCACCAAGCAGCTCCTCGCCGATGGACTGTCTCCTGGTCCACACAGAGCAGCCGTGCGCAGACTCGGATGAGCCCACGCCCACCGCAGTCACACGCAGGAAAGTGGCCCCCACCTGCGAGAGGACTCCACTAAAGCAGAGTGTGGTGTGGGATCCTCGCGGCCCCTCCCTAAAGCCAGCACGGGGAACAAAGGGGAATGTGCACACACCTAACAGGAATTTCCTCAGATAAACAAAAGGCCCAGCCGCTGGCCGCTTATCAGCAGCAGCCAGCAGGACAGGAAGCCTTGGGTGGGGACCTCAGGGCACCAGCTCGGGGCGCTGGGCCGGCTCTCGCCCTTTGGGTGCAGGGCAGACCCGCGCAGACCGCGTCCAGAACCAAGACACTCTCCCACTTGACACTCCAGATCTTTACTTAGACCACAAAAAGAAGTTTAAGGGAAAGGAGGAAGACAACACTTTTAATTTTATACAGTAAATCAGTTTACTCACTGTATTCTGTGTGTGCCCATTTAAAATGCTAAAACAGCACAGAACACGCAGACTAGCCCTATTCCTTATGGTTCATAAAAATGAATATGAGTATTCCACATTTATAGAAGAATTCCCTATATTTTGAATAATTATATAACACGAACAAAAGCTTCCTCACTTCTATTTACAATATTCTAAAATTTGAAATGAGCCAACCATCCCCAAAATGGGTGGGACCACCTACAATAAAATTAAAGCCTTACAGGCACATGTGCTCATTCTATTGTTTCATTTGCCAGTTTATAGAACTTTCTATCCCTCTGCCGTGGACATTCCAATTTCCGTTCCAATTTTGAAAAAAGTGGCACCTACCCTAAGCCGAAAGCCAGGGCATTCGTTCCCTTTTAAGCCGATTTGTGGCATTATTTCTTACTGACTTTCAGCCATTACTCTGGTTATGAGCTTCGGTAACTACTAATGTATTCTTGAATTTTCTGTTTCGATATTCTCAATTCTGTACTTTTGCATATTCCATTCCCTCCACCTGGGTCCTCTTATCCCTGCTGGTCAGCCACCGGCAGCCGCTCCACTTCCGGGCTCTGACTTCCATCACTTCTGCGAAAGACCCTTCCCCGACTCCGCCAGGAGTAAGAGAGCAGGCTGGGTCCTTGCAGCCACTATTTTCTGCCAACTCCGCATTCCTCACGCTGTGGAAGAAGGCCATTTGCCTGCCTCCTCGGCTCCCCGCGGGAGCCCCTACAACATCCGACACTGAGCTCACACAGAGCGGAGAGCAGGGACCAGCTGCCGAGAATCGGGGACCCGCAGGGGAGAGCGCCACGCTTGTGTAGAATGCTTGGAGTTGCGTAACTGCGTGAAAATTAGACGGAAGCACTGTACCATTTCATAGACTAAGAAAAACATTACGTTGAAAACTAAATTAGTATGGTAGTGCTCAGAAAAAGGAACACAAATAATGCAAGATCATTCATATACAAAAATATTTTTTAAAGATTTTATTTATTTACTTTAGAGAGAGGGGAAGGGAGGGAGAAAGAGAGGGAGAGAAACATCAGTGTGTGAGACATAAGATTGGTTGCCTCTCACATGCCCCCTACTGGGGACCTAGCTTGCAACCCAGGCATGTGCCCTGACTGGGAACCGAACTAGCGACCTTTGGGTTCATAGGTTGGAACTCAATCCACTGAGCAACACTAGCCAGGGCCAAAAATATCTGTTTAATTGTTTTAATAAACACTTGCTAGTATCATCCGAAATCTGAACTGGAAGTATCAGTATGACCTCACAAGGCACTTTCATTAAAAAACAACTAGCTCTTTCCACAGAAAAGGCCTAGAAATAAAGGTCTGTCTACCAGAGATGCTTGTTCTTAACAGGCAGACTGTGGCTTTGAAATGCCATTTGTCACTGAGGAACAGCAGGGCTCCTCGGGTGTGGCTGGTTCTCCACCTGGGGCAAGTGGCCCCGGAACCTTTGTCACCCCAGACTGCAAGTCAGCTGTCACACCAAAAGCACTCAGGAGCCGACCTGAGGGAATGAGCGCTGGCCAAAGACGGGATCATCTGAGCTTTAAATGGAATAATAACTGCGCTTGATCGAAACAGATTAAATACGTTATGTTTATGGATTCATTACATGTAAAAAAGGAATACAGTCACCTCTGGCGTGCGAGGACCCAGTCCATCCTGCTGATGACGAAGGGGAGGCACAGGGCCTTCCTGCCCTTCGTAAGCTGTTCACTGGGCAGCCAAGCAGTAGATGAAGGGAGCATCGCCTTTAAAAAGCACTGCGACTCACCAACGAAAACCAAATGGTAACCCGACCGGCATGTGCCACCACTAGTAACCAACCGGTTTCCGCACTGAACACCCACAGCGGCCAACACCATCAAAAGCGACCTGAGGTGCATTCCCTGGATGGAGTGCGGACCTCCAGTCTTACCGAGGGGCCTACACCCAGGTCTGGCCAAGCCTGCGGACCACCAACAACTCGTGAGAGACACGGGGGCCAAAAAACACGACCGCTCTGTTGCAAGCGAGCTCTCAGCAAAGCCCAGACCACGGGCACCAACAGGGCCACACCCCTGGTGCCTCCCCCACAGTGACCCGCGCGCGCTTGCAACCAGTGGCCCCAGAACACGTGGTACATGGTGAATCCCACACGTCCGCTTAACTGGATCGCGGGACGCCCAGGTGTGTGATGGAACGCTATTCTGAGTGTACCTGTGCTGGTGCTGCCACGTGACATGTGCACCTGAATGGGCACCCGAGTCAAGCAGACCGCTCACTTCAGTGTGGGCAGGCATTATGCAGTCCACTGAGGGCGTGAAGGAACAGAATGTGGGAGGAAGGGAGACCCGGGCGCTTCCCCTGCCTGCCGGCCACGGAGCCGAGACGCCAGGCCCCGCCTGCCCCTGCTGGCTCTCGGGCCTCTGAACGCAGACCAGACCTTACCGCACCGGCTTTCCTGAGTCACCAGCCTGTGGGTGGCTGATTCCTCACCTCACTGTGTGCAGGTGGGGAGAAGGGTCTAGAGAACATACAAGTAGGTGTCTGTGTGTGCAGAGACATGTAGACATCCAAGTATCTATAGCTCGGTGTCCACACATTTCCTGTGGGCTGTTTCTCCAGAGAGCCTGGACTAATACGGGTGTTCAATAACTGCTTGCAGTTTAGACTTCATCTGATTGACATACATCTTTGGAATTCTATGAACAGCACTAATCAAAGGAATTTTACTTAAAAAAATGTTACAAAAACGAAAGAATCACTTCATCAAATCATTTCACAAAATCCCAACACCATTTTTACATTAACAGAGGAAAACCGACCATATGTGTGGAGAGACTGACTGGTCGCAGGATCCCGTGGCCGGGGCTTGCTCGCAGATGGCACGGTGCCCGCTCAGGGCTGCTCCCCAGGGGACAGCCTGGTCCCCTCCGTTCTCAGCCGTCTCTCTGTTGGGTCCCGAGTGGTCATCGGCCTCACATTGTGTGGGGTCTGACCAGGGTTACGGGCCACAGAACGGCATTCTTCCCCTCCACTAAGTTAACCAAACGTCCAAGATAACTGCACAGAGGGCCTTGAACTCACGAGGAGTGCCCTCCAGTGAACCCCACCTGGACCGGGACGTTTGGACACCATGACCTGTGATTCTGCTAAGAGCACAGAAAGCAAGTTTGCACGGCTGTTTCATTCCTTTTTGGGAAAAGTTCTCAAAACGGATTTTGGCTAACTTTTGCCAACCTGAGGAGGACCTGTTCCATGCAGTAAAACACTGCAGCTTCAGGCAAACTACTAAATATACTCTGATCCACAGAATGGAGTCTGTCCCAGTTGTACCCAAAAGAATAAGCACCAATGGCTGAGAAGGCAGCTGACCGGAGCTTGTGTAAGGGGTTACCTCGGAAATGTTTTTGTCGGTTTCTTTTCTTTTTTCTTCCAGTTTCCTTTCAATGCCTACAATTCCTACAGCCCTTATTCTTCCTGGCTAAAAAAAAAAAAAAAAAGTAGAAAATGAAACACACTACATAGGAAGGACACAGTCTTTTGTAACCCACCACATTGTGTTTTCAATGGTGGGAAAGGACCCACAAAGAACCAAAGAAAACAGCAAACAATTACATCTCATTTCCTTTCAAAACATGTGTCAGTTTCTTGCTATACATGGTGATCTTCAAATCATTATAAAGAAGCACTGAGCAATCAGCAAAGGCATATTCCACTCTTCATTGCAGATAGTAATGGAATCTCCTATTCGTTTTTTCTTTGGCAACCTTCAGATATTAATTCACTTTGGATACTAATGGAATCTCCTATCCGTTTTTTCTTTGGCAAACTGAAATTATGAATGTATCAGATAGTTAACAGGGTCTCGAATGTGCAGACAATTGTAGTTAAATGTTTGGTCCTTGGTGGCTATCCTACAAACTACTTCCACACACTGGAGCGTCCGTCCCTGGCAGGCAGTTCAGTGAGGCTGGCCTGGAAAGTGTCCCCCAGGGGCAGTGTCTGTCCCCTCCCCTGTCACACCGCGTGTGAATAACAGAGTGGAGTGAGTGGAATCCACCTTCCACCTTCTCTGAGTTACTCTGGTGAGCAGTCACTTGGTCTCACTAAGTGGTGACTGTCGGCAGAACACTAAATTAGGTTCGGTGAAAGTTAATTTTTAATCCAACATCATTACTTTATTTCTCGGAAGTTCTAGACTCACAGAAATTGTCTTGCTTAATGAAGATGCGACAATACCTGGGGTCCTCGGTTGGCCTGGAATGACTGGGACGCTGGCATGTTCTCCCACCGTCTCTGCGTCATTTCCTCTGATAAACGCCTGTAAAACTGTCACACACACACACAGATACATGGGGAGGGGGTGGGTCAGGCAGTGGCACCCTCGTAAAAATCATTACTTCACATTTCTTTACTTGAAAGGTCTGTTCAGTCATTTGTGACAGGCCTAGAATTTTCAGACATCAAAGAAAATCAAAGGAAGTTTTTTCTTGGATCAACTTCAGAAAGAACAAAAAAAAAAAAAAAAAGAAAGAAGGAACTGACCTTCTATATAAAGTGAGCTATTCTCAACAGAGATGAGTGACAGTGAAATAAATAGACTTACTTTAAACAATCCTGCGGATTGTTTTCGACCTATGGTGGAATAGACACATTGCCAAGAAAAATACACAACCATTATCCATACAGGAAGCAGAGAATAATCTGTCTCATTAAAATCTGTAGTCAGAAATTGAGGTCACAACATGCCTCTGCTCACAAAAAAAAAAACAAAAAAACTGTATTTTTCAACTGCAGTGAAACTGACTTGAGTCAGTGGCTGATGCGCCCGCTGAGCTAAGAGCCCTGGGTGTGGGGCTGTAGAAAAAGGGAACTCGAACAACTCGTGATACGGACAAGGAGATAAACACACTTATAAGGGTCTAAGAATATTTTTGTAACAAGGTACTAATCAGAAAGTATAAACCATTAACAAATGGGAGAAGCACTTCAGTGATCTGTGCAGCGCTTACAAAGATAAAAGACCGCCCGGTTTAAGGCTGCTGAGCGCTCAGATGCCGCGGTCGATCAGCACGTCACTGCGTCACTCTCCGTCCCTGTGCCTGGGTGCCCACACCACAACAAACCCGACCAGGGGCCTGGCCCACGGGCGTGACTCGGCCTCCCTCCTCTCTCCTTGTGACTCACACGCTCCTGCTCAATGTTCCCACTGTCACCCAAACTGCACATTCTCTCCTGACAAGACTGAAGGTATAGGAAGTGTTACTGTAAACACTCGGTGAAGCCTGGTAAGTTGCCTTCATCATATCAACAACAGAGAAACAAAACTGCCTTCCATCACATTAACAAACAACAAAAATACGAGGTCTGTCCAGAAAAAGCCCAGCCATTGTTAATATACCGAGAATGGTTTGCCTGACATAGATGTAACCTGGCAGCCAGGGAGGGTGGACTGGAATGCACACGTGTGAACACTGGCAACTTCACAGTACTAGTCAGTGGGGGTGGCAGATGCCACTGAGTGAGCATGGGCACTGTGTGACCGCCTCATTCAAAATGCCTGAGCCCGTAGAGCAATGAACCTGCAACAAATTTTGTATTAAGCTTCAGCATTCCCCTGTGGCAACTATTCAGATTCAGGTCACAGCTGTGGACAACTGGTATTTAGCAGCTTCATCACCACAACACGCCGCTCATGCATCACGTCTCATGCAGAGTTTTTTGGAGAAAAACCCCAAACCACCCAGGTGACTCAGCACCCCCTTGCAGTCCACATTTGGTGCCCTGCAACTTCTGCCTTTTCCCAAAACTAAAATCACCTTTGAAAGGGGAGAGATTTCAGACCATCGATGAGATTCAGGAAAATACAATGGGGCAGCTAATGGCAACTGGGAAAACTGTGTGAGGTCCCAAGGTGCCTACTTGGAAGGGGACTGAGGTGTCATTGTCCTATGTACAATGTTTCTTGTATCTTGTCCCATAAATGTCCCCATTTTGCATGTCACACGGCTGGACAGCCCTGGACAGACCCTGGATACTCAAGCACACACTCCTGGTCCGTTCCGCTCACGCAGAGACCCACCTCGATCTGGCCATGCTCCTTGAAGGACAGTTTGACGTAGGAGTTCCTGCTGCTCTGGAAGGGGCCTGGCTCTTTGTTAGCAGGAGCCGGGTGAAGGTGAACCACTATTTTGGCACTAAAAGAAAGCAAATGTGATATGCCAAGTTGCCTCTCTAAAATCACTAATTTCTATTTTCATAACTTTTCACATATTTCAGGTCACTTTTAAAACTCACGTAGAAAAGGAAAATTTGGAAAGGACCCTTTTGAAGTTTGTATTAATTCGGTATTAATGAAGCTTTCAAAAATCTCTCTACTTAAAATGTACAAGTTATGTGTGAAAAAGTTCAAGTGTCTAGGTCTACAGATTCAGTAAAATGTGGTTTCAGGAAGTAAGCTGAAAATAAACTGGGGCTGGTTTATGGTTTTGGTTTATGATTAGGGGTTCCCCACCTTCAGAGTGCACCCCAGAGGGGGTGCACCCCCAGAGGGGGCGCCTCAGCAGGGGGCCAGTGCTACCCTCCTCACACAAAAACAAAATGTGAAAACTCATCTGTGTAAAACGGACCGGCAGACATTTCACTAAAACTCCGTCCAAAACTAACATTCTATACTGTTATGTTGGGGAAATGCCACTCAATTGGCCGCATGACCCAGAAGGACGTCCAGGAACAAAAACAATCCTTGAATCGTGGCTGCTGCAGGAGCACAAGCCGCCACCATCGTTACAGCTACCAGTGTTTTCTCTGCTATGAAAAATACCACCATGTTTGTTCAGCTTTATGTCTCTTTTCCCCCAACTTGCTCAACAAACAATGTTCCATATTTGTTCAGTTTTATGTCTTTTTTCCCAACTTGCCCAATAAACAACGTCCTATAAAGATCAGCAAACATTTTGCATATCTAGCTTAAAGCTTTTTTAAAAACAGATTTTATTTATTTATTTTTTAGAAAGGGGAAGGGAGGCAGAAAGAGAAAAAGAAAAACATCAATGTGTGGTTGCCTCTCACATATCCCCCGACTGGAGACCTAGCTGGCAACCTAGGTATGTGTCCTGACTAGGAATTGAACCAGCAACCCTTTGATTTTGAAACTGAACCAGACCAGCCAGGGCTTTTTTTTTTTTTTTAATGGCCACACTACAGATTCACCCATCACTGAGCTTTATTTCATTTAGGCCCATGTGGTTACCTAAACATCACTGCAAAATTGAAATTCCAGGTGTGGGGCCTCCTTAAGGTCCCCGATGTTTGGTTTGGTGACTGGGACTGGTCTGTGCGGGCTCTTCATCTAGTGTTTGCAGTGAAGTGTACGTGCTGTGAGCAGATGAGTGTGCAAGCGAGCTCACAGGGCTGCGTGCAGGGAACTGCCAAGTCGGTGGAGCACCGGAACTATGGCAGTTCGGAGGGATGAGCGGGCAAAGCATGGCATCATCTGAGAAACTGAAGATGCCGCGCCCTGCCTTCAGATTCTGTCAGAGGAAACCTAGTGAGAAGCTGAAATATTATGACATAACATGAAGTGTAAAAATCCCAAAGTCGGCAAAAAAGACCGTTTTCTCACCCACTCGTTTCTTGGGTCATTCAATACAGGGTCTCATCAAGTTTGAAATCGACCAAATCAGAGAAGTATCTTGAGTTCAGAGATGTTAAAAGGTGAAAATATATTGCATCTGTCCTTAAATCAATGAGATACGATAAATGTCTGCAGGCGACAGGAGCCAGAAACTAAAGAGGATATTTAGGGAAAGTTAATTTGGCAAATTTCCAAGTTTCTCCTCACTGAAGATGCTCCAAAACAGGACACTTCTATGAAAGGTATTGTTTTGAATACATTTGCTATACTTTGGATTTCCTTGGAGCACAGCAGAGGAAAATGCAAATGATCCACAACACCCGTAAAGTTTTACTTTGCAGAACTTGCACCTACTGAATATCATACACCGGAAACTAATATGATGTTGTATGTCGACTATACCTCAATAAAAAAAATAAAACGAAATTTAAAAAAGAACACATAAGATGGTAAAGAGTGACAAGGGACAAAATATAAATTAGAGAAATAGCCTACTCTGAAAATATATACCACACTAGTCTTTCCAAAACATTGCTTAGTTGCCATTATGTCAATAAGCAATCTTTCAGGCCAGCTATAACATTATAATTTAAGGCGGGTACTGCATTCCTGTGAAGTTCAACACATTTAACATCTATTGAAATATCTAACTATGCTAAAGCTAAAGATGGGCCCATGTGGAAAAAAATTCCTTATCAGCAATATTTGTTCCTAAGTTGACCTTGATTACATGCACTTAAAATATAAAGCCAGAATTTTCGGTATACCTGAATGAGCAGAAACATTTTAACTCGTGGTTTTAAACCCGGGTGGCCACGTCTCCTGGTTTGCCTGTGCAGTCCCATTTGGGGCTTGCCCTGGCCCAACTGTAAACAGCGCTCCTATCACTTGTAAATGTCCCAGTTGAGAAACTTAATGATCAACTAGAAATAGGAGCAAAGTCATTCCCTATTCTCATGTCTGATTTTAAGTACGAAGTGATATGATACACAGACATTGAAAAGCAAAGGCCTGTGGAAATATACCGTGACAACTGGACCACATTTATCACAACCCAAGGACACCACAGCAAACCTCAGGACCTGACTCCTGCGTGAGGAAGGACCTTCCTTTGTCCAGGAGTGTGAGGTGGGGCGATACCTTCTTGGGGGAACCCCCGACCCCGGCCGTGACTTCTAATGCCCCCAGACACAATCGTGAGATTCAGTCCACACACGCAGCCAGGGCACAGCCATACACCGACCAAACTGATGACAATGACAGCTCGCACGGAAATGCACATGGCGGACAAAGACCGGAAATCACGGCCCTAACTTACCTCTTCCCAATTCCCGCCGCCTGCTCTTCGATGAACACGACCTGGGAGAGCGGGACAGCCATGCAGCACTCCTGGGGGGACGGACAGAAGGCGCGGGTCACGGGGCTGGTTGGGCGCCCGGTTTTACAGCACTTCCTATGCGCCGGGACCTTCATGCTACTTAATCATGAAAAAGTCATGGGTTACTTTGTTCCCCAGGTAAACTTGAGGGAAAACGGAATGGAAATAGCACCGTGGTAGTGTTTCAGTGGAAGAACACAAGCGGTTTAGAAGCCCCTGGGACTGCCACTGACTTTACAGCGGGCACATCTTCTTAAAAGTTGTATTCATCTAAGACTTTTTACATATAATATATCTTATGTGAAAAGGGAAAGACAGAACAGGTAAATCGAAACAGCTTTAAAGAGTGTTACTGATTTTTCTTCTTTATAATTTTCTCTACTCACCCACACACAATTTTTAGCAGAAAACACTAATGTAGCTTTCCTTTACCAGTAAATGTGTAAATTTAAAAAAAATTATTATATATGACTAGCATTCAATGGCTGGTTTAAAGATTTCTAAATTAGTCTCTTTATATAATAATAATAATAAATTATACTAAGATTAATTTAAGACATACTGCTTATTTTTTTTTGAAACATACAGTTTAAAGACATCTATCCCCCCCAAAAAGAGTTCTTTCCTGAAAGTATATTTCTTTTAAAAGAACTAGAGAACATTAATAGTTCTGGGGCATGAATGATCGACAACAGAAATATCGTCAATAAGGGGACAAAAATTGGCTCTTGAGCAGCAAAAAGAGTCATATTTTGCCACGGTTAGTGACCTTTCAAAGAACCTCAGCACAGACGGCTGGGGTGTTGGGCCTTTTGGCGGCTCTGGGCCACCCTGGAAGAAGAACTGTCTTGGGCCACACGTTGAATACACAAACACTAATGAAAACTGACGAACAAAGAAGAGGTTTTAAGTAAATGTACAATTCTGTGCTGGGCCACATTCATAGCCATCCTGGGCCGCGTGGGCTGTGGATTGGACCCCCCTGGCACAGATTAGCTGTAGAATTAAAATTTCACGGAGGACAGCATTATGCAAATAACATAAAGGAGATTGTTTATTTTACTAGTGACACTGACATTTATTCTCATACACACACTTTCTGGTTAAAGCTCCTTGGAATAAAGCTATCCGCTCTGTACACATAACTTGCTCTCTCTTGCTAGAAATGAAAAAACAGGGGTTTCTCCTCTTGCTGAGAGACCTCGAGGCCGTTCTTCTCACTGTCCATGTAAAAGTGGGTGCACTTCCCAGCAGACCTGTCCTCCTGACTCTCAACAGCAACCAGAAGAACAGGCTGTGTTGGGGAGGAATGAGTCTTTCGAAGGGCCCCTGACCACTGATGGGAGATTTGCCCTTTACAAATGGAATGCCAGGCACGGGGTGGGATCCGACTGGGGTTTAAAAAGCAGGAGCCAAGGGGAGTCCTTGATTCAGTGAGTCTCTGGAGCTGAATGGGGGACGGCACGAACCCCTCTCTCCACCCTCCATTCAGGGAGGCCGCACGGCACACATACGCTCCGACGACATTCTGGAAATGAAGGTTCGTTGAATCTATGTATATATAGTTTTGTCAGAAAGGGAAAATAGGAAAGAAAAGCTCCAGTGATTTAAAACCCAGAAACAGACATAAAAAACTGGATCTTACATGATTTTTCTGATCTCTCCAAATCAGCCGGTGGGTACTAAGAAGGAGGGTCCCAGCGTCAAACTTTATCTAGAAAGGCAAGATCGTCACAAAACATCAATAACATATCACTCCATGTGCTCAGGTTTTCTTCCTCAGAAACTGCACAGTAGTAAATTAATCATAAATAAATATTTTGGGAGGAGGCTTATCACAAATTAAAGAGAGGCGATGCCACACACTTGGAGAGTTTTATGCACAGCCTTGCTAAAACGGGAAAACAGCCCGGATGCCCGACGACAGGGGGCTTGGACCGGCGGAGTGGAGTGTGCGGCCCCCACAGCGGGGACCCCACGCGGGGAAAACGGAAGGGGAGGCGGAGCACTGGCCCGGGACTCCGAGGGGCAGAGGTGGGGGGGAAGAAGGCAGCTTACGGCGCACTGCCGTGGTAGGTAGACAGGCAGACAGACGGACATAGATAGATAGATAGATAGATAGATAGATAGATAGATAGATAGATAGATAGACAGACAGACAGGATCTCCACATTCCTGGAATCTCCACATTCCTGAAACTACAGGCAAACACACAGAAGTCGGAGAAAAAGCTCTACGTGGAATACTTGGTAATGTTAGCGATTTAACTATCACAGAAAAATGTGAAGGAACAGTGAGAAGCAAAGGGCCCTTCTTCAAAAACTTCACAATTGATTGAATTTTCCCCATGAGATTGAATTCGTGTATAACATTCACAATTTTTAAAAATAATTTTTAAATACTAAGAAAATCCAGAGATAGACACAAAGTAGGTGTGAATGGAGACTCAACCAATGGGACAACAGGGTCACAGGGTCAACAGGGACACAGTGCTGGGACAACAGGGTCACCCAGCAGGAAACATAATAAACGTGAAGTTGGATTCGTAGCCAGCACACTGCACCAAAACAAACTCCAGATGGATCAAACGTGTGAGTTTGAAGAAAGATAAAATCGGCCCTGACCAGTACAGCTCAGCTGATTGGGCATCAAACCACAAAGCGTAAGGTCACAGGTGGGTTCGACTCCTGGTCAGAGCACATGCCTGGGTTGTGGGTTCGGTCCCTGGTCAGGGGCTGTATGAGAGGCAAGCCATCAATGTTCCTCTCTCACATCGATGTTTCTCCCCCCTCTTTCTTCCTCCCTTCTCCTTTCTCTAAAAATAAATATATGAAAAAATTTTAAAAAGATAAAACTATAAAAGCATTCCAAAACTCATGAGAGAGTTTTAAAAATAATCTCAGAGTGGAGTTCTTTCTATGAAAAACATTAAAGCAACTAGCATTAGAGGAGAAGATTGATAAATCTAACATGTATGCCCACCAATTCTTCATGGCTAAGCCCCCCAAGGGCAAAGATAACAGGCTGGGAAAAACAACTGTAACCCACATCAGAAAGCAAGGGCTGATTTCCTTAAGATATAAAATAGTCTTACACATCAGTAGGAAAATAGCTTGTAACCCATTAGACAAAGAGGCAAAGGCTATTACTAATAGAGATCTACCGAAAAGGGAAGACAAATCATACATTAATAGATGCACCACCTCACTGGTAAGAAAAAGACAAATTAAGGGGCCATCAAAGAGGCCCCTTTCATCCGTGAGATTGGCAGGTGCTGGTGAATCGTGGGCGGTGAGGGTTCGCACGCCCTGCTGAAGTCCGACCTTCAGGGAGGGAAGTGCTTTCAAACCTATACGAACACACATATCCTCTACTCTAGTGATCGCACTTCTGGGGATTTACCCCGCAGGTGAATTCACACGTGTGTGCAATGCACTGCTGTTCATTATTCATAAGAAGCAAAAGACAGGAAAGAATTTAAATGTCCATCAACAGGGAAATATACATCCACACTTAACGTCGTGTAACTCCAAAATGCACACAAATTCATTTTGTTAAATCAAACATGTGCAGAAACATTCTTTTATCCAAAAAGTCCTTGTGTAACTAAAAAACACTTCTGACATGAAATCTAATAAATTGTTTTTTTAAGTAAGGTATGACGGTCTTACCAATATCTTAATACTAGTAAGTGTTAACTAATATGCTTAATAAGCTTTAATGGTGAGAGACCCATGGAATCACGTAATTGAAATACCCTCTGTGAGAGATCGCTCAACAGCACAGAGAAGACTTTCCGAATTCCACGTTTTGCTGTGAATCGGGAGTGAAACATACATGCTGCTATCAAGGAGTTCCGAGTGGCTTCAGAGGTTTAGGTTAATCTTGTGTATGTAGAACCAAATAACTGACTTTAAAATATTTTCAAAATCGCTTTTTCTGACAACTAGACTTCCCTTTTCCAACATCAAATGTTTTATTAACTTAAGAGTACATGACGCTGCCTTGCAGCATGGTAGTTTCAGTGAGGAGACTGCACCTTCTTCCACTGAAAGCCGCACAGAAGGGCATGAACTTGACGCTGAAGCCAGGGAGCGCTCCGCTGCAGTGTCAACTAACAGGGTGCAAATGTCAAGACGTGGACCGTTGCTGCTCTAAGCGCAGAATCCCAGGGACTGCGAGCGGAACCCGAACCATGAGTTGAGGCGGATTTGCTCCCACCACTGGAAAAGTGTTAACTACCTAAAAGTTGATCTCACCTAGGCTGTGATGAACATGCTCATACCCTGTTTCATTTTGGTTTTTAGAGATTTTTTTTTTACTTTTATTGGATTTTTTCCTTTACCCTTTAATCACCCCCTGTTTTATTTTTTTATTTAGCTTTTTTTTTCTGTGAATAGCATACTGTTGTACTGTTGAAAATCTGGAAACTATTTTTTAAATCTACAAAAGAAAATGAAAGCACTCAATCATAGTATGCATACACAGCACACGTATGTGATGTGCACAGGCTCTGTCCAGAAAAAATCCAGCCATGGTTAATACAACAAGAACGGTTTGCTCAACATCAATGTAACCTGGCAGCCAACGAGAGTGGACTGGAATGCACATGCGTGAACAATGATGACTTCACTGTACTAGTCAGTGGGGGCAGTAGATGCCGTTGAATGAGCATGTGTACTGTGTGGCCATGACATTCAAAGTGACTGAGTGAGTAGCGCAAGGAATCTGCATCAAATTTTGCTTAAGCTTGAACATTCCTCTGTGAAAACTACTCAGATCATTCAGAGGCCGCAGCTATGGGCAGCTGGTAACTGGCAGCTTCATCACGACAACATGCCCACTCACGCATCACATCTCCTACAGAGTTTTTTGGCGAAAAACATCAAATCACCCAGGTGACTCAGCCCCCTACAGCCCAGATTTGGTGCCCTGTGACTTCTGGCTTTTCACAAAACTATAATCACCTTTGAAAGGGGAGAGATTTCAGACCATCGGTGAGATTCAGGAAAATACGACAGGGCAGCTGGTGGCGATGGGGAGAACTGTGTGAGGTCCCGAGGTGCCTGCTCTGAAGGGGACCGAGGGGTCACTGTCCTGTGTACAGTGTTTCCTGTATCTTGTATATTCTTCAGTAAATGTCACTATTTTTCATATTACATGGCTGGACACCTTCTGGACAGACCTCATATATCTGTGTGTGGTGCATGTGTATAATCTTTAAATCAAATGAGGCCATATTTATAGTTTTTAACATGCTTTTTTCACTTAGCAGCCTATCATTAGCAAATTCCTCACGCTGATTAGGCCGTGTCATATTTAATTAACCAATCCCTGCAGTGGACATTCAGACAGATTACTTCCGGCTTCCCTATGTATGTAATATGTAACATAATATGGCTGAGACGAGCATCCTCATTCACTATATTTTTATGCATTTCAGATTATTTCCCAAGGGTAAATTCCTAAAGTGAAACAGCTAGACAAAAGAACATCTAGCTGTTTTCTAATTACTAAAAGTATTTTCTAAACCTTCCAGTATATGAGGCTGACTTGCCATTTTACGTGCTACAAACCTTCTTAAAATATTTGTTAAATTAGCTGAGGCTACGGTTCTGGCCAGGCAGTTCAGTTGTTTGGGGTGTTGTCCCAAACACCAAAAAGTTGCGGGTTCGATCCCTGGTCAAGGTGTGTATGGGATGCAACCGATCCCTCTCTTTCTCTCTCTAAAAATCAATATCCATGAATGAGGGTTAAAACTAAAAATTAGCTGAGGCTACAGAAGCTTCTGTGAATGGAAACAAACGGCCCATCTATGCTGCTTATGGAAACAATGAATGACCCAGTCATAAAGGCCCCAGAAAACTGTGACTGTTCCAATAAGCAAGCCCGGATTTACCCACCAGAGGCACCTGGCCAGTGGGGGGGAGTGCATCCACCTTAGCCCCACCAGTTACTGGCTGCGTCCCTGGGACGTGCGAGTCTTCTCACCCACCCGCTGAGGGTCTCAGAGTGCTCATCCTCAGGACGCTTGGCTGCATCGAACGTCACAGACAGGCTGGCGCAGGTGACGGCTGTATTTCTGAAGCGTGGCGTCACAGAGTGCAAGGCACCGGTGCTGGGAGTCTGATCACTGGAGATTTAACTCCTGTGTCTCCTGATAACTGTGGGTCTTAGGCGAGTCCCTTTCCCTTCCAGAGTTACTTTCTCCTTCAGTAAAATACTCACGTCACATGCCCATTGAGAGGATTAACTGGGACTGGATATAAAGCTCCTTGCACTGAACAGGTGCTCTAATTATGGTCTCCGGGGTTTGGTTCATTGTGGGCCAGCTTCTGGCTCATTGTGTCTGCTATAACTTTGATATATTCAAAACAATAAAAAATCAAAACCATTAGTACCTGTGTATGAAAAGCCATTGTTAAACCAGCAAGTTCTGGTTTTCCCTTTACATTGTGGGCCAAGCTGGCCCACAATGAGCCAGAAGACACGAGGGTGAGTAAGGACACTCCAAGAGTGTCCTGCTGGGCTTCCAGACAGCCATGTGCCTGCCTGCCTGGGAAACCTGTTGGGAGGCACAGCCCTGAAGGCTACGTGGTCCCGGGAGCCAGCGGAAGATTCTGAAAGGGGTCTGGAGGCTGACGATCAGCTTCCGAGGATCTCCGGCCACCAAGGTCTGGAAGGCAGGACACAGGACTTTTTCCAGCCTGTCCCTCAGTTATAACAGCAACAGCTCAGAGGGTGATATTCCCAGCCCCGGGGAACACCCCGGGGGCTGGCTCATCTTAGAGCTCTGCTTCGACCTCAAGACACCCATGCCTCACCCTCACCACCCCCAGTGCTTACAATGGGTAAGAGAATTCTTGACTAGATCCAAGGGTCTCAACTTTCTTAACCCTCCGATACCTACATCCACTTGTCTGCTAAAACAAGAAGCCAAAAGTGTAAAGGGAAAACCAGAATTTGCTGGTTTAACAATGGCTTTTCATACACAGGTATTAATGGTTTTGATTTTTTTATTGTTTTGAATATATCGAAGTTACAGCAGGTGTTGGCAAGGTGTTCCTAATTTGCATGCTGGAATTAGAACAGTGGAGGGCTGTGCCCTACAAAAGCACGCCTCCCAGAAGGGCGTGGCTGCCCTGGTGGGGGTTCAGTTCTGAGCTCGGGGCCTCATCACACCCACTGGGGGTGGGCAGGCGCATCAGCCCTGGGCATCCCATTTACAACAGTTCCAAAGGTGCCACCTTGCTTTAAAAAACAAAAACATCTACCAGTCACTCCAACCAAAAGGTGTACACCCAATTTGAGACCAAGTTCATAAAAGTGCTGAGGCAGCAAACGGCTAAGTCCAGGCAAATGACTTAAGAAAAAGACCTTGGCTCAATAATGGAGACATTATGCCAAGTAAAATAGGCCACCTCAAAGAAAGACAAATACCGTATGATTTCACTCATTGGTGGAATCTGATGAACAAACTGAACTAACAAGGAAAATAGAGACAGACTCATAGATGGAAAACAAGGTGACGGCTGTGGGGGAGGGGTTTGGGGGTGGAGGATGGGAGCAAAAAAGAAAAAAGGACTCATGGACACAGACAGGGTGGTGATGGGGGCGAAGAGGGAAGGGGGCGAATCTGGGAGTGGGTATACGAGGGATAAATGGTGATGGAAAAAATAATTAAAAAACCCCCAGAAAACTCCCTTAGGGACGTGAGCGCCTGGACCCCCTGCCCCCGCATTCCGCAGGCTGCGGGAGGCCTCCAGCTGGCGGCCGCGCTGACCAGGCACAGCTACGGGAGGTATGTAAAGGTATAGAAGGAAGTTCATTAAGAGAACGAGAAAGGAGAAATAGCAAGGGAAACTTCTGGAAACTAAAAACGGGTGTTTACATCTTTTTCTATTTCCAACTTATACATTTCTTCCAGGAGAGGACGACAGCTGGCTTGATGGAAGTCTCCGCAGAACCTTTCCTTCCAGCGAATATTTGCCTTTCTATTGACAAACCCATCTCCAAAGGCTTGTGCTTGGATGACAAGGCACCGCCTACTACAGCTCTTGACAAAACAAAAGTCCTTTCTAAAGTAATTACAAAAAAAAGGCCTTTAGCTTTTTGGCGTTTCAAAGAGGCACTGGCACCTCGTTTCAGAAATCCGTTCCAGCAATCCGTCTGCAGCCCCGGCAGGCCACGCCAGATCCCGGGCGGCGCCGGAAGGACCCACGGCACGGGGTGCGGGAACCGGACCGCGGCCCCGTCCCAACCTAGGCGGGGCGGGCCTGCGCGGAACGCCCGGATCCGGGTCTCAGTTGCTGAGACCACCCAAAGTGGAGGCCGCCGCGAACGCGTACGGCGGCGCCCCTCTCGATCCGCGCGGGCCAGGCCACCCGAGGGAGGATGTCAGGGGGGCGGAGGGGAGCGGCCACGGTCCGCGCCTGCTGGGAACCGGGCCCGCGTCCAAGCCCGGGCGCAGCGCTGCGCGGGCGCGGACGGCGCCGGGGAGGCCGGGCAGGCCAGTCGGACTGCGCGCCGGGGGCGGGGAGCTCAAGGCCGGGCCTGGCCGCGCGGGGCGGCCCTACCTTCTCCTCGCCGTCGTAGATGCGCACCCCGCGCTGCTGGATCACCAGGGTCTCGTTGATCTCCAGGAGGCCGCTGGTCCACACGAAGCGGTCCATGGCCTCCGCCGGGCCCGCCCCAGCTGCTCGCCGGCCTCGCTGATCCTGGGCAGCTAGTGAGCACTGGGCGGCCTGCGGCGCCCCCTAGCGGCGGGAGGGGAGGGGAGGGAGCGGCTGGTGGGCGCTCTAGGCAGCGCGCGGCCCGAGGCTCCCAGCGACGTGCAGCCGTGCTTGGAGCGCCCCCTGGCGGTAGTTCGCCAAAGGTCGGTGGAAACGCCCACTCCACCCTTTGTCCAGCTGGGGCACAAGCCCAAGATCTTACAAGGGCTTTGATGGACCCCACACCGTACCTTGGACTTCCTTATCGCGCATTATTTCTGCATATCTGTGCCGTTTTCTTGTCAGTTTCCAGCATGTTGCCATGTTTGGTAAAGGTCGTAAATGATTTTTTTCCGAAATGAATATTTATGCCCTGAATTGTTTTTACACAGCAGGAATGGAAACCCAGAGCCCCAATTTAATGTGTGATTTTGATTTAACCTGTAGCCGGAGCACTCTATCCCGTGTCTTCACAGCATGCCCTGTAAGCCGTAGCCCTTTCCCCGAGGCAGCAAGACAACAGTGGCCATTCCTTCACACGAGATGTGAGCTTTGTTAAGCTACAGATAACATCGTGGCCTGAATTGTATTTCAGCTCCCGAGCCCTAAAGCTGAAAGACCCCCCCCCAGCCACATCCTCATGAAACCGAGCTGAAGGGACACCAAAGCTGACCTCAAGACCTAAAATAATGACTTACTTCCCTTACCTCACTCTTTTAATTTTTTAAAAATTACACTTATTTAATACCATATTAGTTTCAGGTGTACAGCAGTGTGTTCAACATTTATATAATTTACAAAGTGAACCCCCCTGTTAAGTCTAGTACCTGTTTAGCACCATACGTATATGTTATTATAATATTATTATTTTCCTTGTGCTGTACTTTACATCCCCATGACTATTTTGAAACTATAAATTTGCACTTCTTAATCCCTTCACCTCTCTCACCTAGCCCCCCAACCCCCTCTCCCATCTGGCAATTGTCAGTCTGTTTTCTGTATAAGTTTGTTTCTCTTTTGTTTGTTCACTAATTTTGTTTTTTAGATTCCACGTATAAGTGCAGGCATACAGTATTTGTCTTTCTCTGTCTGACTTATTTTACTTAGCGTAATACCCTCCAGCTCCATCCATTCGCCATGAATGGTAAGATTTCATTCTTTCTTTGGCCAAGCAATATTCCACTGTGGATGTGTACCACACATGTCTATCTAACCATCCACTGATGGGCAGTTAGGTTGCTTCCATATGTTGGCTATTATAAGTAATGCTGGTCACACGAGCACTTGAATCTATATTCTGCTGCTTTGGGGTGAAATGCTCTAAAAATAGCGATGAAATGCATCTGGTCTACTGTGCCATTGAAGGCCACTATCTCCTTTTTTATTTTGTGTGGAAGATCTACCCATTGAGGACATAGTAAGGTGTTCGAGTCTGTAACTTTACTACTGTCAGTCTCTCCCTTTATGTCCATCAATGCCTTACTTATGTATGTAGGTGCTCCCATGTTGGGTGCATAAATGTTTACAAGGGCTACCTCCTCGTGTCGGGCTGACTCCTTTATCATCATGCAATGTCCTTCTTTGACTGTTATTACAGCGTTGGTTTTAAAGTCCAGTCTGTCTGATGTAAGTATTGTTCCCCCAGCTTTTTATTTCATTTCCTTTTGCATGAAATACATTTTTCCGTCCCTTTACTTTCAGTCTTTGTGTGTCTTTCGATCTGAAGTGGGTCTCTTATAAACATCACATGTATGGGTCTTGTTCTCTTACCCACTCAGCTACCCACGTGTTTAGTTGGAGCACTTAATCTATTTACAGTTAAAGCAACTATTGATAGGCATGGAGTTACTGCCATTTTATTATTTATTATCATGTTCTCCCCCCACCTTCTTCTTTAAAGAAGTCCCTTCAGCATTTCTCGTATCCCTGGGTGTTTGCTGCTACCCTGTCTTCCAAACCACTGACCCGGTGACTCTGCCTCATCTGATCTGCTCTGGATTCCTTCTTGGGTATTTATTTTCAATTGTGTGTATTTTTTCCAATTATAGTTTACATTCCATATTATTCTGTGTTAGTTTCAGATGTGCAGCAAAAATGGTTAGAAAAATCATGCATTTTATAGAGTGGCCCCCCCCCCCAGATGCTTCCAGTACCCACCTGGCCCCGTGCAATGTATTATGGTGACTAACCATAATACACTGTGCTCATTTCAGTTATTGTATTCTTCCTTGCTGACTGGTTTAGGTTTATTTTTTTATGTCCTTTTTATGTTTACTATATCTTTTAAGGATTTTGTTTATTTATCTTTAGAGGGCAAGGGAAGGGAAGAGGGAGGGAAATATCAATGTATGGTTGCCTCTCGTGCGTCCCCTCCTGGGAACTGGCCTGCAACCCAGGCATGTGCCCTGACTGGGAATTGAACTGTAATCCTTTGGTTCACAGGCCCGTGCTCAATCCACTGAGCTACACCAGCCAGGGCTGTTTACTATACCTTTATTGAGGTTCTAAGTTCCTTGAGAATCCTTACAACCAGTGTTGTGAATTACGTGTTTCGAGGATTGTCTGTCTCCATTTCATTCAGTTTTTCTGGAATTTTTTTTGTCCCGTTCTTTCATGTGGGATATGTCTCTTTGTCTCCCCATTTGGGCTGTCTCTCTGCGTTTCCTTCTTTCTTTTTAAAGATTTTATTTCTTTATTTTTTAGAGAGGGGGAGGGAGGGAGAAAGAGAGGAAAACACCAATGTGTGGTTGCCTCTCACATGCCCCTTACTGGGGATCTGGTCAGCAACCCAAGCATGTGCCCTGATTGGAAATCAAACTGGCCACCCTTTGATTGTCAGGCAGGCATTCAAACCACTGAGCCACACCAGCCAGGGCTCTGTGTTTGTTTCTATGTATTAGGTAGGTCTGCTACATCTCCCAGTCTTGACAGGGTGGCCTTATGTAGCAGGTGTTCTGTGGACCTCAGCGGTGCCATCTCCCTGGTCACCTGGGAGGTGCTTCAGCAGTGTCCCTTGTGTGGGTTGGGTGCCCCTGTTGTAGTTGAGCCTTGATTGCTGTTGGCATGTCAGTGGGTGGGGTTGAACCTCAGGCTGAGGTTCAGCCACAAGCACAGCATATAGCTGCTGTGGGACTGATTCCGCAGGGCAGGACTAGCCCCAAGGGCTCTGATACCTGTCGCAGCCGAGACCTCCTCTCTGGCCACCACCAGTCTTCAGAAACATCCCTTCCTGACCTATCTGTGCGGCAGGGAAAACTACTAGTTACTGAGCATGTGCTCTCCCTGCAATGAACTCCCGAAGCCCAAGGAGTCCCCCCTCATCCCTAGCTCAGAATGTCATGCACCTCATGTTCCCTTTCTGCCTGTGAATCCCTGGGGTATATGGGGTCTCTCATGTCTGTGGGATTCCTGTGTGCACAGAATTAAATTTGATGTTCACTTGTCATTTTGTCTCATGCTGATTTGATTATTCAACCAACCGAAGAACCAGAGGTCAGAAGGGCCCTTTTCTCTTTCCACACACTACTGTTCTGTTATGTGGCTTATGACTACATCTGACTTCATAGATCAGTGTATGTGGGGTTCCCTCAACCCCTGCACAGGGCAGCCCGTTAGGATCTCACCTGGAATGGACTGGAAGGTGTGGTTCCCATCGAAGACAAATTACAGAGATCTGTGCAAATGAACACGAAAACTTGATTGAATGGGTGTTGAGAGAATATGAATATTCAAATGAAAATTGAAAACCTGACATTGAATAAGTTATCAGAGAGGCATGAACAAATGAACAAACGATCAAACAAAAAATACTTCAGGACCAAATAATTTTTCACAAGTGAATTCTTTTAAAACTTGACGGAACAAATAATTATTTTCCCACCTAAATTTTTCCAGAGTACAAAGAAAGTTTCCAAATTCTCTTTATGAAGTCAGAAAAACTGATTCTAAAACCCAACAAAAATACTGTAAGTATAGAGAGAGGGGTCACGCAGAAATATGAATGCAAAAATCTCATAAAGTATTTGCAAAAGCAAATAAACAGAATATTAAGATAATGGTGTAGCACAATTTAAGTGGTGTTTATCCAAGGAGTGCAAATACAATTCAACATTGGAAATCTGTATTCAAAATTTAACTAATAGGTCAAAAAAGATAGATCAAATAATCATCAAATAGTAAAAAGATATTTGACACAATTCAACAAAAAATTTGAAATTAGGAATTTAAAAAATTCCTAATTTTTAAAATATCATATAAATACTTTCTTAGCATGTTAAGAACCTTGTTCAAAAACTGACTTGGGCACTAAATAGCAATTTCCTTCCTTCCTCTCTTTGAAGTTCCTTTATTTAGTTACATATAATTTGCATACCACAAAATTTTTAAATATGCAATTTGATGAGTTTCAACTACAGTTGGAACCACAATCATATAGAGAATATTTTCATCACACTAAAAAGTTTCCTCTGGCCCCTTTGCATTCATTTCTCCCCCAACTTCTTGGCCTTTAAGAACCACTGGTCTCCTTTTTATCACTATAATTTTACCTTTTCTAGAATTTCACATAAATGGAATCATGAGGATTGTAGTCTTTCATATCTGGCTTAAATGTAATCCATGTTTTTATGACTTATCCAGTTGCTGAATTCCTCTGTATTTGTCCCTTTTTATTGCTGAATAGTATGTAGTCAATTATATGGCTCTGTAACAATTTATCCAGTCATCAGTTTGTGAAAAATTGGTTTTATTTAGTATGTGCATAGGCATTTGCCCCGACACCATTTTTCGGAAAGATTATCTTTCTCCTCCATTGACCGGCCATAGAGACTTGAGTATATAGGATGCAGCAAAAAGGTTAACAGTTGTTGGTATGAGAAATAATAAAATAAGAATAAAACAAGAATAAACGCTGTATTTCGTGTGCTCACAAATATAAACTTACTTTTGCCCAGCCTGTATTTCTGAATCTCCATTGTAGTCTCTTGATTTGTTGTTCTTTACACCAATGCCACACTGTCTTGATTATTATGGCTTTAGAAGACATTTTGAAATCAGGTAGTATGAGTCTTCCAACTTTGTTCTCTAACAGAATTGTTTCTCCCCTTTAGATCATTTCTATATCCATTTAAATTTCAGAACACAATGTCCAGCTGCGGACGCACTCAGCCCTGAGCATGGGAGATAGAAATTGCACCCTCCTCTGTTTTTAAACACCCGCCTGAAAATACCCAGCCCAGCCTTAATTCAGTGGTCGGGTGAGGTGGGGAAATGCTATGGATCCAATGCTTAAAACAAGAAAGAATCAGCCCAGAACTCCCTAAGTCTCCCCCATCCCGCCCCCAAAACTTGTCTACCTCTGAATGATTTCTGTTTTGTGGCCTGGATGTTTGCTAGGCTTTTAGGGAGGGGATAGATATTTTAGATAAGAACTGGATGATTATGCTAGCACCTTTAAACACACCCCCAAAATCTCTACAATAAATGCTATTTTTAACCTTACAGGGGGACTAAAAGTGAAGGCTCTATCCTCATCTCATCCCTTTCTCTTCCTCTCCTCATTTTTGCATCTGATGATTGCGTAGTACGAAAAGAATTTACATTTTAATTTCAGTTCCCCTTTGCAAGCTTTGTGGGCAAATAACTTCTGAGCCCGTCCAAACAGGTGATAACGGCGACCCCCTTCAGGAGCTGTGATGCAGCCACCAAGCACTATTTATGAAAGGGAAACACACAGCCTCTTCTGCCACCTCCTCGGTGAACACGTCCACGTTTAATAAGAAACGCAGCCAAATAAGAATCCTTTTCCCGTCTGCCTTCCCTAATGGACTGTGGGCGTCCAAAGACTGGTCCCATCTGCTACATAGCAGGGACTTTGCAAGCCGATTCCTACCGCGTTCCAAATCCAATCCGCAGCGCGGTATTTTGGTTTGAAAACCGCGGAATCATCTCAAGGCAGTTCCAACGGAAACTGGAAGACACGGGACCCGCTCACGCAACCGTAACTCAAGCCCCGCCCCCTTCCCCCATTGGCCTATTCAATTTACGCCAGCACCAATGGGCGGAGGCGACGGCGCGCCACCTAATGAATCGGCGCCCCGGGACTTGGGAAGTGCGCGCTCTCTTTGGTCCAGGGCTTGCGAAGCGCTCCAGGTAGAGACGGGTCCCCCTATTTCGCTCTACTATGAGCACCCCCGTGGTGCCGCGCGACCTGCAGCTTCCCCCGAGTCAGAGGGCCCAGTTCGCGTTCAGAGGTGAGGGCTGCGGTGGCGGGATCTGCGCGAGCCGACGAGGAGAACCGGGGCGGCCGGGGTGAGGGGGTGGCTGGCTCGGGCTCAAAGGTCAGGACCTGGGGTCCGCAGACTCGCTTCCACCGTGGTCAGTTGTGTGAGACCCTGAACGGGTCCCCTGGCCCCAAGCAGCTGCTCTCCTGATGGAGTGCTGCCCGCGCCGCGGCGGTAGTGTCCGGGTCGAGCACTTTGCGCGCGGTCTTCGCTGGCCGGCGTGGGTCCTGGCGGCGGAGAATGGCAGAAACGCGCCGCGTTTATCCCGGGGCGCGTGCGGGGCTCCCGACCGAACCGACGTCGGGGGCTGGGGTTTGCGGGGGTCCGCCTGCATCTGCGCGGGGAACGGAATGCGTCTGCGCGGGACGGCCCCACCTCCTGCGTTGGAGCAGGAGTTTCGGAGAGCAGGCGCGTCTCTCAAGATGCTGACTCGTTAACGCCCCCCACATAATGGGAATCCAGGGTTGGCCAGGTCTTCAGAAGTACTACTGTTGTTTCTTTGGCCTACAAATAAGAAAACAGAACAAAGACAACCTCGCCCAGCCCAATTCTGGTAAATTAGGCTGAACTTAGAGACTGTCTGGTATCTTCATCTCTACCATTTGATTTGCGAGAGCTTGGCTTTCAGAAACCGTGTGCTCTTAAGCGATGTTCTCCGGCTGTTTCACTGTGAGACAGTGAATAACGTGAGTCTTGTGCTGAGCTGTTGTGGAACCTTTTATAGCAACGGTCTTGTAAAAATGGGATTATTTCCCAAAGGCAGTACTGCATTGGGCAAATTTCTGTTACACACCAGATGTGATGCTAAGTTGAGCATTTGTCGAAGTAAAATCTTCACTCAGTCAATATCTGTTTGATGTTAATTACTGTAACTAATGTTGACTTGTAGCTCTTTTGTTATTTAGAGCAAAGAAAGCAAAAACTCATGGAACACATGTTGAAAAGGAAAACTTTTTTTGCATACAAACAGGAAAATCAGATATTATCCAGGTGAGGTCAACAAATATATTTTTTAAAATTTCTGATCTGTAAACTTAACATTAGTTCAGAGCTGTCCAATAAAAATGTAATGTGAGCCATTTGTGTAATTAAAAATCTAGCAGCCACATTTTAAAAGTTATTATTTAAGGAAGTGAGTTTTAACAACATATGATTCAATGTAGCATAGCCCTGTGTTGTCTTTTCAACATGTAACACCTTAAAAATGGAGATTCTTCACATTCTTTTTGGTACTAAGTTTTCCACACTTCAGCACACCTCAGTTTGGACTGGCCAATCGTGAGTGCGGAGTAGCCACGTGTAACTTAGTGGCCGCTTTATTGAATGAATTGCCCAGCATTAAATCATCACTTCCGTGTAAATTAATTCACCCTCCAAGAGAAAACAATTTTAAAGCAAAATGTGTATTTTTACCAAAATATTGACTTACGGTTTATACAGCGCTTCAAAGGCCAGTCTTTGTATAATTTCTCAGGGTTTTAGTCAGAGCCGACATATGAGGTAGGGGGAATGTTCTTCGGGGAGCGGCCCTGCTAAGTGTTTGGAAATCGTTTGTTTTAGCCTTAGTCTTCTATAGGAATATAGTTGTACTGTTTTGTTACGGTTTTAAGGCACGGCTGTGACTAAAATAAACACCTGCACAAGTGTGTGAAGCAGAAAATACGGTGCAGTTCCCCAGGCTCACTGCAGTCGGAGGTGGGGGCCGATGAGGGCTGAGGACCGGCCGGGCTCTGAGAGCCTGCCTCCGCACCTGTGAGCCGTGGGGGTCACCAGGCCCCCGAGTCCGTTTACTTACATCAGTGGTAAAATGTTGTGTGCATCACACACATGCGCACGCGCTGAGAGAACGCGCAAATGATGGCCCAGCTGGGGTAGCATGTCGGCAGCAGGTAGGCAAGGCTGGGTAAATACAGGTGCTCTTTGAACTATGTATGATTTTGCAACTTTATGTCAGTCTGGCGTTATTTCCAAATAAAATGCAGAATTTTCTTAACTTTACATTCATAAGTTTTACTTGGGAGTAAACATTTTCATAAATCCCACAGTTCCTTTTTTAAACTCCCCCCCCCAAAAAACCTTTTTGTTTGTTTGATCTGCATGACTGAGTGGACAGTGATGCCCTATATTTGGATGGGGAAGACTGAGGGCAGAGTTGGGGAATTACGGGTTCTGTTTTGACTGTGTTAAGTTTGAGGCCCCAGTAAGGCATTGAAGGGGAGATGCCAGATAGTTTTGTGTCTGAAGTTCAGGGGTGAAATTGGGACTGGACGTATAAACTTGGGAATTGTACGTAGACAATATTTGTTTAAAACCCAGGGGTAGAATGAAATTACTAGAGAATCGATATTAATTCAAATAAGACAGTGACTCTCAATTTCTTACTTAAATAAAGAATCCAGCTGGGTCGTGGGGTCTATAATGATCTTATACACAATCCGAAGAAAAGGAAATTCTGAAACCTTTTCTGGCTTCACCAAGAAACTTCACAAGTACTGTATTTAATTTCAGAAAACATGCCAATTTAAATATTACTTGAACAACAAATTATTAAATAGCCAACCAGTCAGTTGCAGCTTCTTAAAATTGAGTTCTTTTTTATAGCCTTTAGTGATGTATTTTAAGACTCTTTTGTTAAAGAAGACCTTCTGAGGGCAGCTTTATCATAATGAGACAGAATAGGATTATATATGTTCATTGAAGCCTCCACACTGGACAGGTGACCAAGGTAGATCCGAGCTGTAGTTGACTCGCAGTAATAGTTTCAGGCGCACAGCATCGGGCTTTGATGTTCTTGTACATTAGGAAATGGTCACCGTGATGGGTCTGGTGGTAATACCCCTGACCCCCTGCACCAGCGCACTCTGTCTGCCCTCCAGCAGCCAGCAGCTCATCCCCTGTGTCTGAGTCTGCTCCGGTCCCTCCGAGGATTTTGAGCTAGCAGTTAGAAAGGCTGGCAATGTCAAGACTAAGTGCTGAAATTCTGTCAGCACTGATGGAAAAAGAGGAGTCCCTGAGAAATACAAAGCTAAAAGAAAAAGGCAGAAGAAAAGTTTAAAATCGGAGTCCGGCCTTGAGCCCCAGTGAAGTCAGGAAGAAGAGAGATGGAAAAGAAGGGGACCAGTGAGGTTGGGGTGGGAGGGGGAGAACTGGGGGTCCAGAGGGAGCAATGGGGGGAAGGCATTTTAAAGAAAGAATGACTACCTGTGTCCAGGGCAGTGGGAGGCTGAGAGACGTGGAAGTGGGTACGGGGCCTTGCACTACACATTTTCAACGATGGCAGAGGAGAGTCCAGATGTGCTACCGAACAGGACGTCTCGGTAGCTAGATATCCGTCTTCCTGTTCCTCCCGGGCCTTGCCAGTGTCCTGGGGCACAGCGACCTCACCAACGGTTAAGGGGTTTTAGAGCAGTGGGGATGCAGAGACAGCTCACAGAGGTCCCTTCCTTTGGAGTAGTTCTGCTGTACAAAGAAACGAGGCAGGCGCCGAAAGGGACTGTGAGGTTGCAGGTTTTAAATGAGACGTAATAGGCAGTGTTTCTGTGCTGATGGGAATGACCTAGCAGCAGGACAAGTTAATGATGCAGAAGAACAGGCAAATAATCACAGGGTCGGAGTCTCTGAGTGGACCAGAGGGAGAGCACAGATGGAGAGTCGGACCCTAGGACAGCATGGTGGCAGTTCGGGGCACAGAGGTAGATAGGCTCCCAGTCTTTGGGGGGGGGGGGGGCAGGCTAATTCTTAGTAAGATTGCCTCGATTTCCTCAGTGAGGTAGCATCACAGCATACCGTAAGCCCAGAAGGGATAGAAGCTGAGATCAATAAGTGGCCTTATTAGTGAAGTACCACCTTAGAAGCCACCTGGCAGGTTGACCCTGAGCATCAAATCCCGCCACGCCAGGCCACACACACACACCTGGAAAGCAGGAGGAGTGCCGGCCACCACGTAGTGAATGCAGGAGTTTAACTGTGGGAGAGGTCGCTGTGCCCGAGGGAACTGGCAAGGCCTGGGAGGGGACCGGAAACCCCTCTGCTCGGATATCTAGCTACCGAGATGTCCTGTTCCGTTGCACATCTGGACCCTCCTCTGCCGTTGTTGAAATGTGCAGTGCAAGGCACGTCGAGTTCTGCCTCTTCTCCAAGCAGACTGAGCACATAGATGGGAAAGGCATCATCACCAAAACGAACAACTATATAGACAGCAAATTTTGTTGATGCTGACGCGTACTTTTTTTTTTCCCTTTTGCATTTTAATGTCTCTGAGCTTGGGGTCTGTCTTAGAATCAGTGACATCTACCTGACCCTGCTTTCCCCTTACCTTACTTGCTGAGAGATTCTCACGGCCGGTGCTGACCAGTCTACATATGTGAAAAGGAGTTGAAGTCAGATCCATGAGGAGGAATCCTTTGGATACGCACGCTAAATGCAATGCCGTGTAGAAACGAAAGTCCATATTCTTAATAATTAAGCCATAAGTGTATGTGTGGAAAATTTTAGGTTCTTTTGAAAAGACTTAAAATTTTTTTTTCAGTATGTCTGTTACTGACTACTTAACCAAACAGTGTTGCTTAACAAAGATTTTCAGAGACTCGTTAGAGTGGATTAGAGTGAGATTATCGTGTTCACATACTCTGTGGGGGGAGGATGTTAAGACTTTAAAGAAGATGTCTTTAAATTCCTCAGCCATCTTGTCTGTATCATTTAATCACCCTATAATAAAAGTTTTGCTTAAGACAAATCTCTCAGTTCTTACTTCAATTTAAAATTATAAAGTCAACTAATTGTTCATATTCTTTCATCCCTTCCCATTTTCTTTTTTAAGTAGTGGAAACCAGAGAGTGATGGCATCTGAGGGTCGGGTCCAAGAAGAGACAAAAGTTCTGAAACTTAAGACAAATATGGTAAGATCTGGACAGAGTCCTTAAAACTGCCCCTTTCCCGTGTTTTCCTTTCCTAACCTCTTTCTAAAAGAAGTAAGTTCTGAGATAACTGATTTGTCTCAAATGTCTCTTTTAGGCTGATAAAGAAAATGTCCACAGACCTACAAAGAACAAAAATAATATAACAGTGGAAAAAAACTGTATTCCGTTAAAATCTTGTAATGAATTAGCCAATTCAACTGTAGTAATTGATACACAAAATTTGGAGAATAATAATGAGAATCTGCAGTCCATACCAAGTAAGGCTGAGCCCCAAGGCAAACGCATGACATTCAGCCGAGCCTTCCACAGCAAAAACAACGACAAGAAGAAAGAGGTGCCTGTGGAGGAACGGAAGCAGGACGCTGACGCACTCAGGAAGCCCGTGCTTGGATCCTACCGCGGCCGGGTCGTTCAGTCAAAGGTTGATTCCTTTAGAAAACCTTTCCGAGCCAAAGATGAGAGTTCTGCAACAGCAGAGAAGCTTTCGACTGCTGTCCCCAAAGCCATGAAACCCCAGCCTGCAAACACCAGCTGTGTCCCAGTGAAAAGTCACAGGGCCCCCACTGTGACAGCTGCCACTAAATCTGTGAGCACTGTGTCTCAGAACAAACAACTTCTGCGCCCTCCTATTAGAAGTCACGGCAGTAATACCCAGGACACCCTGAAACCTGGTGTCAGTAGAGCCTCTGCCCACGTAACAATTCGGAAAGGGTCTCGTGACCATGAGTTAGTGCAGTCAAGTGCAGTTTTATCCAGTGTCAAAACCAGTTCTCGGGAAGTGAAAGGAAACAAGATGCTATCCAGAAGCATCACAGCTGAGATTATAGCCAGGCCTGCTGCATCGTCGAATACCAATACCAAGTGGCCGGGAAAGCCAGAAACCGCCGACCAGCGCAGACACACCATAGCGAGAGCGACTGTGGGCGGTAGATCGGCGCTGCCCAGAGAAACCGCGGAAGAGAGGAGGTGAGTAGGCACGATTTCATCAGCTTCATCTTCCGTAGAGTACCCTTCTGAACTTGGTTTATAATCTCCTGGAATATGTTAGAATTGTGTGTGTGTGTCTCTATTATCATATGCAGACAGATTTAAGCGAAGTTGTAAGTGGAACAGCGTGGCCTGAGTTACTGTGTCCAAATGTGTTTTATTAGGTTTTATATAACGTGAGTTAAAATGCTTAATAAAATTGGGAAAGATTTTATAACTGGTCCATTTGAAAATTCATTCCTGTGTCTTTGGGCATGTAATTAACACGGATGTATTTAATGATTTTTCCTTCAAATTTGTGTGTTGACACTAGCATGGAACTCCCTAAAGACCTGGAGCAGTTTTAGACTTCCCTCTCTTTGACGGTGCCCTCAGGGCACCGCAGTAACGTGTATATACTGCTCCTGATTGCAGGGCACACCTGCGCGAGTGGAGAGCCAGCAAAGGAAGAACGCTGAAAAGGCCCCCCAGCTCAGGGCCCAGCCGGCCTGCGTCTGAAGAGCCCAGTGAGAAACCGGTAGGGTCCTTCTGGACCACCATGGCAGAAGAAGATGAGCAGAGATTGTTCACTGACAAAGTAAACAAGACGTTTTCTGAATGTCTGAACCTGATTAATGAGGTAGAGTCTTTCTCTTATGTTTGAGTAGTCGTTTCTACTTTGCAAATTACCTCCATAAATATTATCCCATTAAACTACATTGTCAGTCCCTTTTGACCAAGTCAGTGGTTTTAATGTAGGCTTCCGATAATTGTGAGATTGTTTCTCGTTAGCCTTTAATGGGCTGCATTTTCACTGAGTTCATAGAAGTACTCATATAGCAAAGGGATATTTTTTTACTTGAGTTGTGAAGATTGTATTCCTCTATGACAATAATTTACTGAAGACTAGCAATATAGATTAGTGAGTCATTATCACAAGTTAAATTCAAGTTGATTAAAATATTTGCAAACATTCCCATTAATTTTAACCAACATCATTATGGTCTTGAACTTAGTATAGTTTTACTGTTTGGATGAAAAATTTACCTCCAGAATGTTTTCTTTACTTCCTACTGTGTAACCTTGCAGCGGTCACACACCACTAAGTTCCAGAGCGAGATCGAACACTGGGGGTGTGAAGTCAGACCCTCTCTAGTCTTCATGAGCATCTGTAAACTTTTCGTAGTTCCGCGGACCAGTGAAAATCACCGTCAGGGAAATGGATTCAATCCTTACTTCTGCTTAACTGGAGTCTTTTACTGACACTAGAATTTTTCTGCCCTATTAAACTATATATAACTCTTACGCAAACCATTACAGATTCATTTAACCCTAGTAACAAAAACCCTGACAAATATAATTTTAAAACCTGCAAGCTGTTTTCCCTCATAAACATTTGGTAGACACAAAAAAATCTAGATAATTAGCAGATGGACTCGGCACCGTATGAGAGGATAAACGCAAGGACCGAGTAGAGTGTTAGTCATTTTTTTTGCTAATGTTTTTCCCAACTATGATTTTCTTGTGCCTTGTGTTTATGCCTGATATGCTTCTTACTAACTGTAGGTTGGGGTGAGGAAGATAAGAGTGAGTATTTTTATGAATTTTTCTGATACCTTTTTTTCTCACTGATCTTGATTGTAATGAGCTTACTTTATTAAGTTCATACGTTGTAGGCTAAAAGATACTACTCACTTCATTTCTTGATATTTTAGGGATGCCCAAAAGAAGAAATATTGGCCACACTGAATGACCTGGTTAAAAATATTCCAGATGCCAAAAAACTGGTTAAATATTGGATATGCCTGGCACGCATCGAACCACTCACAAGCCCTATTGAAAATATTATCTCCATCTATGAAAAGGCCATTCTGGCAGGAGCTCAGGTGAGATTAAAACTTACTGATGTTTGTCAATTATGGTGTAAATTATTCAGAATTTTTTGGGACGCAGCAAGCATAACTTAATATAAATTGTGGTTGTATATGTAGAGGTAATGAGTGTTTAAAGCAGAGTAGATTTTATCTATAATATGCACAAGAACTGCATATTATAAAAGCTGTTTCTCAGCCTTCTAGAATTTGCTCACATCCTAGGGGTAATCAGACCTCAGAACACGGATGTGCTGTGGCTGAAATGGACATTTAATGCAACCTGCTGGGAGAGATGCTGCAGCACAACTTGTCATTTTGCACATTTCCTAGTTGAGAAATCTACTGGGGAGTTGAATTTTAATATTAGCATGTGTTTATAAACTGTTTCCAATGAGTTTTTAAAAATTCTTCATTTTAGCCTTTCCTTAAGAAAGGTCTACTCATGATAGTCTCAGCAGAGCCAACAGAGGCTGTTTGACCTTTCACCTGAGTGGGAAAGCAAGTATTCGGTAGACATTCTCTTGATGGCTGTCGTGTGTAAAGCACTTTGCTGAAGGATGATTGTGTTGGACAGAATCCCACCTGCAAGGGAGCGGTGGGTCCCTACTGCCTAGAAGCAAAAGGGGGCTACTGAAGGAGGCGTGGCTGGGGCTGCAGCTGGAGCTAAGGGTTTGTTTGCGCAGCAGCGCAGTGGTGCAAAGAGAAAGGTGTGACCCTGGGCAGAAGTTGGAAAACGAGGACCAAAATTAGCCCAGAACATTGAAAGCTGAATGGGCGAGTGGCTCAGGACTATGTCCTAGAACCAAGAATAGGAGCCAGAGCATCCCTTTTATACAACTTCTTGAATGCGTAGCGTGAACAGGTGTGGGCAGTTCACAGGAGCACGGGAAGTGCATGTGATACCTGGCATACAGTGAACGCTGAAGTGAGCTCTTGAAAGTTTTGACCTTGAGCTGTTCAAAGATGCATTTAATACCATGTGAGACAACATGTAACCATGCACTTGAATGTTGGAGAAAAGAAGTAAACTATACTTAAACGTCAGTGTAATCAGCTCTTCAGTAGATACTAAGAATGCTAATTTGTTACTGGTTCACTAACTTCCTTTACACCAGGCAAGTGGCAGTAGTTACCAAAGGCTGCAGAAAAATTATGGGGGAAACCTTAAGCTGCTGAAATTCTATCCCTTAAGTTCAATTTTATTTTGTAAATTGAAAAGGTGGGTTTTTTTAATGCGAGTGGCAAAGTAAGTGGTCTGAGAACCCCTGCCATGTTTTAAAATGCAACACTTCATCATGGATTTAATATTTTCAACTTGGACAACATGGTGCTTAGAATGTGAAACTAATACATGTCTGCTTCTCCACTGAAAAAAATCAAGCCCATTGAAGAAATGCGACATGCAGTTGTAGACATTCTGACAGTGAAGGGTCAAGAAAAAGTGAAACTTGGTGAGTTAGTTTCTTTTGTCTCCTTGAAGTGAATTGTGACTTTATTAAATTTCTTTGCTGAATTATTTTTATTTTATCGCTTAAACATTTTTTAAATATGTAGGTTGATCTTTCCTCACACTTCTATTGACATACCTCTGAGATTCAGCTTTGTGTGCATAAAGAATTTTAATCGGGAGGTCTCTGAAACCCAGATTTGTCTCTGAGTGTCTGTGGAAGTTACTTCTAGAGACTGTGGTGTCCTGTTTTTAGATTGAGGCAGTTTACTGGACAAAGAACATGTATGAATGAGCCATGGTCATGGACAGCAGTGTGGGAACTGACTGTGGGAGCAGGGGGTGGGCTGGGCAGAGGTGGGCAAAGGGGGGGATTAGGACAGCTCTAATAGAATAATAATAATAAATGTTTTAATTTTTAAAAGTTTGATGCAGTTCAAGTAGATGACCTCTAGAAAGGCTTTTACCTATTAGATTCTGTGGTATGTTTTGTGCTATGGAGAAGGCCGTGTAGGAATTCTCTTTTCGAGGGCACTGCCCTCCTTTTCGAGGAGGAGTAGACCGGGAAGAGAAGAGGGTCCTTAACTGTTAGGTATTTAAAATGTAAACATTTCCTAGATTCAGATATAGGTTGTGCCAATTCCTAAGAACATTTACAAGAAATTTAACCCCTTAGCTGTAAAGTGGAATAATGTTATCTTCCTCAAGATCCTTGGGACCATTGAATGAAATGATGGAAGCAGTGGGGAAAGTGGGTTTACAGTTGTAAGTACACGATCACACCCTGTGGCACAGAAAGTGCCTTAAGCTTTAACAGCTATCAGCATTAACTAGCTCAAATGAGAGAGAAATCACTGCATCTAAGTATAAGCTAATCTGTTTCCTTGTTTAGAGTTATTTTCAGTTTTTTACTATAATTCTCTGTGGCAGCCTGTCAGAATATTTGAGCAACTATTTTATTCCATCATTGCGTATCGGGTTATTTTCTTTTGATTAATTTGATTAAAAGTGTCAGTTTGAACTTTTTAAGGCTCCTGATATGTGCTGCTACATTGCTTTCTAAAAAATACCTTTATTTTCAAGTAAAGTTAAAGATTATACCGAAATTCTAAGTGTGTCATACGTGTTCCCAAAAAACTGTTCAAGGGGGTTAATTCTCACTGGCTCCAGAGATAGGTAGAGAGAGGAAGCGGCATTTAAACCGGATTCGGTTTTCTGTCCTGTTTCTCCTTGATAGAACAGGACTAGTCGGTGGACTCCTTCCAGCAGGTGGAGCATCCATCTTGATGGAAGGAGAAGTGCAGTCAGGAAGCCCTGGGCTCTCTGCAGTGAGGAGGGAGGGGGACGGCGCCACTGTGCCTGCCAGACACCTGGTCCCCGTGTCCAGCCTGGCACACACCGCGTTCCCGAGCGTCCCTTTGGCTCCCTTTCTCAGTGACTGGCACCGGTCAGCCCTCCACACGAGGAATCTGGGGATTCTATCTTACTCCCTCTGCTCTTATCCTCGCCCCGTTCCTCAGTCAGTCAAATTCAGTTTAACTCCCTAAGTGTCTCGGGAAATCCACCTGTTTCTCTTTGTCCTTACTCTTACTCCCATTGTCACTGTTCCCAGTGCTCTCCTGACTGGCCCGCCCCTCTCGCTCTAATCCGCTCCCAGCACTTTGACCTGAGTGGCCACTCACCCGCCCAGTTCCTGACTCCGGCCTTTTGGCTCTCTCCCACTCCTCCACATCCCCGACTTCTTTCTTGTTTTTTTTTCCCCCCTAGAAGGGGCTATACTACCTGGCTTGTCTCTGCATCTACCCAAGCCAGTCTTCTACCTCGAACTTAATTCTGCCTTATCCTTTAGACCTCAGTTGAAAGGTCTTTTTGGGGGTAGCCTTCCCTTCCCTCACCCAGCTAGATCAGATGCACCTTGTTTCTTGTCTGTGCAGAATTGATGCATTTGATTGCTTGTTTGTCTTGTCTTTTGAACTGTCAACTCGCTGGACAGGGAAAGTGTCTGGTCTTCCTCACCAGTGTGTCCCCAGTGCCACTGCGGTGCCTGGCATACGGCAGGCACGTGAATAAATACCTGCCGAGTTGGAGAATCCCCGTCCCCCTCCACGTCAGCATAGCGTGTACCTGAAACTCGGCGAAGATCTCTAATAATTCCTAATAATCAAACTAGAGGTCTTTCCAGCTCGATGCATTTACAGATGTCCCACGAGTGTTTTACATCGAGTATACAGAACTTTGTCTTCCCCCATACTGCCCTGCCTTCCTCCCAAAAAAAGAAGAAAAATTTTTTTCTCTGTCATTAAAGACTCCAAAGTAAGAAATTTTTGAGGGGGTGGCCCTCACACCAACACACATTCAGACGTACATGTGCATTCACTCAGTAACTCCCAACTCGGAGACGAGTCTGCCCCGGCTCTCCCTTCTCACCGCCCTGCTCACACCATTGCAACGGCTGTGTCTTCTCACCGCCACAGGCTCGGAACCACCCTGCACCGAGACCAAACCCAGTTGTAGCTCTGTCTCGCCAGTGAATTCCTTTTTTTTTGCCAAACTTCATGCACATAAAGTTCATCATACTTGACCCTTCCTGCCTTTCTGAATTCATCACCTGCTCCCTACATGCTGACCTTGCTCCTTACCTAATATTTTAAATGCACTGGCCCTTTAATGTGGTCTTAATTTTCTTTTCCCCTTTTTTAACTTCACACTGAGATGATCTCCCTTGGTCTTGTCAGGTTCTCGTTTTTCAAGCCCCAGCACACGTCACTCCCCAAGTCTCCCCCAGCCATGTCCCCGACCTGCAAGCCAAGTTGGATGCTCCCTTCTTGGGGTTCTTATCTCCTTTGTAACCTTTTTATTGTTTTATAATTATCTTCAAGCGTGTCTCCCATGGCATGTGAACTTCTTAAAGCACAGGGGTGATTTTGTTCTTACATTTGTATCTGTAACCCCACACATAGGTGTTAATAAACAGTGTTAAACAGTTGTCAGCAACATTTGCTTAGGGAAAGTAATGGTTAGGAGATGGCTCGGTTCTTTTATTTTGAAAATCTGGCTCACTGTGAATAACATTAATGTCTTCTGATTTTGGTCTTCCAGTCTGACCAAAAGCATAACCTAAATGTGTATTTCTCTAGGAGAAAATTTTGAGGAGGCTTGTACAACCAAGGAACCAGTCCAGGAAGTCAGCCCTGAAGACGCCGGTGTTGACGCAGAGTCGGGAAAACCGGAAATGGAAACTAAGCATCCCAGGAGCGTGGCATTTCAAGACTGCGAAAAAGAGCAAGTCGACAAAACCAAAGGTCCAGCCAGTGATGCTAAAACCCCCAACACAGAAACACGGAATAGTTGCTTAATTAAATATAATGTGTCTACCACACCATACTTGCAAAGGTAAGCTTTTAAAACATAATGTGCTATGATTTGTTTTTATGGTTAGGGTTAATAAATATCGTAGTTTAAAGTCTTTAAGGTAGCTCTTGGATGAAACTGTTTGTTAATAGAAGGGTTTCAAACAACCTGAATGTCATTGGGCCATCACCTTTTAAATACTGAATTTGCTTGCTTTTCCCTAAGTATTGCTACTTTGAAAGAGAAGATTTTTACATAACTATGTAATTGCTATTTGTGTATTATTGGTGGCAGGAGGTTTTGGAAATTCAGAAGTTAGCCACTTCTACAGATATTTGCGTATCAATTGTGCAAAAGTTGTAACAAAAAATTGGAAAGAAAAAGTTCCTATCTCAAGGGGCCTGCACCGCACCTCTGTTGGACAAACAGCTGCGTGGTTGCACAGGTTACAGTACGACTAATGGCATCAGAATACACAGGAAGAATGTAAACGTGCTTTTTAACTCTAGGAATCATTTTGTGGATTTTTTTTTAGCATGAAAAAGAAAATGCAGTTTGATGAAACGCATTCTACTGTTAAAGAGCTCAAGTTTCTAACACCAGTTAGACGTTCCCGGCGGCTTCAGGACAAGACTTCCAAGTTGCCCGACATGCTGAAAGACCACTACCCCTGTGTGTCTTCGCTGGAGCAGCTGACAGAGTTGGGGGACAAAACTGATGCTTTCATCTGCCGCCCCAACGCGGCCCTGTGCCGGATGTGTGTGGAGTCGGAACCCACGTCCGAGCAGTGAAGCTGGGGCGAGAAACGGGGTTTTCTTTATCCTGGGGTGCTTGTTGCGGCATCATGCATCTCTTAGGCCAGGAGCTGGCCAAATGCCTGAGTGTTCGTGGCCATAAACCCTTTACTGACGCCCTCATCACAGCAGGCGTGGCAGGTGCCTTCCCGGCCAGAGAGCCCGTCCTGCCCGGCGTGCTCAGACTCTGGTGTTCTCCGGGGCGGGTGCGTTTGTCAGCTGGTTGACCGTGTTCCTTTAATGATAATTAACAAGTGTCCTAGTGTTGGTGGTATTTCTAAAATAACTAATAGTTAAACTTGCTTTGTAACATAAAAACTTAGGTGTTAAATCACGTCCAAGAAGCATGATAGTTCCACACTGTAAACGGCTCTTCCCCACACCTGTCACTAATAAAATTGTTTATGTCTTCGAACCAATGCTAAATGGCCTCTCTCTACCAATTCTACGCTCACTCCGTTCAGCTATGCTGACTACGTAATTGGCTGATATATTCAAAGATTCGATAATTGTAAAGCTAGTATGGAAGTGGTTGAAAATCGCATAGGCTCATTTCGTTCATGTATTCGTTTGTGTAATAGCACCTCTTACTGTCTTTGCATGTTCTGAGAGCACAATTTTTATTTTTAAACTACGCCTAGTATTTAAACAATAAATTCAAATATCTACATAGTGCCGTTTCGATGTCATTTATTTCATCAAACATGAAATGCTGTTTAACCACAGTGAATAAATTCAAACCTTGCCTCTGGAAATGAACACTGGTATTTGACTTGAGGTTTTTCACCACTTAAAATAAGTACGTGCTTAATGGTTATTTTCTTTTGAAAAATAATCTCTGAAACTATACCCTAATTTTACCTTATTTAGTTTGTTCTTTTCATCCTTTGTACAAGTGCCACAAAATACGCCACTTTGAAATAAACTTCAAGCTGGCTTACCTGCAATACCTACAGCTTTTTAGTACCTATAACATAACATTCATGTGATCATAAAGCTTAGCTTAAAATACCTCTGTAAAAGGGAACTTGAGCTAAACTGTTATGTATTTGGACAAATTTCATGGTGCTTTCCCCCTCAGTTAACTGAGGGAAATTTACCTCTGAATAGTCATAGTTCTAACGTTTATAGACACCGGTTGAACTCCTTTTCAGATGCTGAAGAGCAGACACGTGTGGGCCCGAGGGTTTGTGCCGAGCTGAGTGCCTCCGTGCGTGGTGCATGAGTGCTGAGTTTCCACAGCCCCATATTCAGAATCCCAATCCTTGGCTTTCTTTCCACAGCACGTGACCCTGAAGATGTCACTCCGTGGAACTGCACCTTTCTGAGAGGTGCAGATAATCCTCACCAGCCATTTTGTGCGGAGCTGCCTGCCCATCCCCCTGGGCGATTGACCCAAATGAAGCTGGAAAGTCCGGATCCTTTCCATAACCTACGTGTGCTTGGAGTCAGGACCGAATTAGTCTTACCTACGTAGTTGGACCTGAAATATGTCAATATGAGGCACTGGGTGACATATATAAGCAGGGTGGCCCAACCTTTTGGGGTCTCTGGCCCACACATTAAATACACAAACATTAATGAAAACAAATCGAATGTTTTAAGTAAATAAACAGTTTGGGGCCACGTTCACAGCCATCCTGGGCTGCTTGCCGGCTGCTGGTTGGACTCCCCTGAAGACTTGGGTAGCAGAAGGTCAGCAGTCAATGGAATTAGGAAGTAACTCCCCCAGGGGAAAAGCAGAAACTGGCCTGGGGTTTTCCTTTGCGAAGGAAGCCACAGGCCTAGGCTGCGATACCGGCCGTGACTGGCCCTTAGTTGGAATCTTTATCTTCAGACCTTCCTGTGCAGTTATTTCAGTCTCAGGTTTACTCTGGGGCCCCCCTTACTCCACACACTTTAAAGGGCTCATGTGATTACATTGGTTCCCCCAGAAAAACAAGATAATCTCGATAGTTTAAAGTGAGCTGGTTGGCAACGGAAAATCTATCTGCAAGCTTAATTCTCCTTCGCCATGTAACTGAATTCAAGCACAAATTTCAGGGAGTGGGGTGTGGACATCTCTGAGACGGCCCCCACACTTGCCCAAGGTCATGGCCAGTGAGCCCAGCGTCTGAAACTTACCTGGGCCTTTCGCTTAAACTAGAGAGAAAACTGAAGCTAACTTGACCCAAGTTACTATTGGCATTGTTCTAGAGCCACGTGGGACCAGTTTTTGAAAGGCGCCTTTCGTAGGCCCGCCTACTCTGAGAACAGCATCTCCCGCCCGGCCAGGGAGGCTTCCTTGGTCCGCAACCCGCAACCCGAGAGACGACCGAGGGCCCGCCCCGCGGAAGCGCGCCAGGCACAGGGGCGGAGGGACAACTGGAGTCGTGGAGAAGCCGGTGAGCCGTCTCGTCAGGCCGGTGTCCCCTGGAGGGGGTGGCGCGGCGTGGAGCTGAGGGCGCAGCGCGGGAGTGGGGTGCGTGGCGTGGGGCTGGGGGCGCAGCGGCGTCCGCACGTGCGGGGGAGACATGCTCTCCGAGCGGTTGTAGGTGCCGGGAGGGGGCGCTGCCCGGGACCCCGGGAGCAGAGATTTGGTCGCAAGTGAACTGGCTGACTGGTCTCCTGCGGTCTCCCCGCATGCACCTTCCCAACCTCCCTTGTGTCTCAGCAGGGATCCTACTTGAGGCACTGGGAGGTCACTATTGGTTTCTGGTGGGCATGGGCACGTGAGGGGACACCGGTCACATTCAGTGTATACAAGTCTCTTAGGATCCTCTGGGCGTGGTATCAGGATAAGTGATGGCCAAAAGCACCAGCTGCGGTTTTCAGCCCAGTAGTGTTGGTGGTTCCTGATTGATCATTACTGTCCATTACGTAGAACAAAGGCCCGGAGGGGGAAAGAAGAGGAACGTGGGGAAACTTGGCCTCCTTGTCAAATCCGGTCATAAATACCAGGGGTCAACTTACAATAGTGGCAAAGAACTTTTCACCCTCAGGTTACTAAATGCACGGAAAGACCTAACTGTTCTTGCAAAGTGACCTTGCAGACAATGCATCTGACTTGGTTCAATGGAAAAATTATTTCTAGAGCTGCCTGGTAATTCTGTGACCAACAGGAATACAAACGAAGGTTTACGGGTGGCCATGCTCCAGGTTTTGGTGTGTCATTTTCGCTTTACCGGCTTTGCTGTCTAGGCCTCAGAATTCCTTGTGGTGTGATTTTTAATAAGATAAAACACTACAAGTTCGCTTTCTGAAAATGAAGTAAATTCATCCAGTGTTTTTTATGTAATGGAAAAAAATCACCTTTTAAGGTTTCAGTGGTAATAATAGTTGTGGTTTCTTTGGGGCCTCCTATGTGCCAAAGTATTAGGACCTTCCTATTCTCTATGTCGTATGTATTAAGCCATCCAAACAGTCCTTCATCCTGGGTGTATGGAAGGGGAGACTGAAGTTCAAACTCTGTGTTTAATATCTCTTCTTGGTCCCAGGCACCTCCCACTCGGCCTACCTTTCCCCTGTCACATCCCCACTGCCAAAAAAACAAACGAAAACCACACGCACAACCATTGCGGTTTTCCTCTCTTTTGGGGAATGATACCATTATTAACTCAGTTTCCACCAGGAACCTGGGAGTCTATCTTGTCTCCCTCTCCCTCCTTGTCCTCCACAAATTAATCACCAAAAATCTCGCCAATTCTTTGTACACATTTCCTTCCTCTCTTCTTTATCCCCATTGCCCCACCCTATTCCATCCTATCCCATCCCATCATCGCCTCCCTGCCTTTTCTGTTGGAGTCCCTGCCCTGGCCCTCCCTGCCCTTCCCTGTCCAGTCCATTCACTCCACAGCCAGAGCGAGGGGCTGTTCTAACATGCAGGTAGGATTGTATTGCTGTCTTGGTTAAAACCCTTCAGAGACAGCCCATTAGTTACCCCAAGGATAAAATCCAGCAACCTGAACTTGACTCACAGTGGCCTTCACACAGGCCCTGTCTGCTCTGCTAGCTTGTTCCCGTGTTCTCTGAACTCCTTGAACTGAACACAATCTCTTTTGCCCTTAAATATGCGGTTCCCTTTGACTCCATTACTCTTCACAGGCTCTCTGCCTCACCAGCTTCCATGCATCCTGAGCCTTCAGCTTAAATGCCATTTTCCTGACTCCCCTGGATAGTTCTGCTAGCTGCCAGCATACCTCTCTCTGTGGGACTCCCCACCCTACATCTGTTGAGACCTGGGGTCCCGTCTGCAGCGGGGCACCTTTGGTGGTAGGGATGATGACAGACTTACGCAGGGTGATGAAGAAAACCTGGTGCAGGCACCTAGTATCGGGCCGGTGAATGAGTAAAGGAACAGGTTGTCCTGCCGTGTTGATGAGAGACGCTTTGAACGACTTCTGCCTCTCAAAGAGGAATGTGATTCTCAAATGTTTCTGTTCTGGAATCTAGTTTCGGGGAGCCCGTGGTGACTGGAAGAGGAGCCGGCTGCGTGGGCGCCCAGCATGGACGGCTACACGGTCCTGCGCGTGATCGGCGAGGGCTCCTTCGGCCGAGCCCTTTTGGTTCGGCAGGAAAGCAGTCTCAGGACATTTGCCATGAAGGAAATAAGGCTTCCCAAGGTCACTGCTAAAGAAATGAGCTCGTGTCGAAAGTGTACAGGCGATCCGTGGAAGAGAGCAAGTTCTTGGGAGTTAGCATGGAATCACTGCTCGGTGCAAAAGATGGGATGGTTTTGCTCCCTGGGTGTGCAAGGCCTCGATATGTTTTATGTGGTTCTTAGGACATTGTAGTTAACAAAAAGGGAGGAAAATCGTCAAAGGGGACGACTACTGTTTATCTCAGAATAATTTGTAATAACTGCTAATTTTGTATGCGTAAGAGTGTACGGAAGCTTTGCCAAAAACAACTCAGGTGCAGTATTTTTTTTTAAATCCTCACCTGAGGATATGTTTTTATTGGTCTTAGTGAAAGAGAGAGAGAGAAAGATGGATCGGTTACCTCCTGTATGAGTGGACACCCCGACCGGGGATCGAGCTCACAACCTAGACACGTGCCCTGACCGGGAATCGAACCTGCAACCTTTCGTTGTACGGGATGACACTCTAACCACCTGAGCCACTTGCCAGGGCAACTCAGGTGCAATATTAGTGAAAAGGGAATGTAAGTGTACAATGAACAGCAAAGACCTAAAATGCTAACGTTTGGTATCAGAGAAGCTATTCAGCTGTTCCGTTTGTACGTTTCAGTTCCAAGTATGATGAAGAAGGCGATGGTTTATCACCATTTGTCACTGTGTCATAGTTGTTATTATGAAAGAATCCATGCCATGGAGGCTGCTTAATACTGTTTTGATCAATTTTTTAAAAAATACATTTTAGTCCTGGCTGGTGTAGGTCAGTGGATTGAGCATGGGCCTGTGAACCAAAGGATCACGGTTCGATTCCCAGTCAGGACACATGCCTGGCTTGCAGGCCTGTTCCCAGCAGGGGACACACGAGAGGCAACCACACATTGATATTTCTCTCCCTCTCTCCTTCTCTTCCCCTCTAAAGATAAATAAATTAAAATCTTAGAAAAAAAAGATTATTAAAAAAAACATTAAAAAATACATTTTAATAAAATAAAATCCCAAAGTGCTATTTTCCCCCCCTCCCACATTCTTGACCTTGCTTACTGGTTCTCAAACTTGAGTGGGCATCAGACTCACCTGGAGGGTTGGTTAAAACCCAGATTGCTGAGCCTCACCCCAGTTTCCACCTGAGGAAGCCTGGGTGGACCCGTGAATTTGCATTTATCCTAAGTTACCAGTTGGTGTCGAGGTTGGGGGTCTGAGAACCCTTGTTCCCTAAGTGCAAGGTAAATCAGTATTTCATCCTCACAGAGTACATTAGGGGGTGAACAGTTTTGGGAACTTTTTTGGTGTGTGGTCTTTGCCCATCTCTGCTACAGTAATACACAAATCTATTCTTTCTTAATCTGGGCCAGTGGACAAAGTGATGCAGACAGTTAAAACATGGAACCTCTAGTTTTTCTTCAAGATTATGCTTTTGTTAATGGTATACCGGATCTCCAAATCAGACTATGTCTAGACAGATGGTAAAACTAGTTTACGTCAATAATTATAAGGCCGTATCAGCTGAACTACACAAAAAATAACCATAGTCGAAAATCACCACATACTGTCTCTTAGAGTTTGGTCAACTTAAGTTGGGTCAGAGTGCAGGGCTGTGAACCTGTCTGGCATTGAAGTCCTGTATAAACCCCACCGTTCGTTGGGAAGTGATCTACTTTCTGTTCACACTTATTTAAACTCTTCTTCTAGTCTCTCTCTGATACACAGAATTCCCGGAAGGAGGCCGTCCTGTTAGCCAAAATGAAACACCCCAATGTCGTTGCCTTTAAAGAATCATTCGAAGGTAAAGAGGGATTCCTCCCGATGCTGGGGGTCAGCCCTTGATCTGGGGCCACTACAATTTCCTAAGGAGTCTTACATGTCTCCTAGCTGAAGGGCACCTGTATATCGTGATGGAATATTGTGATGGAGGAGACCTAATGCAAAAGATTAAACGTCAGAGAGGAAGGCTGTTTCCTGAAGATACGGTAAGGGACTGGCCGACATGGTTTTCCTCCAGATTTGGGAGCCGCATCTGTCTCATGAGATCTGTGTGAGTTTCAATGAAAGCGCTGACATCCGAGGACTGGACTTGCCAGGCAGGGAGGCCTCGTTTCCGTGGTTACTGCCATCGGGGATGTGACTGCCTAACATAACAGGTTTTCAGGAAGCGAAATAGATAAAAGTCTATCAAATATCAAGGAATAAAACGTCCATGTTTAGAAGATTTTAAAAATTGTATTACTCATATTTTGTGCTAGATATTTAAATTTTTTATTTTTGTTGTATTTCAAGTTTATTTTTTAAAGATTTTATTTATTGATGTTTAGAAAGAGGGGAAGGGAGGGAGAAAGAGAGGGGTGGGGAGAGAGAAACATTGATCACTTGCCTCTTTTACAACCCCAGTCTGGGACCTGACCCGACCTAGGCATGTGCCCTGACTGGGAATCGAACTGGCATCTTTTCAGTTTGGGGGACAACACCCAGCCCACTAAGCCACACCAGTCAGAGCTAAGTTGTATTTGAAGTTTAGAAGCAAATGAATTAATTTTTTATTTCCAGATCATGGAGGAAATGAAGCCCACATTTCTGTTCCTTGGGAGTACGCCTATTCTCAGTCCTTTTCCTTTCCAAGTTTAGCATATTTCCTCAAGTCTGCTGCCTTTTTAATGGAAATTGCACACTAATATTACTTGAATAAATCGCCTAAGGAAACTAAATAAACAGCTTTAATGGGGTTTAGTTTGTTTAGGATGTAAAATCGTATTGGTATAAATGTTTTTTATTTAGAAGTTGTTTTGTTTAAAATATGGGTTCCATAGAAGGAGGTCAGCGTGGGCTTCAACTAGATGAGCCTCCAGAGCAAAAAGGAAAAAAAATCAGTTTGACATTGAATTGCCGGTACCTGGCAGTTCTGGGGATTTATGAGCAGAATACTGACCTCAGAGGATTGTGGACAGTTGTAATTAAATTGTTTAATGTTAATAAGAAGAATATTCTGAAAAAGGAAGTGAAAATCTGATGTAGTGATTCCTTTATAAAATTGTAACATTCATTTTTCTAAGTGGCAGACTACATTTGTGTGCTTAAGAAATACTTTGATTTGGTTGAATATGAGAAATATATAGTGGGAATTTTTTATTAAAATAAATTGCTGTTTGGATTGTACATAAAATGATGAAATGATGAAACATGGAATTCACAGCTTTTCTGACTCTCTGCAGGTGACACTGCCTCTTAGCTGAACTGTGTCATTTGTAGGAGTTCTGGGTTTACAGGATGGAAAACCCAAGTCAGCTACGGCCTACGGACGATTCTTTGGAATTTAGGGTTAACATGGACCAGTTTTTGCACTCTTGTAGATTGGCATCTCTCTCTTTTTTTTAAACAGATACTTAATTGGTTCACACAGATGTGCCTTGGAGTAAACCACATTCACAAGAGGCGTGTGTTGCACAGAGATATCAAGTCCAAGGTCAGCAGAATACATTTGGGGACCGAAAAGGAAAAACAACCCCAAAACTGTTTCATTTAGTCTTTTTTTTTCCTGATATTCTATCGGTATTTCCTTTCGAGACACTTTTATTTCATTTAGAAATGCTTCTCCACCTGCTGCTCACACGAGCCACCTGAGAAAAAGTCATTCAGTCTTGGCAGTGTTACCTTATATGTTTCCAGCTCGCTTAGTGACCGCCTAAGTCCGTGTGTTCTAGAAGGAAAGTGGCTGAGGTCCAGCCTGCCCCCTGGAGTCAGGATGCTGACGCTGGCCCTTGGTTGGTGGATCAGGGTCCACTCACAGTCTGCAGCTGGGTGGTTGGATTTCTGAACAGTCATCTGGAATTCCCTAGGGGCGGGGGTGCAGCTGGCAAGAGGCCGCCTTGCCCTTTTATTGCACTCGGGGACTCTGCCCTGAACATTGCCAGTTCTTCGTCTGCAGTGGCAGACAGCTTCTCTGGAGACCTCTGCCTCTGGGACCAGGGAGGACGTCATCTGAGCTCTCCTCTTTTCAATGCAGAATATCTTCCTCACCCAAAGTGGAAGGGTGAAACTGGGGGACTTTGGATCCGCCCGTCTCCTCTCCAGGTGCGTGCGTCTGTTCTGTAATAGTGGCAGTAGTCCCAGCACCCATCACTAGGCGTGTTCTGTACTCATTCTTTGCCTTTCTGTGGTTTTAGCCCCATGGCGTTTGCTTGTACCTATGTGGGAACGCCTTATTACGTGCCCCCGGAAATTTGGGAAAACATGCCTTATAACAATAAGAGGTAGGTGCCCTACTGAGATCTGGTGCGAGGGTGACTGTTGGTGACAGGCATCGCAGCCTACACGTGAAGTTTGGTTTTTAAAAAATACCTGAAAGCAGCGTCTGATCTGGATTCCCAGGCTCCTGGGTGCAATCCTGGTTTCCCACCTGCTGGAACCGGAGTGGAGAGGAGCTAAATGGTGAAAGGCAGGCTGCTCACTTCTAGGAACAGTGGGAAGCACCTCACCGGTTCTTACACTTTTGAATATCCCTAAGTGTAGGCTGCAGTCATAGCGTCGAATCGGAATGTCAGGGTGGGAAGCAGGCCTCAGCGATTCTCTAGGATCTAGTCCAACATGCAGCCACATTGAGGAGACCCTGGATTATGTCGTTACTATTTACAGGAGCAGATAATCCACACTTGAGTGGTAGGTTAATTGCAAGAAGATATAGTATGAAGACTTTATGATTTAGAATTTAAAAATTTTTTGAATATAAGTAATATGTGTCCGTTGGGTGGATGGGCAGAGGATATTGAAAATATGGAGGCGTACAAGAAAAAGATGCTAATCACCTACTTTTTCACAACTATTAATAATATTGTGGCATTTTCCATCCATCCATTTCCCCCATCCCCAAACCTCGTTTGTGTTCACTGTATACAGTTAGGTTTCTTGATTTTTTTTACATTATGTCACATTCATTTCATCCCTTATTTAAGCTCTTCCTAAAAATTGTTAATGATTGCATAATATTTTACTGCACGGCTCTTCCAAAATTTACTTCACATTCCTCTTTCATTCCAGTTTTTGATATGAACAGTGCTGTGATTACTGTATCTTTTGTGTGTAAAGTGCCATTGTTCTGGATCACGTTCTTGACCTGAATTTCTACAAGTAGAAACACCTAAAGGCTCTCGTTACTGTCTGTCAACTTGCTTTCTGGAAAGAGTATGATAGTTCATACTAAATAGGTTCCATAAGAGTAAAATCAAAGTCCTGACTGGGTAGCTCACTTGGTTAGAGCATCGTCCCAATATGCCAAGGTCGTGGGTTCGATCCCCAGTCAGGGCACATACAAGAAACACCTACTGAATATATAAGTAAATAAGTGGAGCAACAAACCAGTGTTTCTCTTTCCTTCTCTTTACCTCTCCCTCTTTCTCTCTCTGCCCTCCCTCTCTCCTTTCTCGTTTTCTCTAAATTCAATAAGTAAAAATTAAAAAAAAAAATTGAATTGGTGACAAAATTGGCTGTAAAGGGACCAGTGGACTGTTGGGAAATTCCAGTTTGGCAGAAATACTAGATTGTATTCTCGAATTCAGCATCGGTTTCTTGGGTGTGACCACGGCATCGTGTTTATGAGGGAGCGTGGCCTTGACCTTGGCAGACACTCGGCGCACAGGTGGGGGTGGTGTGTCCCACGTCTGCAACTTTTTCTCAAGGGCCTGAGATACAGCTGCAGGAGCGAAGCAGCCAGCGAACCTGCGGATGTTAGTGACGAGACACTCGGAAGGGGCATGTGGGCCCTTACAACTTTTGTGTAGGTCCCATGCTTTAAACGATTAAAATCTGGGGGCAACCGTTGCTAAAACCATTAGTTAAAAGTACAAAGAGTATCATCTGTGAAGAGTCTGGGGGTTGACACCCAGAAGGTGAGGACAATGGAGAGGGTGAGGGTACGCTGCCCAGAAGAACGGGAGCCGGGCCTGTTTGGGGAGCGGGGCCGTGGGCGAAGGAGTTGTCTCGTCCTGTCGTTCGGCATGTAGCGCTAACACGGGGTGGGGAGTCCCCAGAAGACACGTTTTTGGCTTATGCTGAGGGAGAACACTGTCCCTTAGAGCCATCCAGTGGATTGCTGGCCATCGAGAGGTGCGATCGAAGGCCTGGGCGTAGGCTGCACTGGAGGACTTATACAGCCCTTCTTTCAGCTGTGGCAGTCGGGGTCTACAGAGTCCCTCCTGCCCCAAACACACTGAAATGGCACCCAAGCCCCCCCTGATGAGGAGGAACAGAGGTTGGGGAGCGGGGAGTTTATCGTGAGCATCACTGTTAGTAAGTTCCTAAGCCTTAGGCAAAAATTACCATGTATTTTATTTCAGTGGCTGGGAGTTCCTTGCAATATCTGTTCCTATTAAAGGTCATTTTCCACTTGCTAATATTGGACGATACAAGCATTTTCATACGATAACTCGTAACCCACACAGCTCCTCTCCGTTTCCAGTGACATCTGGTCCCTGGGCTGCACGCTGTACGAACTCTGCACCCTGAAGCATCCGGTGAGTGTGGCGGCAAAGTGGGAGGGGCCACATCTTGTCACGTCCAGCTAATCCTACCTCCGTGTGCGCGTGCGCAGCACAGAGGTGTGTTTGCTTCCCTAGGGCAAGTATGTAGTTCTGCTACGTTTCCATTGCTTTCATCTTTGCCTTGAGTCACTTCTGTAGCATAAACTGATAGGAAATTTCCAGGATTCAGTTTTTTGTAGTTCTATATTTAGTTCTATATTTAGCTTCCCTTCCCCATCCTTCCTTTTTTTTTTTTTTTTTTTGCTAGTCCTAATTTTTTTATTTTGGCATAATATATATATAACCTAAAACTTACCATTTGAGCCATTTCCATCGGAAGGCTTTAAAAATGCTAGTGCCTAGGCCACACCAGACTAGTTAAATTAACTAACATCCCCGAGGGGGCCCTGGGCACCAGCATTTTTCATGTGGTGGGTCCAATGTGCGGCCCAGGTGGAGAACCACTGTTGTGCACAAATACAGTTCCTTTTTAAATTCCAGTTTCGGATTTATGATCATGGTCTTCATTTCCCTGATTTTTCTTTTTGGTAGACTTTCATGTACATGTTCTTATTTCTTTCCAGCAAGAATAAGCACTGAGCAGAGCGCCCTGCATATGTGGCACATAGTTTGTTCTGTCCTCGGCTTCAAGACAAAAGTAGCTCTTAAGCCTTTAGGAAATACAGGAAAACCCAGTAAAGTCATTAAAAAAAACCTCAGGAAAAGCAGGTTCAATCTTATTTTTCATTACCTGAATTTTTCCTTTGTCATTTGTTGATTTTACCTTTTTTTACATCTGCACTTGTATATCGTGATAATAGGGTACTGCACTTCCAAGTCAAAATGCCAACCTGTTCTTACAGAGGTATCATCCAGGCCGAATCTGATGTTACTTTTAATACATTTATTATCCAATGAAAACTCTGAAGATGTTATTCTGGCGTGCCATTCTATATTTGTTGTCAAATGTCAAAAGTTAGTGGGAGGACATGACAGGCGAAAGGGATGTCGTAGAAGACGCGTAAACGTGGAGAAGTCTGAAGTACATTTTGCCCGGAAGCAGGCCTGGGGATTTCTGGGTAGGAGGGAAGCAAATGAACACAGCTCTATGTAAGCTCTGAGTGTTACCTGACTTAAAAAAATCATATTTATATGTATAAGTTTATTTTTTTAAGTATATTAGAAATGTACATCTGCAAAAACCTTCATGATAAGTAATCAAGTTCCCACAGCCAGCACTGATGGTAAGACTTTCTCTAGATGGGGCAGCTTTTTACTGTGTACTATTTAAGTTTTTTACTTTCTTCTGAACCACCATAAGATTTTGAATAGTATCTTAAGAAAAAGGACCGGGCAGCAGATCATATTTATAAAATTAAAGGTAATTCCTGTGAACACAGTTCAGCTGGTATCTTCTTATTTCCATCCTCCTTCCTTGCATCTGCTCGTACATTTCAATTCTACTTTTTAGTTTCAGGCAAATAGTTGGAAAAGCCTTATCCTCAGAATATGCCAGGGGTCCGTGAGCCCGCTGCCATCTCATTACTCCTACGAGCTTCAGCATCTCATCAGGCAGATGTTTAAAAGGAGCCCCGCCCACCGCCCCTCCGCCACCACGCTCCTCTCCCACGGCGCTGTTGCCCGGCGCATCCCGACGTGCCTCACCCCAGAGGTAGGCTCGCTCCGTGCTAGGTGGTCTGGGCATCGGTTCCAGGTGTATGGGAAAGTGGCTCATTCTCTTTTAAACACAATTACATTGAAACATGTTTGTGAAAATGCAAATGCAGAAGTGTATAAAAAAACCCATAAAAGGTTAAAAGGTTCTTTCCCTCTTCTCTTCCACAATGCCCTTCCTGGCATGTAATCACAGGTATAGTTTTGCATATCCTTGCAGAGTTTTTCCTACACACACATCAGTGTCTGTTGGTGTGTGTGTCCAGATTCTACAGTACATATTTTAAGTGGCATTTTTACTCTTCAGCGGTGAAAATTATTGTGGGGAAGAATGTTGATAATTAAATGTGGCGTGTCTAAAGAAAAGGGTATCACGTATCTTTAAGTTCTCTGCCTTACATTTGTAGATTATCACAGAATATGGTGAGCAGGTGTTAGAAGAAACCAAAAAATCTGAGCACAGCACATCACGAAAAAAGGGTAAGAATTTCAGAAAGCTTTTTCTCTTTTTAAATTCAGTGTTCTTTTGAAATGTAGTGTAACATAAAAGAAACGTGATTAGAGATGTTTTTCAGATATACTCCTCAGATCAAAAAACATTTTTTGTTACTGAGGACATAATTCTGTACTGGATCTTCCATATTTTGTTTGCCAGGGATCAGAAAGCTTAGTTTGGAGACTTTAGTGATGTAGAGATTGTTCTCTGTTTTATTATTAGTGCTGTGTTTACTCTGGTTTGTTGTAGGTGGTTAGAAGGCTTCTGCGGGCTAGCCTAGGAATATAGTTATGGAAATACAATGCCATTCCTACCAGAAATTGTATCCCTGAGTTCCCAGAGAACCATCTTATGAACAAAGTTTTTAAAACAAGCTTTTGCAACAGTTGGAACCGGTGATGTGATAGCTGTTTTTATACATCTCCAGTCCGTCCTGAGCCCATGAGCCCATTCCTGATGTAACGCTTTGTCTCTTTGGAAGTCGTCATCTCTTAATTTCTTCAAAGCTCTTTTTGTCCTTCCTCACTTGTCATTAGTGACTCAGACCTTCCACTTGAAGAGAGCCAACAAAGGTAGTGGCTATGACCTGAATAAGAGAGGAGTTAAGAGGTACAGAAGGTCATCCACAGAAGGGGCACACTGCAGAACACCCAGTTTGGTGCCTGTGACCTTCATGCCATGCATGACAAGAGAATCACTTTCACAGCTGTGCTGACATCTTCAACTTAAATTTTCAAGGCTGTTTTTGGAAGAATGTTAACCCTTCTAGGGGTGTAAGCCCTCAGTCTTAGTAACTCTGCCCTTTCTTCTTACTTGCCAGGTAGCCAGTTACCTTGGTTTCAGCAGCTTGTCTGAGGGTTAGTTTTTCTTTGGGTGCTGTTTGGTAGCTTTCGTGCACGTCCCGGGATAGTGGGAGATTAGTTTCAAAATGCAGGGCAATAGCCACAACAAAAGCAGTCCAAGAAAAGTTTCAAGGTCATTTGGAAAAATGTAGTTTTACAGTTCCTAAAAGAGAGAAATAAACCCGCAGAGAGGTGCCACCGTGTCGGGGCCACATATATGGTGGCTTCTCCTATCGGTTCTGTGGACAGACCAGAGCAGCCAAGGCCACGTGAGAACAGGGACCACGTCTCGTTTGCTCACTGTTGGTCCTCATTGCTTGTCATCTCAGATGTTCAATGGCAGGTTGTTAAAGTGTTGAGCGAGCGAGGAACACAGACTGTGGGCCTCTGCCAGAGGAAAACCAGGCGGCAGCTGCCCTTCCCAAAGGGGCCGGGTGCCAGAGTGCTCTCTCCCTGCTACCTGTCCCTTGTGAGGGACACCTCTTGCCCCTGCTGTCACAGCTGACTCAGCACGCCGCCACACCTAGCTTGGGCTGAGTGGGCAGAGTGTCTTGTCTCCCAGTGCCTAAATGGGTTGGCATAAGTGAGTGAGAGTCGGCTTTCAGATGTTAACTTCTGGAATAAACAGCACAAAACAGGAGACGTTAATATTACCAGGTGACCAAAGGTTGATCATCACCAGTCAGGCTAATAATGCTTTGGGTCTTTGACTTATTTATTTTTTTAAAGATTTTATTTATTTATTTTTAGAGAGAGGGAAAGAGAGGGAGGGAGAGAAACGTCAAAGTGCGGTGGCCTCTCACACGCCCCCCACTGGGAACCTGGCCTGCAACCCCCTGGTTCTCAGGCCTGCACCCGATCCACTGAGCTACACCAGCCAGGGCTGGTTCTTTGATTTTAAAAGCTTCACATGTCTCTCAAGCTTTATGCAAATCAGTTAGGACCTGGGAGCCTGAGCCTTTATCTGTGTCCTCTTTCTCTTTTCTCTTTTAGCAGACTCTAGCAGAATCAGGATCGCTTTGGGAAAAGAAGCAAACACAGTGGTAAGTGCTTTAAAATTAAATGTATGAGACCACCTGGAGACCTGGTACTGTTAGGTGTTGTGGGACATTCGGAAGATGGGACCCGGTCCCTCCATTTAGTAGCTTGTCACCTTTTGGCACGTGAAGTAATCGGCAGCTGTTGTCCTGTACTGCCACCAGAGATTCCCACGTTAGAGCCCCACTTATTTTGTTTGTTTTTTCGTTTTTTAATCGTCAATGACAAGTGCTTTCAGTATAGAAGTCAGAGAACTTTGTCCAACTTTCAGTCATGAAAATCTTGTTTTAGCCTGGCTTTTGGTTTGTTTTTTATTGTGGTAAAGTATATATAACTTAAAATGTGTCATTTTAGATATTTTTACACATACAATTCAGTGACATTAATTCCGTTCACAACATCATGGAACCGTCACCACCATTGCCAACACTTTTTCATCATCCCAGACAGAAACTCTGGGCCCATCAAACAAGAACCCCCCCCCATTCCTTCCTCACCCGCACACCCAGCCTCAGTCTCTGGTGGTCTCTCTTCTACTGTCTATCTGATTGATATAATTTATTGTTCTAGATATTTCATGTACTTGTCCTTTTATGTCTGGCTTCTTTTGCTTAACATAATATTTTCAGGGGTCATCCGTGTTATAGTGTGTATCAGCATTTCTTTCCTTTTTATTTAGATCACTGTTTTGATATCGACAGACATTTTCCTGTTCAGAAACCCTTAGTGCCCCCGCGTTGTCCCGTGGATCAGGTGTGCGTCTCTCAGCGTGCTGGTCTCGTTTGCCTGAGAGGTAGCCCTCTCAGGACAAGTGTCCTGCTGATCATTATCTTTCTTCAGCATTTTAATCAATCTTTAATTCAAAAAAGCAAAAGGTGTGCTAACAACAAATTACTCTATTTATCAAATCTACTAGTAATTAAACTCGTAACTTTTTTTTAATGAACCTGGGATGTAAATAATGACAATATCCCACTATTTTGTTACTACAAATGGAATACATCCTGCCTCTGTACTCCCCCCACCCCCTATGGTGGTTATCTGGTTTTTTTCCAGGTTTATTCAGGCGTAATTTACATGCAGTAAAATTTACTCATTTTTTTGGCATACAGTTTGATGAGTTTTGGTAATTTGATAGACACATAACGACCACCACAGTCAAGGGGAAGAGATCCCATGTTCCTAAAACGTTCTCTTGCGGCCATTTGTGGACGATCCTGGCTGTCTTCCCAGGCAGCCACCGCTGTGGTTTCAGTGCTGCCTTGAGTGGGTATCAGTCAGTGTGTTTTCACAGAAAGGAAAGGGCACACCCTGTGAACAGAATGGAGAAAGCTATTGAGGACGTCAGGTAACAGGAGAATTGAGGGAGGGACAGAGTCCTGGGCAGGCCCACAAGGTGCAGAGGGCAGAGGGCATGTGGGCAGAGCCGAGCCGCACTGGGCTGGGGGTGGTGTCGGACACTGCTTTCTGTTGGTCACGGACTCTCAGTGGGGATGGAAGGTGGGAACTCTCCACGCCACTCAGGCAGCTTTAAAAGCTCTCATCACAACCACCTCTCCAAGACTTTGACGTCTTCGTCTATGGGAGGGACCTCTGAAGTCACGCCCCCAGATGTGTGGGGAGAGGAGTGTGAGAATCACTGGGGAGAAATAAGAAAACAACATGCCTGCAACAGCCTCCTGCTCGACCACCTGACTCCTTCAGCCAATCATGGAGGTGCCCCTGTGGAGCGGCCGGCCAGGCCCTGGGTACATGCTCCTTCTGAAAACACTCGCAGATTTGGAGACGTGGTAGGGTGTTGCTCTGCCTCATGAAATCAGGAGCTTGGAAAAATACTGAATTAAGTGGGAACATAGCAACTTTGTAAAAATACGTCATTTTGATGTTTCCAGCATGGAAAAGCAGTATAGTAAACCATGTTGAAAATTTTTATTACTCATTTCCTCTACAAAGACTTCTCGAATACTGGTCATTTTTATATATCTTCTTCATATTTGCAATGATTGACTTTAACAGGTAGCAATGTCTGACTGTTAATACACATACGAGGTTTGTCCGGAAAAAGTCCTGCCATGGTTGATATAATGAGAATGGTTTGAGCGTCATCAATGCCACCTGGCAGCCAAGGAGAGTGGACTGGAGTGTGCATGTGTGAACAATGACGACATCACTGAACTAGTCAGTGGGGGCAGGAGACGCTGTTGAGTGAGCTTGTGTACTGTGCGGCCGCCACATTAAAAATAACTGAGCAAGTAGAGCAACGAATCTGCATCAGATTTTGTTTAAGCTTGAACATCCCTCTATGGAAACTATTCAGGTGACTCAGAGGCCACAGCTGTGGGCAACTGGTGATTGGCAGCTTCATCACCACAATGCACCCACTCATGCATCATGTCTCGTGCAGTTTTTTTGCGAAACATCAAATCACCCAGGTGACTCAGCCCCCCCTGCAGCCCAGATTTGGCGCCCTGTGACTTCTGGCTTTTCCCAAAACTATAATCACCTTTGAAAAGGGAGAGATTTGCCCTAGCTGGTAGCTAGGGATTGAGCGGATTTCCCGAGGATGCATTTTTCTCTCCCTCTCTCCTTCCTTCCCCTTTTATTAAGGGAGAATCAGACCATCGATGAGATTCAGGAAAATATGACGGGGCAGCTGACAGTGACTGGGAGAACTGTGTGAGGTCCCAAGGTGCCGACTGTGAAGGGGACTGAGACATCACTGCCCTGTGTGCAGTGTTTTTTGTATTTTGTATCTTCTTCAATAAATGTCTCTGTTTTTCATATTACATGGTCGGACACCTTCTGGACAGGCCTTGTATATGAATAAGTATGATTTTAATATACACATGTATAATGTATATGGCTTTTATTTTTAAGATTTTTATTTATTTTTAAAGAGAGGGGAAGCAAGGGGGAGAAACATCAGTGCGTGGTTTCCTCTGATGTGTCTCCCGCTGAGGACCTGGCCCACGACCCAGACATGTGCCCTAACCGGGACTTGAACTCGCAACCCTTTGGTTCACAGTCCAGGGCTCAATCCACTGAGCCACACCGCCGGGACTATATATGGCTTTTAATATACACTCATACATAGGGATCTATAGTTATTAATGTTTTTAATTCATTAATCTTCATTTAAAACTAAAACAGCCAACTGTGTATAGTTTACCTTTTTGTAGCAATTCAAGCATTATTTAACCCATATTTTTAATCTCTCTTAAAGCAAGGGGAAGAACAAGGCAGAACATGCAGCCACACTACCTTAGAAAGCATTAATAAAACTTCAGTTGCAAGTGCATCAAGGAGAGTAAACAGAGAAGAGAAAGGTACATCATTCAAATTCTGATCGTTGTGTAAGTGACGGGTTGGGAAATATAGAGGGAATGAGCAAGCACGTACGTGCAGACTTTCGTGTGCTCGTCCAGTATTTTATTTCAGGAATGTCTTATTTACCCCTAAGAAAAGAGAGAAGAGTGTCGGATAATAAGAGCCTTTAGGAAAACTAGTATTTGCTATGCACGTCACTGTAAGAAGCACCGTGTTCAGTGTGTGTCGGAGTCCTCTCCGGGCTCCGATCTTCTCCGTTGTGGAATATGTAGAGATACACACGTTATTCTTAAAAACTCACCTTTAATGATTTGTTTTGCCTTTTCATCTGGATTTGCTTTTCATTTCCTTGACTACGTTGTTGTCAGGTCCGAGTTTGAAAGAGAAAAGCACTATTTTGCACACAGACGAAGGTGAATGAATGAAGGACCATGCTCAGCAATCCCCTTTTGCATTTCAGAGCCGGAGAGCGCACCAGTGCCGCCCAGGAGAGCCGGCTCCGCAGCCCCTCTCAGGCGGCAGTGGGAGAAGCACGCGCCCCCGGCTGCGCTCGCTGCTTTGGAAGCTGCCTCCGTTCTCACCTCCAGTTTCCCTGCAGAGGACAACAGAGGTGAGGGTCCGACTGGGCACTGTTAGGCGGAGCATTTTCTAGTTGTTGTTTAATGGACCAGGGATTTTTTTTTTTTTTTTTGTATCACTCTGTGAAGGATGCTTGGTGTGACACAGGTGAGCGAAGTAGGTTGTAGTAGAGAGTACAATGTAATTCATTTTGCTTGAAAGATGATCTGGAAGGTATGCGCTGAAAATCTTTTTGATTTGTCCCTAATTTTTATCTCTTCCCAACTAGGTGGCTCTGTCATAAAGTACAGTGGAAAGAATAGCCGTAAGCAGTGGCTCAAAGAGACCCCAGAAACGTTGCTGAAGCTCCTTCAGAATGCCGACCTCGGCCTGGCCTTCCAAACATACACCATATACAGAACAGGTGCTCCGTGTCTGTTACATAACTGTGCAAAGCTTTGAAATTTTAAAAAATTTGTAAGATCTGCATACCGTAAAGTGTGCCATTTGGGCCACTTTTAAGTGTACAGTTCAGGGGCATTGGGGACATTCACAGTGTTGCATGGCCATCACCGCCATCCTTCTAACTGTTCCCATCTCCCAAATGAAACTCTACCCACCAGATGGTAACTGCCCACTCCCACCTCACAGAAGCCCCTCCACTTTCAAGTTATAATGTAACTCATAGGGTGGTATTTTTAGGTTTTCTCGAATCTTTGCTAGCTGTTTGCGAACTATAATTAGAATTTCCTGTAGAGCTGCATTACTTCTTTTTGCTTGTGTGGTGCCGTATTTTAATAAGCATGTGACTGCTTTCTTTGCAGAGTTAGCTTTTCTGTGCAAACACCCTGGTGGCTTTATAGCTCAGACTTCATCCCAGTAAGACACTGTCATCGACTGTCCGAAGATAACTTTTAATGCTTTGATACAAGTTCTGACATTAAAGGATTTTGATGGGATGCTGAATTCTCCCTCTTGCAGGAGGTAGTGTGTTTAAATGTAACGCGCACACAGATGCCTACCGGACTGTGTGCCGGGAGCCCTGCTGGGTAACTGGGGAGACCCCGCAGGACACAGAGAATACAGCGCCGTCCTCCGGTAGCCGGCAGGCTTTGCGAGGACTTCGGTCCAACATGCAGGAAATAAGTGAATATTGTTTAAATGCCGTGTTTTCTGTCACTGTTCCTCCAAAGGCTCAGAAGGCTTCTTGAAGGGTCCCCTGTCTGAAGAAACAGAAGCATCATCAGATCATGTCGATGGAGGCCCCGATGCCGTTGCTTTGGATCCAGAGAGACTCGAGCCCAGGCTGGATGCGGAGGACACGTACGTTGTGACACACCGAGAAAGCTTTAGTGTGTGTGTGTGTGTGTGTGTGTGTGAGATTTAAATTATACCTTACTAATGTCAGGTGTGAGAGGAGCTGGTTATGTTATTTTACATCATAAATGAATATTCATATCCTGATCCTTTGTTGGGGATGAGTAACGCGTAACAGTTATTTAACTAAATTCCTGCCCGAGCCCTATGTGTGTACTTGTTCAGCGTGGACTTACTATTTTTTAACGTATTAGATTTTTATGTTGACAATATTATAGAAACAGTGCCCCTGGCTGGTGTAGCTCAGTGGATTGAGCGTGGGCTGCAAACCAAAGGGTCACTGGTTCTATTCCCAGTCAGGGTACATGCCTGGGTTGCGGGCCAGGTCCTCAGTGGGGGCCACGTGAGAGGCAAGCACACACTGATGTTTCTCTCCCTCTCTTTCTCCCTCCCTTCTCCTCTCCCTAAAAAGAAATATAGTAAAATCTTTTAAAAAGATAAAAGACTGATTCCTTTCTTCTTAAACCTGCTCTTTATTCAAAAAAAGAAAGAAAGAAAATATTATAGAAACAGTGAAAGAAGTGATTTTTCAAAAGAAATAACTCTTTATTTTCTCTGTTCAATTGCTTTGTGGAACTCATTTTTCAAGAATGTAAATATTGATACGGCGGTGTTCTGCTTTGAACCCATCAACAAATACTGACCATACTCCTAAGTTGGAGGCTTACTGTTCGTGTTGTTTTTTCACAGGGACTTTGAGGAGGAAGACGACTTGGATTGGGTGTCGGAACTGAAGCAGCGAGCAGGCTGGCCAGGGGTGTCTGATGCCTAACGCCCTAGGGCCTTCACGTGCCTTCATCCCACTGAGTGTATGTTTAAAGTGAGGAATTAATGTCTGGATAATACTTGCTCATGGAAGGTAGATTCCCTTGGAAACAGAATAAAGGAGGTGTGGGGAGGACTGTGAATATTTAAAATTGTTCCTGAGTAGTATTAACAAAGTTTAAAAAATCTTCAATAAGGAAAACCGTGAACATATGTGTCGCTGAATTTTAGCGAAAAATCCATGAGATGATTGGAAGGAATGTCAGGTGTTTGTAATGCAAACTCATAAAGTCTATGTTGGCATCACTGTTTTGCTTGCAGGGAATCTCATTTGAGAATACAGAGGATTTTTCTCTCCTAATTCCTAGAGAAAATAGTTCTTGGGTCTTCTTTAAGAAAGGTTATCAGCACTGTGGGCAGTTCCCCACCGTTGATAAAAACCCATCAAAAACATCACAATATAATTTACAAGGGAAAAAGGGTGTTTTTCAAAGGCTGCAGGAACAGGAAGGAAAGAGCACTTCTTTTTGGGGATAAGCACAAACACTTAAAGCTAGTCATATGGCAGGTAAACGCAATGCAGGGTTCAAAAGCTCTGTAAAAATGAACAGAGGCACATCTTTCCTTCCGCTGTTGCACAAGTCCAGTGGGAGACCTGCGTGAGGCCTGCGCTGTAGCAGTTTGCTGGTCCAGTGTCAGAGTTCGAAGTCCTTTTTGTGTATTTGACCCAGTGATGTCCACCTCCCAGATCATTTCAGTTCAAAACCATGGAAATTAGGAGAAAGACTCCATATGAAAAAGCACAAGGATATGCTACTGGAAGTTGATGCCCTTGCACGACTCATTCAGAAATTTTTAAAAATTTGAAAACATATGCAGGGTTTTTTTAAGATTTTTATTTTTTGACTTGAGAGAGAGAGAATATTGATTCGTTGTTCCACTTATTGAAGCATTCACTAGTTGGTTCTTGGATGTGCCGTGACCTGGGACCAAATCTGCAAACTTGGCCTGTCAGGGTTCTCTCACCAACTGAGCTACCTGGCCAGGGCCAGAAATGGAAATTTCAGAAGCAGGAAAACTACGCCATCCAAAGATTCCATCAGTGAGAATGATTCCTACCATTCCTTGCAAAGAAAAATATCACTGCAAAGCTGGAAGGAGACAGTATGTAAGGACTCTTGCCACACGAGCAGATGAAACACCAGCCATGCCCGTGAAGGTTGATAAAACCTGGACACCCAGCTGCACTGACCCCATACACACAGCCGAGCTGGATTTTGCCAGCCAGTGACAACGTGGCCCCAGAGGCCTGGGTCCTGCCACATCAGCCTCATTCCAGTTGCTGCCATCTGCTACTTTTCATGCACGTAACCCTGTTAGTGTTTTGTGCCAGATGTGGTCACAATTGATTCCTAATTCTTCTAGCAAAGGAGGCTCATTCTCAAGAGTTGTTTCTGTAGACTGGCTGAGGTGTAGTGGAATTGAATGCCCGCGCTGGTGGGAAATCTGCCCCCTGTGTGGCGTTTGTGGCCACAGCTGCATCACGTTGGCAGGAATGAAGGGACGCACTGTGCGTGGTCATAGCCAGCATGCAGTTTGCAGTGGGGTTCTCCACTCCCTCCATAATCACAGGACCACTGTGATTGGTCATCAGCGCTGTCATTTGTCTGGTAGAAATCCGTGTTTAAGTTCTTAAAGCCTGACATCGCTTTGAGAGATATTCAGCTTTGACATCTCTCAAATGACAGATGAGGACAAAAAGAACCTCTGGACTCAGCTTAAGACACTAAACTGGCCCTGTTTCTCCATGTCACAGGCCAAAGAACGGCTAATCTTTTTCTTTTGAAATAACTGATGGTGAGTTTGAAATTAAAATGCTATTTAGATTCTATTGGCTGTGTTTTCTGTAATTTCTGTTTCCATTTCTGTGTTTTCTGTGTCTGTCATTGCTGGAAATGACACCCTTTTCAACTACTAAACACGCGCTGAAACGTTTTAGCAGCTTGATGCGCCCTCTGCATTGGGGAATGTGGGGTAGGGCCCGCGCTTGCAGGCCGCTGGGGGCAGCCAGTTTCAGGGCCCCACCAGAGGCCGGCAGCCGGCCCGAGGATTCCGTTCCAAGTCTCCATGTCCGGACAGTGTTTGAGACCTTGCCCAAGACACTTCCTGTCTCAGTTCAGTTCATTTGTAAAACTGGGCGTCTGCTACCTTGCTGGGTTGTTGCAAACAGCAGAGATAATCTGTGCAAAGCCTCTGGTGCAGGAGAGGTGTGCAGGAGAGGTGCTGCTGTGTGTAAGCAGAGGAGGTCCGAGCTAAAGCAACGGGAAGTGACACTGCTGGGTCTTCAAACTCCCTTGCCTCCCACCCCTCTTCCGGGTGGACGGTGTGGACCGGTCCTCCCAGGCTCGACTCCTCTGCCCCGCCCACGTTCCCTGGCGCAGCTCCGCCTGGCTGTCGGGACTAGGCGCTCCAGGAACCCTGGTCCACCTGAACGCCTGTTGCTCCGTGGAGCAGGTATGCAGCGGGCGGGCCACACCTGTCCCTACCGGAGCCGCCCCCCCACCCCCGTGCCACGGGAGCCCCAGGGACAGGGATGGAGCCCATACGCTGCAGAGGGAAGCGGTCTTCTGTGCCTTGGTCTCCATGGCAACACGCCGCGCTCAATTCCCGGGCTCCAGCGAGAGCCCTGGCACCTTCCGGAGTGTTCCTAAAAGAGAAAGATTTTCCCCAAACCTGGGGCTTTCCCCCCCTGGTGCCACCTGGGCGGGAGCGGGCAGTCCGCCGGTTCCCGAGCTGCCGCTCCTGAGTTTTGATTCCCTACCTGCCTGGCTCAAAACTCGGGTGTCGGCAGCCTCATGGGGTGCCCAGCTGGTGCCCAGGCCCACCCCACCCAATCGTCCCCCCTTCCTGCCCCTACACAAAGTCGTCAGAAACGTAACCGGCCTGCTCGCTCAGTTCATAAAAGTTAGCATTATACCCGAACGCTGGTATGAAGGGAAATTTAAGGAAACAGTACTTTATTAATGAAGTCGCATTTCCATCTGCAAATGTTTGGTGCTGTAATAAGTACCGCTGATGTTGAAGGTGATGGTCTCGGGGACCAGGGGCAGCGTGGCCAGTGGCCGCGGGACTTCCCCCAAACGGTGCACAGTTCTCGGTAAAGTTCCAAACAGAACAAAGTGCGAAGCCCGTTCCAGGTGCCTCAGCCTCCCCATACGCCAAGGTTCCGGGTCCCATTCCTGGTCAGGGCACATGCAGGAATCAACCAATGGATGCATAAGTAGGCGGAACTAAACCATGTTCCTCTCTTCTTAATGTCAGTAAGTTTAAAAAAATTAAAAATTTAAGTGTAATCAAGCCTTGATTTACGTGTAGTTGCACCCCTCTAAAATTCTTAATTACAGCTATGTAAAAAAAATACCTTGTATTTAGATGTAAAATAGAGTTGGGCTCTGGCTGCAGATAAACGGATTTTTCCACGGACATGAATGTGTGGGAGACTTTCTAATGTTGTGGGACCGTGGGATAACTCGCGGACCATCCCCCTGTCATCCCGGAATTTTAGTATCCCACGCCCCCAAATGCTTCTAAATGCCGCAGTGTCTCTCCATCTCTGCAGAGAAGGGGTGGGGGGGGGGGGGGGGGGGCTCTCCAAAATTACCAACTGTCCCCTAGGGGGCAGCACTTCACCGCCGAGAAAAGCTGGACTGCAGACCTGCACTGGCAGAAGGGCATCCCTGCTGTATGGAGGGGGCGGTGCCAGAGCGCAGCTGCCGCCCAAGTCTGATCTCCAGCCCACAGAGAAGCTCCGCCGTCTCACTTTGGCCGTTACCTGTGGCCGCCAGGAGAGTCATTTGACTGTGTACTGGGTGAGGTTGGAAGGAAAACTTTGGCAAAATGAGTTCTTTTACTTTCGAGTGACCGATTTTCTGACTTTTGTTAACGTTTGTGAAAAGTGCGCAAAAGCATTTCATCTCTCTAAATTTCAGGAGCCCGCGTGCACTGGAGACCATGGATAAATACGACGTGATTAAAGTCGTGGGCGAAGGTGCCTTTGGGAAAGTGTACTTGGCCAAAGGGAGACTGGACAGCAAGCCCTGTGTCATAAAAGAGATCAATTGTGCAAAGGTACAATTAAGAAGTGCAAATTCCTGCTCACACTCAGGGGCATATTCAGCTGGCTGTTAATCCAGTATGAAAAGGAAACACAGTTTTTGTTGTTTTGTTGTAATTTTTCTTTGATGTTCAATTACAGTTGTCCCTGTTTCCCCCCCATTACTCTCCCCTGCCCTACCCATCTGCCCCCTCCCACAATTTTTGTTGTTTTGTTTTTAAAAGTATGAATGAGTGGACTCTTGTCAACCTCCTAAATCCATTATCCAAATGACAACCAATGATCTTACTTTAGGGGAAAAAAAGATTAAAGAATAAAAAGAGAAGAGTTTCTGTAGCTGCCTTTTCTGTTTTGCCCTAGGGTGGTGCACTTTCTCTGTCTTACCTGTTTTTTTATTATTATTATTGCTTTATTTTTACTGTTTACACTACCGCAGATGTCCCCACCCACCCCCCTTTGCCCATTTGTGTCCCCCTCCCCAACCTTGGGTCATCCTATGTTCTTTGACTAATTCCTTTACCTCCTTTCCTCCACTCTCCCCTCCCACCTCCCCACTCACAGCTGTCAGTCTGCTCCATGTTTCCAGGCCTCTGTTCTGTTTTGTTCGTCAGTTTGTTTTGTTCATTAGATTCCACATATAAGTGAGATCATATGATATTTGTCTTTCACCAACTGGCTTATTTCACTTAGCAGAATGTTTTCCAGATCCATCCGTGCTGTCACCAAAGGTAAGATTTCCTGCTCTTTCATGGCCAAGTAGTGGTATTCCATTGTGTAAATGTACCCTGGCTTTTTTATCCACTCATCTACTGATGGGCACTTAGACTGTTTCCAGACCTTGGCTGTTGTAAATAACACTGCAATGAACATAGGGGTGCATATATTTTTTCGAATTGGTGTTTTGGGGTTCTTAGGATATAGTCACAGAAGTGGGATGGCTGGGTCATAAGGCAGTTCCATTTTTAATATTTTGAGGTATACCGCCTTCCACAGTGGCTTCACCAGTCTGCATTCCCACCAACAGTGTACTAACGTTCCCCTTTCTCCACAGCCTCGCCAGCACTTGTTGTTTGGTGATTTATTGATGATAACCATCCTGACAGGTGCGAGGTGATATCTCCTTGCGGTTTTAATTCACATTTCTCGGATGATTAGTGACATTGAGCATTTTTTCATGTCTATGGGCCATTTGTATGTCTTCTTTGGAGAAATGTCTATCAGGTCCTTTGTCCATTTTTAATGGGATTATTTGTCTTCCTGGTGTTGAGTTATATCACTTCTTTATATATTTTGGAAATTAACCCCTTACCAGATGTATCATTGGCAAAGATGTTCTCCCACACAGTGGCTTCCATTTTCATTTTGTCGATGGTTTCTTTAGCTGTGCAGAAGCTTCTTAGCGTGATGTAGTCCCATTTGTTTATTTTTCCTTTGGGTTCCTTGCCCTAGGAGATGTATTGGCAAAAATGTTGCTACGAGAGATGGCTGAGATTTTACTGCCTATGTTTTCTTCTAGGATTTTTATGGTTTTGCAGTTTACATTTAAGTCCCTTATCTATTTTGAGCATATTCTTGCATATGGTATAAGTTAGTGGTCTAGTTTCTTTCTTTTCTTTTCTCTTCCTTCCTTCCTTCTTTCTTCCTTCGTTCCTTTCTTTCCCTCCTGTCCATCCTTCCTTCCTCCCTTCCTCCCTTCCTCCCTCCCTCCCTTACTTCCTTTCTCTCTTTCACTCTTTTGCATACACCTGTCCAGTTTTCCTGACACCATTTATTGAAGAGATTGTCTTTACTCCATTGTATGTTCTTGCCTCCCTTGTCTGGCTGTCTTATGGCATTCAGGTCATCTCTACAAGGAGGTTTCCCCAAAACCAGCCTCAGTGACTCCTCATCACACCACCTAGTTTTGCTGGGTTTTTCTTTTCTTTTTACCTGCCCCTTCCTTCCTTCCTTCCTTCCTTCCTTCCTTCCTTCCTTCCTTCCTTCCTTCCTTCCTTCCTTCCTTCCTTCCTTCCTTCCTTCCTTCTGTTCAAGAGGGAGCCACCAGTCAAATGTAGCTGTGGGCATACTTGAAATATGGTTAATGTGACTGGAGAAATGAATGTTTGCTAGTTCATTTTTAATAACATTTTTAATTGCTTGGAATTACTTTGCTCACTTATGTCTTCACTTGTTTGTCTGTCTCCCTTAGCATGCTTGTAACAGAGTGAAATGCCAGCTCTGTCTTAATTCTAGCCTGTGTATCTCCCATGGCCTTCAGGCTAACAGCTCCTTCTGTAGATATTAACTGGAGGGACCCTGCCGGAGGCTTGAGTTTTTGCAAAAACAGCCCCTTGTCAGAAGGTGCCGAGGGCCCTCACCCACCTCTCACCTCACTCCTCCTCTCTCATCTTGACATAAAAGAAGCCTGAATTCTAGGCTCGCTTAAGAAGGATTTGTAGAAGCCATAGGCAACCCCATCTTCTCAATCTGGGCCTTCTCAATCAATAAACTTTTTACTCCAAACTATGGTGTTTTTTAATATTGGCCTTTTTTTTGTAGCCTCGAGCACAGGAAACTTGTACCTGTAACACTCAGAGCACCTGGCACATGATAGGTGCTCAAAAATACTTTTTGAATGCATTGAATAAGTGAAGGAAAATCATTTATTCTTATTAGTCTAGTGATTTTTTAGAATAATTAAATACCTTTCATTAAAAAGGAATCCTTTTTGCTAAATTCGCTGTGGTCCATGTTTATGTCACCCTCTCTAGCGATGTGTTCATCTCAAAATACATGGAGACAGCAATCTCCATTGCGTGCGAGAACTAATTTCAGGGCTGGTCTTGTTGGTTGCCTCCTAGAAGATTTGTAAGCGAGAGCAGCAGGAAAAAACTTCTACATAATGTGTGCGAAACGTAGTACTCACGCTGCCCAGTGCAGACAGTGCCGCTGATGGCACACCTAAAAATGGTTAAAATGTTGTAAACTTTGTTATATTTATTCTATCACAATTTTTAAACTTGCAAAGAAGAAGGAGGAGGAGGAGCAGGGGCAGTGAGGAGAAGAGGGAAGGACCTGCCCAAACTCACATTAAAGCTCAAAGTATAGATGATCGGCTCCCGAGAGAAGGCTCTATTTACCAGCGTAGACCCCTTTCCATGGATCTGTGGCTGCTTCTCCGGAGGTCCTCTGATCCTCGTGTCCTGTCCTGCTTCCTTCTGTGACATTACTCCGCTCACTGTGTTGGTTTCTGTGACAGCACCTCCTCAGACCTATCTGTCTGTCTGTCTCCTCACCCTCTGTGTCCTTCACCAGCTCTCCTCACTGTTTGTACTTTGTATAACCACCGCATTTCAGTTTACCACTAAGCAGATCGCTCTGAAACTCTCCCCCCAGCCCTGTTACCTGCCAGAACCCTAGCCCTGCATTTAATCTGCCAGCTGGCTCTCAAGGAATGTCTCCCTCAGGAATCTATTTTCGCATAACACACTGCCCTAGACCTGGTGGCTTAAACAATAAACACCCATTATCTCGCGGTTTCTGTGCATCAAGAGTTACGGGTGAGGCTCATTGAGGACCATCTTGGAAGGGATCATAGTCGTGCCCCAAACAAAGCAGAAACTCTTCTCCTTTCTAAGCCGGCCAGCGTCACCTGCTGTGTGCTGCACTGTGTTAATGACACCAATGTCCCCATGCTGTCCAGGCTCAGAACCTGGGGGTCACCTGTGAAATTTCTTGCTAAATATCATTGACCCTGTTTCTTCCTCAACTCTGCTTCCTTCCTGTGGCTCACGCCCCAGGTTACGTGGATTGCTTCTCCAGGCTCCTACTTTTCTGCAGCACAGTTTTTTGTTTTTTTTTTGCAGCACAGTTTTGATGGCTCTGCGGCCATGCCCCCGTCACTGGGGCAGAAATTAGAAAGGAAAAGAGGGCTCAGCTTGACTGCATAAAGACGTGAAACTTCTGTGAGAATATCAAAGTAGGGGAGAGCAGGTGGGAAGGTAAATCGGTACCATCTGCAGGGGATTTATCCAGATTTATCCAAGCCTCGGAAGAAACCATTGCCCATATGCATTACCAACAAGGAGTGGTGTCCACACTGTGCTGTAAAGATGAAAAAGATTGGGCCACACCACACTGTACATGCGTGGGGGGCAGGTATACCATTAATACACACACACACAACATTAGTAGCAGTTATTGCTGAGTGGCAGGCCTTCACCTCTGTCATTCTTTCTGCATGGTCAGAAATTCAATATGGAGCACATATTATATATTATGTTTTTAAAATTATGAGGTGTATTATTTGTATAAGCATAAAAAGCAATCTTCATGTTGAAAAAGAAAATGAAAAAAAAACCCCCACACACATCCTAGGGTCCAGTGGTTCTACTTTTGAGAGTTTATTCCAAAGAAATACCCAGAAATGTATAGACAGTTAGGAAATGCCCACATGACAAAAAGACAAAAAAGACACACTCTTTTTGCCTGGGTGGAATCTGAGATTCTTAGTGAACTTTTTGCAGGGACTTTTATACTGTTTCAGTCTTCTCATCAGTTTTTTTTTAAATCATCCATGTCCAACTTTAGTTCATAAGCAGACACTGCAACACAGGAGAGGCTAAGCAGCTTGCTGAAGGCCATGCGGCCAGTCAGGCACGAGCCCAGACTCCAGCACGTGAATTTACTCAGGTGCTTTGCATTGTGCCTGGGAGACTCGTGCTTGTCTTCGCTGCTTTTGCTTCATTTCCTTCTTCTTTTTAATTGCTGTTCTGTGACGGTTGTCCCAGTTTCCCCCCTTTTGCCCTCCTCTGCCCAGCACACCCCCACTCCCCCAGGCCATCCCCACACCGTCAGCCACGTCCACCGGCCGTTCATACATGTCCGTTGACTAGTCCCTTCCCCTCCTTTCCAGCCTTGCCGCCCCTTCCCCAGATTAGTTCTGACACCCACTCTGACTTGTTCCAAATTCCGTTTCTACCCTCCTCTTCACGTCCCCTTCTGTTTAGTTCACGTACAAATCCTTCTGACCCCAGCTCCTGTGCTTCTCCGTGGGGCTCCTCCTTCCGAGAAGGTGGAAGGCGGCCCTCCCGTCTCCAGCCATCAAGGTCCCACTTGGTCAAGGCTGAGCTCGAAACACTGACCTCTCTTCCTCTGCAAACGCCAGAGCTTCTTACCGGCACCACTGTGGTGGCACCGATTGCCTTCTGCTTCAGCAGGCTTCAGCTGTTCATCCTGTGTCCCCTCCCCCTTCTTAAATGGTGTGTCCTGCACAGGCAGAATCTGGGTTTGTGTGTCCTGATATTCCACCCAGCACCTAATAATGCTTCACATCAGCAGGCGGTCAAGCAACTCTTGCTGCGTAAATGATTCGACACACAGCTACTTTCAGCTCTGCCATTCAGCTGGTGCATCCTTAAGAAGTACAAATCCATTTTTTCCCGATGCTAAACATTTCATAGATCGTCAGATGAGAGTTGTCAGAGTTATCTAAATATCACTTATGAAAAATCAGTATACCACATTAGGTGATTCTGTAAGACAAAATCGCACATTGGCAATAACTCTTGCAGCCCAAGAATACCGCCCATCAATAGCATAAATAGCACAATGAAACAGGAGAGACATTGTTTAGACATTCAGACCGAGTCACTTTGGCCAGACTAACTTACATTCTCTCAGCAAGTACAATAAATTTAGCACAGCCACTGACAACACGGTTTTAGGGCAGCCTCCCAGGCTTCCAGCCAGCCCTTCCGGTGCAGCGCCCGCGGGGACGTGGTCTTGAGCTCGCCGCCCCCGCTCGCACATCACACTTGAGACAATTTTAGTTCGTGATTACACTTGTTCACATATTTGTATCAGCCAAACGCAACGCCACTGATGACGAAGGTTAACAATTAAGGCAAGTTCTTGAAAGTGTATCCTCGTTTGTTTAATTGCATTTTTACTCACCCCTTCCCATTTAAATTTTCTCATTATTTTTGCCTCGTGTGTGTGTGTGTGTGTCCCTTAATTTACTCTTATAATTATACCTGATCTCCCTACTTTTGTCTTTTAACCCTTGTGGTGGTGTTAGTGTTGGCGGATCCACTGCTTTTATTGTGTGTTTGCCTTTGTCACTGGGGATTTTTTCCTTTGTGATTTTTTTTTAAATCACAGTTTCTTGTTCTTAAAGAAGATACTGTAGCATTTATTGTAATACTGGCGTGGTGGTGAAGAACCCCTTCAGCTTTTTGTCCAGCTGAGCTTTCAATACAGCAAAACTTCACCAGAAATATTTATTGACTTATTTTTTGTTTATGATTTTCCACGACACACCACTGGACCCTGGAGAACTGTAGGCAGGAGGGAGCAGGAAGCGTGTTGCTGAAAGCAAGTCATCTTCACAGACTGTTCTGTCTCTTAATATCATTTAGATGCCCGTCCACGAAAAAGAAGCCTCCAGGAAAGAAGTCACCCTTCTGGCGAAGATGAAACATCCTAACATTGTAACCTTCTTCAGTTCGTTTCAAGGTTGGACTTTCTCGCATTCCTAGAGTATTTCGGTAAAGTATTGGCATGCAGAATTCTATAAAAGGTGTGTTCCTGAGAATGGTGCGTAGTGTTTGTGAATGGGCTCATTTTCCCATTTATTTACATTGTCGTCTGAGACGTAATCTCTATCCCTGCTCCAGGGAACGTCCGCAGACAGCTCTCCTAAGCCTTTTTCCCATCTCTCGTTAACTCCTCCTCCCCCCGCTAGTTGATGGTTGGTGTGTGAGCTTTGCGCACTAACGGCACCCACATCGCTATGGCTACGAGACTATGCGTCTGTTTCTCATTCCTTCCATGCCGGCCGTGGGTGGTCTGGGGTCTTAAGTCTGGGGTCCAGGCTGAAGGGGCAGCCCAGACGTGGAGCACACTGTTCTTTTGGGCAAGACACCCGCGCCCACCACACCGCCAGCCTCCGCCCTGCTGGGGTGTGGCATGGCCCTCCTTTTCCCTCTGGGCTCACCTTCCTGTCACAAAGCAGCTGTGCAAGTAACCTTGATAATGAAGTTGGGGGGAGTGGGTGCTGCCCGTGGGACTCCCCCATGCCTGCAGCAACAGGTTGGGCTGTCCAGTCCTTTTACAGAGAGGCAGCTAACAGCCATGCACCATGGTCGAGCAAATCACAAAAACAGAGGGGAAAACTGTAAGGAGGCAATCCCTTCAGCTGCAGACCTAAACCCAAGGTCTGCTCTGTCTGTACTCGTCACCCGGCTCCAAAGGTAGGCACAAACAAAGCAGGTGATCCGATGGACATGAGAATAGCGTCGCTCAGAGACCATTCAGTCACCCAACAAACGTTTATCCAGTGCTTACTACATGCCCGGCGTTGGTCTAGGTGTCAAGAGTAGAGCAGTGAGCAAAGCAGGTGAACACGCCTGTCCTCATAAACTTGTGTCCTAGTGGGAAGGGACAGATGACAAACACACACAGAGCGTCAGGTGTTTATAGGCTGTAGATGCCCAAGTTCACCGGGGGTTAGTGGGGAGGGGGGGCAGTGCAGTCCCAGCTCAGCCCTCAGCACAGAGGGCGCTCAAAGGCACAGGCCGTGAGAATTCAAGAGCAAGCGCGCCGCCCAGATATCTTCAAGCACCATCAGGGGCTTAGGCTCAGTAAGCCAATAAACATACACTGTATTTTGAGCTTTTACACTGTGCGGTCACTGTGTTTCTTATCAAAGAAAACCACTGAGTTCAAAATGGTTCTCTGTGTACATTCAACTGCTGGGCATTCGCAGGGTTTCTGAGAACCTTCTGGGGTCTTCCTGGGAGCCAAGTGGACATGGACGTGAAGGGATTCTCGGAGAGCAGAAAGTGTAGAGTCGGGTTTTTATTCGCCCTGGAGAAAGGAGAGGAGCGTGGTGTGGGGGATTACACCAGCATCCACAGGGTGGGGGCTTTGAGTTTTTGTTGGATTAGGGCAGGATTACAAAAGGGTGGAGATTTCCGTGGTGCGGCCCCTGGGCAGTTGGTTGTTAACACAACGGTTTGTTCCGATGTTGTCTTCCTGCTTTCCAGTCATTTCCAGTGTTGGGGACACAAGCTCAGAAAAGTCAAATGGCCGTCAACTTTAACAAGGTCACCAGCCTGCTGGGCAAATGGTGCCACAACAGCACACGGGACTGGCTTTGTCCTTTCACACAGGAGCAGGGGATCCCCTTGGGTCAGAAACTTTTAGGGGGCAGCCCCTAACTCTAGTGCCCGCATTCCTCCTTGCTGACCCCTAACACCGTCACCCCAAGATGATCTTTATTTTCCTCATTATTTCAGCTGTCACTGGGACTCCTCCACCTGGCCACCTCCCCCTGGTCCCAGGCATTCTCTGAGCTCACAGTTCAAGTGACAGCCTCCTTTCCTGATCCTGCCTAGTGCTTTGTGCTTGTGTTGACTGGTCTGTGTATCGCTGCTTGTGTAAGCACTTACGAGCTGGTGTCACACTCGTCTCCCTTTCGGAGGACACTTGCTGGATTCTTTTGCTCGCCACTTGATCCTCAGCATCTAGCACATAGTAGGTGCTCACTACATGTTTGCGGAATGACTCCATGGACGGGACGCGCCCCTTTAACAGATTGGAGTATGTCTTTTTACCACGCAAAATGGATATCTGAAGACAGCATTTCCCTGGATACTCTGATCAAGTTAGAGGTCATTTTTATAGTGTCAGTAACCTCTGCTGAGTGTGCTTGTATTACAAGCTGAAATTGTCTTATAACAGCTCTTTTATTTTTTTTAAGTTAGAGAACCTCTGTGTTTAGAAAAACAAGAGCTATTGTGATGCCTTTGAGTTTGCCTGGAAGCTTGTTGGGACTTGAAACACCAGCTTACCTGAGAGCCCCCAGCATTCTCAGGGCACCTGTCATGGAGATGAAGCCTCCGCTACCCTCAGAGCACGCCCCGAACAGAACCCCAGCTCTGGTCCATTAAATGTTTGTCTGGGGGAGTATGGAAGGGTTACAGCTTTGAAGCAACGTACAAAAAATAAGGAGGATGTAAGGAGATATTCCCGAGGCTGAACTAATTCCACTTAAATTCCTCCAGTAAATATTTATCAAGCCTGTATCAGAGACCAGGCATGTTCTAGGTCTTGGGGGTGTATCTCCGTGAATAAAAGAGGCAACAGTCCCTGCAGGGTTGTTTTCTGCTGCTGCACAACGATGACCACACGTTTAGTGGCTCTCACCAGCTCCCACGAGTCACAGCCCCACTTCCTCCAGGTGGGAAGTCTGGGATCGACGCAGCTGGAGTCCCTGCCCAGGGTCTCTCTCACACAGTTGAAATCTGAGGCCCGAGTTCTCTCCCACGCTCGTTCAGGTTGTTGGCAGAGCTCGTTTACTTGCAGTTGGAGGGCTGAGGGGTCTGTGTTTTTGCAGGCTGTTGACCAGGGTGTGGTTCCGTGCGCATAGAGGCCCAGTTCTCTCTCCTTCCCAGTGGCCCTGTAGGAGGCCCTCTCCTGCTTGGAATCTCACACTGCCTGTGTCCCCGGCCTCTACACCCAGACATAAATGGCTCCTGCAATTCAGTCAGCCCGCCTGGATAATCTCTTTTCCTACTGACGCAAAATCAGCTCACTGGTAACTTTCATTATATCAGTAAAACCCCCTTTGCTAACATAACATAATCCTGGAAGTGATACCCTGTTACATTTACAGGCTCTGCCCTCACGGGGAAGGAATGAGGTGAGGTGTGCACACTGGGGCCTTTTGCAACCTTCTAGCTCTGGCTGCACAGTTTACGTTTTGGGGGGGAAGGTAGGGAAAGACAGGCAGTAGGATAATAAATGTAAACACAGCACACACCATTTAGATCGTATGTTAGGAGGTATGTTGTAAGCGCTGTGGGAAAACACAGGAGGGTGAGACACGAGTGGAGGGGACAATTTCAGACAGGGTGGTCAGGGTGGGCTTCATTGGGGAGGTGACATCTGAGCAGAGACTGGAACAGTCCTGGGAAGGCTCACGGAGTCACCACGAAGGCACGAGGCAAGGGCACACTGCAAGCCCTCTGATTGGAACACCGAATATTCTTTCTTCCACGGGCTACCCTCCTTCATTACTTCCAGCTTCTCTCCTTTAGAGTCGAGTGAGAATTTACGGAGAGTCTGCACAAGCTTCTTAAAGCCTGCCCAGTGGTTTTCCCTCCCAACGTGGGAGTCACTGACTTCCTGGCTCTTCACTTTTACCGACTCCTTTAAGGCATTTGTGTAGCTTTGGTAGAAATAATCACATCTTTCTTTTCCCATTCCTGTTTCATCGGTTGTGTAATACTTACGATAACGAGCGTAGTTGATGTACACAGACTTGGGGACGGGCACAGTGATGTCAGTGACAATCGGCAGGGGCTGAGGGACTGGGCACACTGCGTCTGCCTCGCAGCCCCCAGTGGCCGGCTGCAGCAGGCCCATGAGGCCGGGCTGCCCCTACCTCTAGTGTAGGCCAGGCAGAGGGTGGTTGGAAGAGCGGTTATTCTCGACAACGTGGTTGAATGTGTCATGTTAATAGAAGTTTATACCCAAGTTCAGAACGGGTCTGTTCGTCCTTCCAGGGGTGCTGGGAAGGACTCACAGCGGCTATTCTGCTGCGGGCTTCTCATCTCTTGCTGGAATGTAGCCAAGATTTACGGAACTGTCATAAGCTGTGAGCGGTGCTCTAAGCATCCGACGTGGCTTCACTCAGTTAAATCGTTAAAACAATCCTAAGAGGAGTTTCTATATTACTATATTCATTTCACAGATGAGGCACGAGGCACAGAGACATTAAAATAAGTTGCTTACAGTCACAGAGTTAAGAAATGTAGGTGTTGAAGCAAGATTAGAACCCAATCTATCCTGATTCTCCAGCAAGAGAATTTCAATATGTGCATGTATGAAATAGATTAGTATATACTAATCTATTAGCATATACATTTTTTCTGTGATACTCTCCATCTTCTCGAACTTGAAAGACAAATGATCAGTAAGCACCCACAATGCTCCCGGAACCCAGTGGTGGCCCCTTCTCTTGCAGAGAACGACAGGCTGTTCATCGTGATGGAGTACTGTGCCGGAGGGGACCTCATGGGAAGGATCAGCAGGCAGCGGGGGGTGCTGTTCAGTGAAGACCAGGTAAACAAACACTCCTGGTCGGCCTTTCCATTTCATGTGGGACGATTACATTTATCATGCCATACGTCATGGACTGTGTTTAGGTGAAGCATGATGTCTGGTAATGACTCCAAACCGCAAAACAGTGGTCAGTACTCTTGACAGATTTCGTCCACAACATGTTTGCAATTGAACGTCTGTTGAATGTCTTGTTGAGAGTAAAGTTTGCTTCCGAAAAGAGAATGTCTCTTATTTTTGACAGTCTCATGTAGAATGCCCCTGAGATCTATTTTCATGGCTTAAAAAACAAATCTGAGTGTGGATGTTCCTTGGCAGTTTAAAAAATAGCTATAGGTGCGCTCCTCTTCCTCTGAGTGTTTGGTGCCCTGTGTTGAAACAGCCGTCCTGCTTTGCTGGGCAGGATAGAAGCTCTTCTTAGTGGTGGCCTTTTGTTTCATTGGTTATAAAGAGAGAGGAGCCAAAAGGTGAGGAACAGTGGCCTCAATTCCCATTTTTTTCTTTGCACAAACACTTTTTTTTCCCTGTACTCTGAGTTTCCTTTGGACACCTCTTGGAAGGAGACGGGTATGTGTGTGGAGAGGAATCGGAATCAGGCCTCGTGTGGTTGGTGGGAAACGCCACCGGCCTTGAGCAGTGCCCAGGAATGGCCCAGCGTCCTCTATGGCTGCTTGTTTCTTTGTTGTACTCTAGCATTTGAGAGCAGTGTGCCCATGTGACTTCTTCCTAGAGTTAAAATGTCAAATTTAGAATGTAGAAATGATTAAAGAATCAATATCTCTACCCTCTGCCAACTCAATCTAGCATTTTTCCTATGCTCATTCACATTGTATATTAAATGCCATATTTGTGGAAACCCTGGTTCCCCTGTAGGTATTATTTTGCCATATTTTATTAAAAAATACTTTTCTCTATAAAATTTTGAATTACATTTCCCTTTGTTGGGTAAGAACTAAAATTACAACTGAACTGTACTATCTGGTATATAGCTGTTTTCCTATTGTTTTCCTCTTTCTGTATACTTTGGCAGACAAAGAATGAATGAAATTTTAGAATAGTTTAAATAAATCTCTATAGGCATGGAATACATTTTACTAAAGTGGGTCATGTCCATTTAAGGTAAGTAATGCCGTGACTAACAAAATTAAGCTCTAGCCCTGGCTGGTGTGGCTCAGTGCACTGGCACCAACCTGGGGACCAAAGGGTTGCCAGTTCGATTCCCAGTCAGAGCACATACCTGGGTTGCAGGCCAGGTCCCTGGTAGGGGGTGCACTTGAGGCAATCATATATTGATGTTTCTCTCCCTTTCTTTCTCTCTTCTTTCCTCTCTAAAAATAAATACATAAAATCTCTTTAAAAAGATTTTTTAAAAAAGAAAAGAAAATTAAGCTTTCAAAAAATTAAAAGTAACTTTTTGTTTGTATGTTCTGTACACATGTAGGTATTTCACTAAAAACTTTATAACCTCCCATTCTGTCCATTCCTTCTTTTTTCTTTCTCTGCCCTGGTACCCCTTCCACTGAAAGAAAATCGGTGGCACCAGGGTTATCAGGAACCAGGGCTGTTTGTCCCCCGTCCTGATGCAGGTGGCTGCCTGGTGTTAGGAGAAAAGGAAAAGGCCAGCTGCCTCCCTCTCTGTTCTGCTTTCATTTGTCTCGTGTTTGTGCAGTTCCCTCTGACACCAACACACATGGCTTGCTTTTCGCACCTGCATTTTGCTAGGTGATACATCGATTGGCTTCATTCTGATAAACGTACAAACTTAAATATGCCACTTCCTGCTTTTTGCACATTATTGTGAAGATGCTTCAGTGACACCAGATACTCACAGGTTTTGTCTTATGTTCCCTCGGCAGATTCTGAGCTGGTTCGTGCAGATTTCTCTGGGACTAAAACACATTCATGACAGGAAGGTCTTACACCGGGACATAAAGACACAGGTAACAGCTCAGAGAGAGGACAGGGACAGGACTGACCTTTCGTTTTCTTGAAATCTCACAAACAACATGGCATTTTCTACACTTACAGAACATCTTCCTTAGCAAGAATGGAATGGTCGCAAAGCTTGGGGATTTTGGTATAGCGAGAGTCCTGAACAAGTAAGTACTTTAGAACATTATTTTTTTCTATTTCTAACAGGCAAATATATATATGTATACTTGTGATATATATATATCACAAGCAAAGAAATGTATTAAAAGCTTGATTTCCAAATATTTTTGATAACTGTTTTTATAAACCTATTAAATCATTCAGATGAAAAATAAATACATCATTCAGATGGTACTTTATCTGAGATGAAAATCCCCAAGACAAATCTTGGCATAATGGAATGGTCGTGGCAATGTTTACAGTGTGATCTAAACTTATCAAATGAAGGTGGACGGGGCAGGGAAGAGCAACAGTGGGAAATTGGGACAATTATATTGAATAACACTAAAAACAATTTTAAAAGTATACTGATAAAATGAGCTATAACTTTAATGTACATAAAGCTAGTGAGAATTTAGTGAGACGGCCAAGTTCACGTGTGCCACGGGGAATATATAGGTGGGACTGCTTTGGAAGACAATTTGGTGGTGATATGAACAGATTTTTAAATGTTGCATTTCTGGTATTTTGTCCTAAGGGGATAATGTGAAATTTGGAATAAATCATTGGGAAATTGTTAAATGTAATAGAGCTTGCTCTAGCCAGTAACTGAATATTATATTGCCATTAACATTCATGATTTTGAACACTTCTTAATGAAGTGAGGAAATATTTGTTACATCAGGTAAAAAAATGGAATTCTGAGTTTTAAATATACTGTGATCACAGTATTGTGAAAAATATGCATGGAGAAAGGTAGGGAGGAAATATATCAAAATTTTAACAAAAAGACTCTGGATAATTATTTTTCTTCCATATTCTCTTTCATATTTTCCAAATTTAAATCACAAGAGTGCATCTCTCTGATCACTGAAAAGAGGGGACTCTCCCAGTGTCTGGGGAATCACCGTAACATGACAAGCATATCTCTGTGTGGGGGCTTTAGGCCCTAAAAATTTTTTAATGTGTAGATTTTGGGGAGCTGAACTATAAGTTGAAAAATCAACTATTTTTATTACTCTATTATAAATGTACAATCTGTTTTTTATTTATTTTAATACGTGCGTCAAATTTTATCTATTTTTATTCTTGTGTGTTCATATCTTAAGCCCTTTTTTACTCATAATAAGCCATGTTATTTTACTATTTAATATAATTTACCAGTTCTATGGAACTTGCCCAGACTTGTGTTGGAACACCTTACTACCTATCTCCAGAGATCTGCCAGAACAAAGCCTACAACAATAAAACATGAGTGGCTGACTCCTGGTTTGAAAGTCTCAGAAAAATCTGATGGACTCTCCTATGGTACTTCTGTGATTTCATTTTCTTCACGTGTGAAATGAATGTCCCAGTGACTGTCTCTGCCACTTTGGTGTTCCCGGAAGCTTTTGAACTTGCTTAGAAACAGGCAAATTCTCTTTATTTAAAGGTACCAGGGAGAGCCAGGATAGTGTTGAAAACTGCAGGCATTGTGACGTCTGTCTTTGTGTCTGACGTCCAGACTGTTCCCAAAGAACAGATTTCCCTCCACCCTCACAGTCCTTCTGGCCGGTCTAATAACCAAACAGACATTGAGACCGATTAGCAAGAGAAAATAACCAAATTTACTGCATACATATGTATGGGAACCCCACACATGAGAGGGTCAGAGACCCCACACATGAGAGGGTCAGAGACCGAAAGAGAACACGGGAACATAAGCCATTCTGAGCTAGGGATGAGGTGAGCTGCCTGAGGGGTAAGACAAGGGCAGGCCTTTAGTAAATAGGAGTTTGCATGGCCCTACAGATAGGCCAAAAGAAGTTATCTTTGGTAACAGGTTGTTATGAGCTGGGCCCCTAATTTAAGTTCTCCTAGGTGCCCGAGGGGCGGGGCAGACGTTTCTCTTGAGCCTGTAGCTAAAGTTGCCTTTAGCTCAAAGTAATCTGCGTACCACTGAGTCACATCCTGGGGTAGCTCCTTCTGAACCCCCACCCTACTTTCTAAGCACTGTTGACTTCATTGCAGAAAAGTGTCCCGGGTGGGCACCGTAGAAGGCATGTGGTCTGGTGACAGAGCACTGGGTTAGGAGCTCGGGATCTAGTTTTAGGCAGGAGTTCAGAATGAGTCCCCCCAAACTGTGCTTCTGTGGTGTGTGCATTATTTTTGAGCGAAAGGCAGCCAACACCCTGTGGGCTCAGTAGAAACTTCTCTCCCCACAATTACGAAGAAGAATTTAAATTAGGGGCCTTGCCCATGATAAGTCACCAGAGATAACATTTTTGACCTATCTGTGGGGCAAGGCAAACTTCTGATTACTCAAAATCTGTTCTTATCAGCCTGCAGCTGGCACAGTGGCACATTCCATGCCCCCAGGCAAGATGGCAGCAGGAGGGAGCGTTACGCTGAGTGTGGGCAAGGCCAGCGAAAATAATTGGTTAAGGGAAAAGCCCTCCTGCCCCCATTCCAGCCCTTGACTAGGGGTGCGACCAGGGGGAGGTGGGTACAAATGCCACAGAGGTCAAAACGGTGGCAGAAGGAGGTCCTGTGTCAGAGAACCATGTCAGTCTAGCCTGGGGAAAAGAAGGGATTGGTTGGGGAGCCAGACCCTTCTGGTTCATGGGGAATTTGGGCTGAGAAAAAGCACCCGGCTTGGCCCACACGGGTAACTGATGTAAACCCAGGGGAAGGACCAGACGCTCTCCTAGCCCACCTTGCAAAGTACAGGCCGATGCGTTTGCAGAAACTTGCAGCGCTGCCAACTATGTGGCTGGTGGCGGTACCAACAACACAGGCAGACTCCAGGAGGGAGCCTGAGGCTGGACACCTGCCCGCTTAGCTGCCTTGGGCTCCAAAGGACAGACAAAGATGGAGTGGGAATTCCGGGCACTGCCTTGGGTTTTGGTCTTGCTGGGAGTGGCCGGGTTTTGCCTGTATTTTGTGGAAGAGATGAGCCTGCCATGCTCCCGAACTGTGCAGCATTCGATAAAGACCTCTTTCCTTTCTCATCAACCGCTGCCTCTGGCATTTGCCCATGGGTGGTGACAGGCAGCTGAGCCCCCACTTTGGTTCGGTAACACAGTGGCTTTCCTCCCCTCTGAAACCCCAAGGTACCTTACCTCATCTGTAGCTCAGAATGTCGTACACACCTCATTTTCTCTTTCTCCCTCTGAGCCCTTCATATACCGGGGTTCCCATATGTGCATATGTAGTTAAATTTGGTTATTTTCTCCTGTTTATCTGCCTCATGCAGATTTAATCATGAGACCAGCTAAAAGAACCTGGGGGGTACCCAAGAATTCCTTCCTTCCCCACCCTTGGCTCTGTCACCCACTCGACCAAGTCAGTTGACCTGTGACAACGAGAGTGTTGGCTAGGTGATCATTGACGTGTCCTCCACCTTTAGAACCCAACTAGTTTTCAGAGTCTAGTTCCCAGGAGTGATATTAATACACACAGTGATGAAAGATGAAGATGGGGTTGTTTTTTTACCTCTATGTAAGGGGAAGGAAAAAAATGTCCCTTCTCATAGCGTGGCTGCCATTGGAGCCGGTTGGACCAGCAGCGAGCCTGAATTCCTTTTGCGAGTTCATTGTCCATTTGTGTAGGGAAATACCCAAGGGCTGTGTGGTCGTTTGACTGTGACAGATAAGTAGAAAGCAAAGCCCAGTTGGTAGAGATTTACAAAAAGAATAGCAAACATTTGTCTGTCTAATTGGAGCAGAGGCCCTTTGGGGCGCAGTGCCCTGGTCGAACAGGAGGGCTGTGCCTGCAGCTCAGCAGGGACGCTGCAAGCGGAGGGCTGGGTGGATGGGCAGACTGTCCGGAGCAGCTCAGTGCTGCTGCCGGCTGGGAGCCCTGGGTTAGCCGCACTGTTTCGTTTCCTTGGGCTATTTTTTAAGAATTTGGGTTAACATTGGAATATGTTGATCGGATGCTTCTGAGAATTAGAGGATTTTTGCAGCCATCGGCTGCTCCCTGTAGACCAGGAAAACCGTTCCCAGGCTCACCGCAGCTGCCACCGTGCACTGGGAGGCACACGGCACACACAAACGCTCCCTCAAAGCCCCAGGTGGCTTCTTCCTTCCCCGAGGGGCAGAGGCACTGCCTGGGCCACTGAGGGCGCTCGGGGCACAGGAGGAGCTTGGGCCTGGGGAACACGACCAGGTCGACGCAAAGTTCTGGGTGGCGGTGGAAAGTGGTCATGAGTTTCTAGAAACTCTAGGAAAAGTCCGGAAACCAGTTAGAAGTGGTTTCCTACTTATTTATTCCATACGCAAACTTTAGCGTCTCTCTCTCTCTGTCCCCCGCACACACTCAAAGGAAGTACCGCCAAACAGTGGAGCCGTTTACCTTATTTGCTGGAATCCTTCCTGTTTTGACTTTAACTTCTTACTTTCTTGACTTTTCATTGTATATTTTTTTGGTCTCTTAGATTAATGCTTTTTGTTCTAGAAGGTAACTCCTTATTAAACCAATCACGTAGAAATACATAGGTGTGAGAAAATGGGGACAACTGTAATTGAACAACAATTTTTAAACAATGTGTTTTTTTTATTGATTATGCTGTTACAGCTGTTCTATTCCCCCTTTATTCCCCTCCACCCTACCCCTCATCCCCACCATCACCCCCCTTTAGTTTATGACCATGTGTCTCAAGTCCTTTAGATTCTATATTTCCCATGCTATTCTTGCCCCCCATCTATTTTCTATCTACTGTCTATGCTACTTATTTTCTGTACCTTCTCCCCCCTTCTCCTCCTCCCACTCCCCTGTTGCTAACCCCTCCTTGAGATCTTCATTTCTATGTTTCCACTCCTGATCTAGCTGTCCTTTTAGTTTGCTTTCGTTTTAGGTGTGGAAGAAATAAATAAAAGATAAATACTAAGTACCAAAGAGCAACTCTCCAATCGTATATTATATGCACATTTCCCAAGTTCATTGAGCACCAGATGCCATGTTCCTCACTTCACATGCTTCTGATTCTGTCCGTAGCTTTGAGTAGAGTGTGCCTTGCTCATCAACCAAACTCTACCTCTCGAATCAGAACAAGTTCATGTTTGAGCCCTGCCTCCCTCTGCCACATGCTCAGCATTTCATACACATTTTCTTTTGGGCGCATGAGGTCAAACTCAGTGTTGGGCCATCGGTTGGTAGCAAGTTTGCACAGTTTCTTTGTTAGGATTCTGACAAACTAGATTGTTTTTATTTCACCTCTTACGTTAGTGAGAATGAGCATTGATAACGTATCTGGAAACATTTCTAAAAATTAGGCAGCCTGTGTAAACCTGTAAAGATACACTAATAGAAGGAGACACTGTAAGGATAATAAGGCTTTTGTTAAAAACTGTGGATAATTTCTACCATGTAAACTCCTGTCTTCTCCAGGGACATTTGGTCTCTTGGCTGCGTTTTATACGAGCTCTGCACACTCAGGCATCCTGTAAGTATGTTGATCATTGGATTAATGTTTAATTATTGAAACTATATAAATTAAGTTGACTTCTGAGAGAAAAAGATTAATGTTTGGTTTAACTCGAGTGTTAAAAATTAGGTGCACATGTCCTGGCTGGGCGGCTCAGTTGACTGGAGCATTGCCTGCACCATAAAAGGCCGCGGGCTGGTCGGAGCACCTAGGTTTCGGGTTCCTTCGTGGTAGGGGTGCATACAGGAGGCAACCAATGGATGTTTCTCTCTCTCTCCCTGCCTGCTTCCCTCTCTCAAATCAATATGAGTAAACATCCTCTAAAATTTTTTTTTAATTATGTGCACTGGCTATTAAGAAGAGTGATAGATCTGTATAGGTTGACATGGAAAAGTGTCCAAGTCGTATTATAAAGTTAAAATCCCAAGGTGGAGAATAGTGTATGTAGCATATTTCCACTGAAAATAAACTGTGGGGATATATATAATCAGCAAAGGAAATGCATGGGGTGCGTGGGGTGAGGCTGTAGGAACAAGCTTCTCAGAGGCCTGGCCCCCAGAGGCACACAGGATGCCCCGATTCTCCCAGCAGCAAGTTGTGACAGCAGGTGTGAAATGTCAGGTGCCAGGGAAGCTCATTGGAGACTCAGTGCCCGGGCTTTGATTGCAGACTGGTCACGTAGGTGCCCTCTGCCTGGCCTGCACCGCCCTTGCAGACGCCTGGGGAGAAAGCAGGGGTTGGACCTAAACCTATCGTTTCCACAAACAGTGCAGGCGGAGAGAGCCACGCTGAGTGGGCGCTGGTGGGGACTGTCTGGAAATCTGAGTTCCCAGATGTCGGCCAAAGGACAGTATTGTAAATAGGCCTTTGTAAGGAGAGCGTTGGTCTCAGGCCTGCTGTGTCAACCGTTTTCTACCCTGCCATCACCATTGTCTTCACTGTTATTATCGGCCGGTAAGGGTCTTACCCAAACCTGCATCTTTAATGCCACTCCGTGCTGCTGAGCGTTATGACTGACGTCAGCGATCCAGTCTGGGAAATGAGTCCGCAGGAGATTTGGTCGTTGTATGGACATTACGGAGTGCGCTTACACAAGCCGAGGTGGTGCAGTCCCCTCCACACCTCGGCTTCGTGGTGCAACCTGTAGCTCCTACTGCAAGGGGTGCTGTGGGCGGTTGTAACACCACGGTATTCGTGCACCTACACAGCTAAACATCCAAAAGGTACAATAAAAATAAGATACAGAAGATGAAGTGTGTGTTCACCTGCATGTGGGTGGGTAGGAGGTGGGTTCCCGGGCTCCCCTCCCCTTCAGCCTGCACCCCTTGCTCATCACCAGCTCCAGGCTCCAGCCGTGGGTGGGCACGGGGCAGGTGCACAGCACGCTGAGCCCCCTCATCTGTTTAAACCACCCAGAGCTGGTGGTAAACTCAGCACCGCAGTTGGGTCCAGCCTTTTCCGTCAGCACTGCAAACAGACCGTTTGCCTGTCGCCCATTACAACCCGGTTGGGGCCCTGCTGTGTGTGTGGCCCGTGGTTGGCCGAGACACTCTCGTGGGACACACGCGGCTGTAAGTGTAAACAACTGAGATTCCACACGATGGAGAGTGTTCGGTTTATGAAGAATTTTTGTGGAAATGTTTATGTTACGTTAATTTTAAAAGCAAGCTGTAAAATTGTACATGATGATGTCCTCAACTCTATAAAATAAACATTTATTTAAAGACCTAGGAGGCAATATACCTCTGGATGGTGAAATTATACACATTTTCCCTGCCTACTTATAATTCTCTGGACCTTCCAGTTTTCTAGGATGAGTAAATATTATTTTGTTAAGAAAAATTAAAACAAAAATATGATTTTAAACTACATGGCCTCTTGTCGACCAACTGCAAACAGTCTCTACTCACGAAGTGTCAGTTGGTAGAAACAACTTGGGTGCAACCGGGGAGCCTGCGACCGAACATTGAAACACCAGTTTGCGTCTCGATATTGACGGTGAGGACTCGTTTTGACTTTTCCCTGACGTGGTCTTGCTGTGCCTGTCCTTTCAGTTCGAGGCTCACAACCTGCACCAGCTGGTGCTGAGGATTTGTCGGGCGCATGTGGCCCCGGTCTCGCCTTGGTTTTCTCCTGACCTCCAGGCCCTGATATCACAGCTCTTTCAAGTGTCTCCCCGAGACCGGCCATCTATTAATTCCATTTTGAAAAGGCCCTTTTTAGAGAATCTCATTGCCAAGTATGCGACTCTTGAGGTGAGTTCTCCGGTGGCTCTGCCCGCACGTTCGTTGGCCGAGGTCTCGGCGAGCTGGCCCTTGACGGCTGTGTTTGGTCCTAGGTCCTTCAGGAAGAGCTCAGTCACCCCCTCACACACCGAGCAAGACCACCAGCGTCTCACTCTGCTGGGGAGATGGTGCAAGGTGAGCACGATCAGATGGTGCACTCTAGCACATTCGTGACGTGTGTCTCAGGTACTGTATAATATAGGGCTGACTGCTTTAGCAGGAAAGAAACTTCACCAAATGTATCAGATGTGGACATTTGAGAAAGTACCAGCAGTATATGCAGGAGAAATAGCATCTTGTCCAGTGGAGGCCGGCAGGTGCGCTGGCACATCCAGCTCATGGACCACCTGGGGGAGTCAGCTCCTCTCTCTCCATTCGTCAGGGACCCTTCACGAAGCAGTGTGTTTGCCAACGAAGAGATGTTTGAAGGGGTAGGATCCAAACGTAACTTTGTGTCAGGAGGGTAGAGAGTAAGAGAGGGTTCCCAGACAGACATGGGCGATGAGATGAAGCTTGTTGTTTTTTGAAATAGAGAGGATGGACTAGCAATGAAGAGTTCTCTTAGAAAGGCCCACTGGAGCTGAAGTTTGAATCTTGGACCTCACTAGTCACAGTGGCAGAACCACAACTATGTGACCCCCAAATAAAACAGGGGATACTTTATGGTAGTGATAAGTAGAGAAAAATTTAGTGCCAGGGATCAGCTGATGACGTGATGAAGCTCTGTGTGTGTGTGTGTGTGTGTGTGTGTGTGTGTGTGTGTGTGAGAGAGAGAGAGAGAGAAAGGTATGAAAGAAGAGAAAATTACTAATTCAGTCGATGTTGTGGAAGTGAGAGGCCAGGACTGAGCGACAAGCACATGTCTGAACTTAGGAGACGAGCAGCCGTAGCAAGTCCCTCTAAGGAGTCAGTGATAGGGCCACACCGTCCTCTGCGGTAGAAAAACTAAAACCAAGGACAGGTATAAAGGGCAAATGAATGACTTAACCCCTCTGCTATGCGTGCTCTGGTTTGGCACGGTTCCGTGTTGGTTCAGGCTGAGAATGTTAGAAAGGAGGCGAGGAGAGGGTAAGAGAGAAAGTGCAGAGGCCGAATCTTTAGTGCAGAAACGACAGGAAAATGAGAACCCAGGTGAGGGTGACCCAGAAAACGTATCGGAAGACCTATGCGTCCCTTCCCAATGACAGTGTCATGTGAACGGCGTGGCCCAATGACCCAGGCTCTGCTGTCTGCATCCAGTTCCTTGTGCTGTTATCTGGTGCACAGTGTTTCTGTAAATGTTAGCATTAACGTCTCATGTTTGAAAACGTAGCTTTACGTGTTACAAGAAATAGGCACAGGGTCCCTGGAAAAAATGGTTTTTTCTAGTCAAAGAAAATGCATCATAATTTTGCATTGGCCCTTTACTCACTAGGAATACATATCCCTGGGTGAAGTAGGTTTACTATGCTAATGGAATGTCCCATGCATTGACTCTCTCGCAAGCATCAATATTAAAGATGTGAAAGTTTAGAAAAATTGAAGTTGTTTTATTTTGCTTACGTAAGATTCTAAAATCCAGAAAGTGAAATTCCAGGGAAAGTGCTCCCCGAGAGCAAGAATATCAGTGCCAAAGAAAAGGAAGGAGAGCATCTATAGAAAGGAATGGAGACCACCAGCCGGAGCCCCAAAGCCCCTATTTGTAAGTCGTACCGAAGCCTTTCTCTGGGTTTTCAGGAGACGGCATATTCTACAGACCTGGTTGCACATGTTCATGTGCTACAAGCTCATTGCTGTGGAATTCACTAGTTTTTTACTTAATAAAAAAATCTTTCTGTTATGAGCATTTACAGTGGTACTATGTTGGACAATTTCTAGTTGTTAGATTGTTTTAAAATGCTGTATTTTCTTACAAGTGTTCTAGACATCAGTTTTAGTTTTCATAAGTCAAATTCTTTTCATTTCTTTACATAAATAAGGTTTTCTATATAAGATAAATGAGTGGTGTAGCATAGTGGAAGGAAATAGTATGCATTTCATACTCTTAAGTCTGACATGTTATATAGCATTAAGAATTTTTAATTATGTAATCAATATATTTTCCTAGAGATTGTTTACACATAGTTATTTGAATACACCTCAGCAAAGTGCTGAATCTTTTAGTTCATGCTAGTGAAATGGTTCTGGTATATAAATAATAAAATGGCCATTGTCATTGAATTGAAGAATTATATTTGTAAAGAAGGCTTATGGTATAATTAGAGGGCCATTTAAAAGTACATTTACTAAGTGTTTACTTGATATATAGACATTTAGAAAATGTGTTGGTGTATAAATAGATTTTTGAAACTGTTAGTTAAATTATTGCTCTTCATTTGGGTAGATTGTGGCCTAACTGTACTAAAGAAGTTGTAAAAGCTTGTGCAATATATTGCGTTGTGTGTTCAGTACCCCAAGTCCAGTCTCCTTTGATCACCAATTAACCCCCACACCTTCCCCCCCCCTCCTCCCACACCCCTGTCCCTCTGATAATCACCATGCTGTTGTCTGTGGATGACTTTGCTCCTTTTTTTTTGCTTAATCCCGTCAATTCTTTCACCCCCCCCAAACCTCCTCCCCTTTGAGAGCTGTCAGTCTGTTCTCTGTATCTGAATCTGTTTCTGTTTGTTACTTTATGTTGTTCACTAGATTTGCTGTGCAAATCATTTTTAGTTTGATGTAGTCCCGTTTCTTTCTCTTTTTGTTCCCTTTCCCGAGGAGATATTTCAAAAAATATATATTGCTACAAGAAATGGGCTAGACTTTACTGCTTATGTTTTCCTCTAGGATTTTTGTGGTTTCAAGTCTAACATTTAAGTCTTTAATCCATTTTGAGTTTATTCTTGTGCACAGTGTAGGAAAGTGGCCTAGTTTCATTTTTTTGGCATGTATCTCTGCAATTTTCCAACACCATTTATTGAATAAACCGTTTTTATCCCCTTGTATGTTTTTGCCTCCTTTGTCAAATATTAATTGACCATAAAGGGGTGGATTTATTTCTGGGCTCTTCTATTCTGTTCCATTGATATGCACGTCTCTTTTTATGCCAGTACCATGCTCTTTTGATAACTATGGCCTTGTAGTATAGTTTGATATCAGGTAGTGTGATTCCTCCAACTTCATTCTTTTTTTCTCAAGGTTGCTATGGCTATTTGGGGTCCTTTGTAGTTGCATATACATTTTTGGATATTTGTTCCAGTTCTATGAAATACTCCATTGCTATCTTGATAGGCATTGTGTTGACTCTATAGATTGCTTTGGGTAGTATGGACATTTTAATGGTTTTCTTCCTATCTGAGAACACAGTAACATGGTATGTACTTCCACTTATTTGTATCTTCTTCAATTTTTTCTTTAGTGTCTACAGTTTTTCAGGTATAGGTCTTTTACCTCCTTGGTTAAATTTTTTCCTAGGAACTTTTTTTTTTTTTTTTTTTGCTGCAATACTAAATAGGATTGTTTTCTTGCTAATAGCTCATTATTGGTTTGTAGGAAAGCAACTGATTTCTGGATATTTATTTTAATCCTGCTACTTTACTGAAATCATTTATCAGTTTGAGTAGTTTTTGATGAAATCTTTAGGGTTTTCTATGTACAGTATCATGTCATCTGCAAATAATGACAGTTTTACTTCTTCCTTTCCAATTTGGATGCCTTTCATTTCTTCCTGTTGTCCGATTGCTGTGGCTAGGACTTCTAGTACTATGCTGAAGAAGAGTGGTGAAAGCAGACATCCTGTCTTGTTCCTGACCTTAGGGGAAGCACTTATAGTTTTTGCCCATTGAATATGATATTGGGGTGGGTTTGTCACATATCGCCTTTATCACATTGAGGTATGCTCCCCCTATTCCCATGTTGCAAAGAGTTTTTTTAAATCTTAAAAGGGTGCTAGATTTTTTCAAATGCTTTTTCTGCATCTATGGATATGATCATGTGATTTTATTCTCTATTTCATTTATGCGGTGTATCACATTTATTGATTTCCATAATTTTACCAGACTTGCACCCCCAGAATAAATCCCATTTGATCACAATGTCTGATCTTTTTAATGTATTGCTGGATCCAGTTTGCTAATATTTTGTTGAGGATTTTAGCATCTATGTTCATCAGGGATACTGTCCTATAATTTTCTTTTTTTGTAGTGTCTTTATCTGGTTTTGTAATTAGGATAATGCTGGCCTTGTGAGCTTGGAAATTATCCCTCCTCTTAATTTTTTGGGGATAGTTTGAGGAGAGGTGTTAGTTCTTCTTAGAATGTTTGGTAAAATTCACCTATGAAGGCTTCCAGCCCAGGACTTCTGTTTATTGGGAATTTTTTTTAACACTGCTTCAATATCACTAGAGGTAATTGGTCTATTCAGATCCTCCGATTCTTCCCAATTTAGTTGTAGAGATTGTATGTTTCTAGGAATTCATCCATTTCTCCCAGATTGTCCAATTTGCTGGCAGATAGTTTTTCATAGTATTTCCTTTGTATCAGTTGGTACTTCTCCTCTTTTGTTTCTTATTTATGTATTTAGGTCCTTTCTCTTTCTCTTTTTCTTGATGAGTCTGGTTAGTGGCTTGTCAATCTTATTTATCTCTTCAAAGAACCAGCTCTTGGTTTTATTGATCTTTTATATTTTTTTAAAATTCTATTTCATTTATTTCTGCTCTACTTTTTAATTTTTTCCTTCTACTCACTTCGGGCTTTGTTTGTTGTTCTTTTTCAAGTTCCTTAATAGTGCCATAAAGCAATCCTCAGTTTGTGGCTGCCTCTTCGGGTCCTGGGTGTGTGCGGCAGTGACCAAACAGCCCAGCTTTTACCAGCTTTGGGTCCGGGGGCAGGTCAGCAAAAGCTCCAAGGAACCTCAAGACCTGCCTCCTTCTGCCTCCACCTTCTGGCTAAATTCTCTTTCTAATTCTAGGATCGGGAGATTCTAAAAGTATTTTAATCTGAAAACAATTCTAGAGCCCAAACAACAAAAATATATTTTCAAAGCCTTGGCTTAGCTATGGTCACTATCAAACTGTCAATTATTATAGATTTGTATTTTTTAAATAAAACTTTCCTTCTTATGAACCTTTAGGTAAAAATGATAGACAGGCCCCAGCCTGCTGACGTGTGTGGCCATTATGGTTATTACTATGCTCGACTCGACTTGCTGAGGAAGAGAGACCACGAACTGGGTTGCCACCAGGTGCCTCAGAAAGAGCCTGGAATTAAGGGGAATTGTCACCAGGAAGAAAGCCACCATCCATCCCCAGGTCAATGGTACTGTCATTGTCTAATTTAAACTTGTCCTCTGAAAACATCGTGAAATAGAACACTCTTGACTCTGCTATCTTTCTGAATTCTCCTTTTAAAAGGAATGATCTGAGAACTTCCAAACTCTTCATTTCAAATACTTAATTCACAGTTCCCTTGACTTGTTTTATTTTTTTAATTTTTACTAAACTTTTGTTGCAGTTGCCATACAGTATTATATTAGTTTCAGGTGTACAACACAGTGATTAGACATTTGTATACTTACAAAGTGACTGCCTCATTCATTTCGTGACCCTTTTTCATCTCAAGTTTGATGCAGCTTCTTATTCATGCAGCCATTTAACTATCAGCACAAATTCCTGCTCTTGAACTTTTAATATTTTTCCTCTTTCTAGTGAACCCCATTGTCTAGGACTTATGAAGATAGTTGTATATGTTTCATGTTACTAGAGGCTATTAATATTCATCACTAACAATTGAATTATAATTGGATTATCATTGGAGACATATTGGAAAGTGAAATGTATTTCATTCAGCATTTATATTCATAGGGTTTTCCAGAAGATGGCTGTATTAAAAAGAAAGTAACATAATTACACGGCTCTGATGACAGACTTCCACAAAATTTACTCCATAACAAATTTTTGCCTATCTACACTCTTTTCCATTTTTTTATCTCACACCAATATCAGTGTTCTTGTGTTCAGGGTAATTGCTACCTTTCCGCAGTCCTGAAGACCCACTTCTGAGAGTCATTTTTTTAAAAAGATTCTATTTACTTATTTTAGAGAGAGGGGAAGGGAGGAAGAGAGGGAGAGAAACATCAATATATGTTTCTCTCTCACACCCTCTGCTGGAGACCTGGCCCACAATCCAGGCATGTGCCCTGACCAGGAATAAAACCTGGGGCCCTTTAGTTCGCAGGCCGGCACTCAGTCCACTGAGCCACACCAGCCAGGGCTCATTTTTTTTTAATGTTTTTACCGTCCTGAACTGAGCTGTTCAACCCTCATCCCCATATCAACCCCTGTGAGCTAGTGGTGCTCCCGTTTTATCCACGGGGAATGGAGGCCCAGAGCCCATCACTAGCCTGTCATTTCCTCATCTTCCTAAACCACTGTGTTATCACCTTGACTCTTCATAAACGTGAACAGCTCACCAAACGCTCCGGGAGGTGTTATTTCTGGAATGACACCCCTGTCTTTGGAGCCCTGGACTTCACTGGTATTACAGAGAGCTTCATCAGACAGCTCAAATTATAAGACTATGATCTGAAATGTGGGCATTTTAATTTGACAAGCAGGGGTTCCAGAAATCTTAGCAAAAAGTTTTGCCAAAAATTATAAATATATATATGTATATAAATGTATATAGAACATAGACATAAAGCTGAAAATGGTTTGGCTGGAACTATGCTGCCCAAATCCCTTCTACGTAGTCAGAGAGCCCATTTTCATTCACTAAGCATTTGCATGAGCATCAGAGGCAAAGTGACGGGACTCTGCCTGGCCTCACGGAGCTCCGAGTGTCCTGCAGGACACAGTTCAGCGGCTCCCAGTCAGACCAGGGCTGACAGGCTCTGGGTTAGCTCCCTGGCCAGGGCATGAGGACGTCCTGACGTTACGGGGTGTGCATCCGTTCTGGGTCAGGATATTTTTGTTTCATTCTCTCCAACATCCCCAGTTGTCATTATTCTCTTTACCTCCCTTTCTCCTGCGTTCCAAAGCCCTTCTTTGCCAATGTATACATTCTGAGACTTTGAGCCCCTTCCTGGACGCAGAAAGTCGACTCACAGGTGAATAGTGAATCTCATTATTAACCAAAAAAAACCCCAACTGTCCATTCAGTGATGAAGACTAGTTAAAACTGCGGTACTCAAGCTGACCATTTTTATCTCCAAAGGCCTGCTGAACTCCTTCAGAGGAAACTTGAAGCTCAGCAATATAAGTTGAAAGTAGAAAAGCAACTGGTGAGTAAAATACCAACTATGAGAGGCAGCTAGAAATGTACCCATAGTGTCTTCGTTCACAAATATTTATGGGCCCTCAAGTCAAAGTTCACTCCATAGAGGGGATCAAAACTCCCTCCCACCTTCCTCAGGTTTTAATAACTTAAAGAGAATCGTGAGAATAGGCTTGACTCAGGGCCTGGAACCTGGTTTCTTTCCTGGCTCTGCCTCTTGCTGTGTGACCTTAGGAGGTCATGCAACCTCAATTTCCTGTTCTATAAATGGTAGTTTGGGAGTAGTAGATATGTTTGAAGTTCCCCTTCCATGCTGTAAGTCTTTGATTCTATTTTAGTTAGAATTCTACACATTTTTTAAAAAAAATGACTATTGTTTTTTATTTGAAATGAGAGGTTGACCATTTACTGTTAAGCATAGCATCAAAATGTGGGGGCTGAGGAAGGCTGGCTATGCATCCTATTGTATCGCTCTTATTCTGAACTCCTAAAAGGCTCCTGTGCTAGTCCCCTGACCGAATCTCATGCTTTAGGGGCTGCTGAACTTTCGCTGAATTTTAACTTAACGATTATAACTTGCCAGTTCAGAACACGAATCCAGGTGTCTCCTATGACAGCATAAAGTACTGATTGCTTTCGGTAAACACCACAGATGGTTTTATTAATTTTCCTTAATTTTTTTTAAGTTTTGTCCTCTAGAAAATTCTAAAACAAACAAACAAGTCCCAAGCACTGAATGTAACTGGTAATATCATTCTTGCTGAAAGGAAAAGATGAAGGTCAGATCAGAAGATGTTTCCGAGTGCAAGTATGTTTTGCAAATTATCTCATGCAAACAATAGGGTCTGCGTCCATCGTCTGCTGAGCGAAATCCCCACAGGACACAAGAGCTAAGAAGCCCTGGAGAAGACCTTGGACCCCGGGAGCCGCCGTCCCGGAGAAACAGAGCAAAGGAGCAGGTGAAGGCCAGGCTGGTTCCGGGCCCGCCTTGTACTCGCTCATCGCCTTCGGACTATAGTCGGGAGTCCTTTTAGTGTTTGCCATGCACGCCTGGGCGAGCCCGTTGCACAAATACCTGCTGGACACGCTTACGTGAGGCACCGTGCTGGGGGTCCTAGGGGGCACGGGGGCATACCTTCCCTCGGAAAGCAACATGGCCAAGTCCATAGGCTTCTCTCGTTGATGCAGTAAGTGCCGTCATGAATGGTTCTGGAATCCGCATCAGTGACCCAGGTCTGCCTGAAAGTGCCGTCAGCAGGGTGGTTTAAACAACGGGAATTTACTGTCTCACTGCGCCGGGGGCTGCAGGTCCAACACCGAGGTGCTGGTGGGCCCTGCTCCCTGAGGAACCCACAGGGAGCCCCCACTTTGCCTCGCCCCAGCTTCCGGTGGTCTGGCAGCCAACTCTGGCAGTCCTTGGCTTGCAGCCGCGTACCTCTCTCCTCTGCCATCGTCGCATGGCGCTGTCCCTGTGTGTCACAGCATTCACATGGCCATCTTCTTGAAAGGACACCGGTCACACTGGATTAGGGGCCCACTCTACTCCAGCGTGACCATGTCTTTGCTTAGCTAATTACATCTGCAATGATGCTCTCAGATAAGGTCATCGTCTGAGGCTCTGGGCGTTAGGGCTTCCGACATGTCTTTTCTGGGGGGAGGAAATTCTACCCGTCACAGGACTGCATCTGAAAGTAGGATACATTAAACGATCGTCTGGCACAGACGCTTTGAGAGTACATGTGAGAGTGACCTCACCCCGAGCCACTGTAGGACAGGGAGTGACGTGCTGCAGCCACAGCACAAGGCGCAGCATCATCATCTTGGGGAGCAACAGGTTGTCCACGTCTGGCCGCACATCACCCGCTTTACCGTGGCAGCTGTGTAGACGTTATGGTGTCGAGTTGTTCACAGGCAACTGCTGAACCTGTCGGGTTGGGATTGCTTTCCAGGAATACTGGATGCAGTTCGAGGACATCCGCCAGCAGTACCACAACGACATGAAGGAAATCCGAAAGAAGATGGGGAGTGAGCTGGAGGTAGGTACCTGAGCTCCTTCTCCCACGGGGCACCTCCTACTGCTGACTGAGAGCTAACTGCAGTGAGCCGGTGTTAGAAGCAGTGAGGATCTCATAGGAAAGACAGCTCTTTATCGCGCACACTCTGTTTTTAGTAGGAAAGCTGTAGGGTCTCACTGAAGCGTTGCTCTGTGGGGTGCACTGGAGGCCACACACATGGGGTGCAGGGCTGACGTTCTCAGTGAGGAGGAGGATTATGAAAAATGTCTTCCTCATGAATCCGTCAATGGCTATCGACTAAGCAGCCACACCGCACAGGAACTGGATCAGATGCATTAACTAAGTTCACGCTGTATGGTGGGGGAAAAGACCAGCACTTACTGAATTCCACTACTGGAATGGGGTCATGTGCAAGGGTAAGGTTCTAAAGTTCATCAAAGGCAACATTTGAATGCAGCTGAGATGGTTCTTGAAAATCCCTTCAAGGTATCACATAAAAAACGGGTGCTTCCATCTTTGACATCACAGCTTTCTCAGTAGAACTCCCAGCAAAGCAGCTGGCCTGGGTTTGGAGACGGATGATACAACTCCCTCTGTGCCCCAGATGCTCTTTCTACGAGGGGCCCATGGGCACTGGGACTGGACAGGACCCAGCTGGGCCCCCATCGCACCTGCACGTGAGCTGCCTACTCACGGAGCAAACCATCCATGCTGCCGAAATTGGCCTTGCCCTCTCTCCCCGTCTCCCCCCCACCCCCACCCCTGCGCACCTGTGGATGAGTTAATGCAGGTGAAATGGGCACGGGGTCCAGTGCAGTTGTAGGTCCCGGAGCGTCGCATGCTTCAGCTCATTCACTCCCTGTACAGACAGGTGACCCATCCACACAGGGCAGACCAAATGAACACCTGATCCTGCAACCTCTGCTGTTTCTGGCATGTGCTCTTCTACGTATAAATGGTTCGGAAGAGGAGACGTGCGTGTGTAAGGCAGTTTGCTTTGCATAAGACAGAATGTAGGGGGGCTCAGTAAGTGCCTGGGCATATGGAGGAGCAGGTGAGCGTTTTTGTGAAGAAGAAGGAGAAGGAGAAGGAGGAAGAAGAAGAAGAAGAAGAGGAAGAGGAAGAGGAAGAAGAAGGAGGAGGAGGAGGAGGAGGAAAAGAAGAAGAAGAAGAAGAAGAAGAAGAAGAAGAAGAAGAAGAAGAAGAAGAAGAAGAAGAAGAAGAAGAAGAAGAAGAAGAAAGAAAAGAAAAGAAGGAGAAGGAGAAGGAGAGGAAGAGGAAGAGGAAGAGGAAGAAGAAGAAGAAGAAGAAGAAGAAGAAGAAGAAGAAGAAGAAGAAGAAGAAGAAGAAGAAGAAGAAGAGGAGGAGGAGGAGGAGGAAAAGAAAAGAAGAAGAAGAAGAAGAAGAAGAAGAAGAAGAAGAAGAAGAAGAAGAAGAAGAAGAAGAAGAAGAAGAAAGAAAAGAAAAGAAGAAGAAGAAGAAGAAGAAAGAAAGAAAAGAAAAGAAGAAGAAGAGGAAGAGGAAGAAGAAGAAGAAGAAGAAGGAGGAGGAGGAGGAGAAGAAGGAGAAGAAGAAGAAGAAGAAGAAGAAGAAGAAGAAGAAGAAGAAGAAGAAGAAGAAGAAGAAGAAGAAGAAGAAGAAGAAGAAGAAGAAAGAAAAGAAAAGAAGAAGAAGAAGAAGAAGAAGAAGGAGAAGGAGAAGAGGAAGAGGAAGAGGAAGAAGAAGAAGAAGGAGGAGGAGGAGGAGGAAAAGAAAAGAAGAAGAAGAAGAAGAAGAAGAAGAAAGAAAAGAAAAGAAGAAGAAGAAGAAGAAGAAGAAAGAAGAAAGAAGAAAGAAGAAAGAAGAAAGAAGAAGAAGAAAGGAGGGGTTTAAATTGGGTTCTGAGAAGGAGCAGAGTTCCCAGAGGCAGAGCCAAGGAGGAGGGCGTTCCAGAAGGTGGAGGTTCAGATGGAAGGCCGTGTGGGCTGGGAGGGGCAGGCTGGAGGCAGTCTGCTTCAGAGCAGAGGCTCGGTGAACAGGGGAGCGTGGTACCCACGGCATCCTTATTTTTACAGTAGGCCTGTGATGGGAAACCCGAGTCCAGGGAAGATGGCAAGCCCGCGTGTCTAGAGAGACCAGGAAATAAGCACTTGGGGAACGGGGAAGTGGCAAGGCGACCACAGGGAGAAGGAGCCAGGAAGGGGGCCCCAGCCGGCCGCTGCCCGGCTGGTCCCGGGACAGCAGGTGGAACGCACTTCCTCTGTAGATCCCAGCCGAACCTGGCCGAGGCGCACGTTCCAAAGGCCCTCAGAACCCTTCTAGTTGACTGTGTGTCCTTTGTGTTTAAGGACGACTCGAAGATGAGTCATAAAACCTATGTGGTGAAGAGGAGTGGCCTGCCCATCCTCCTTGGCGCACCCGAGGAAGGCGCACCTGAGGAAGACACACCTGCGCAGGTGATGGGTGTTGTTAGACGCATATACGCTTCCCAGTGAGTGTTCCCCGCCTGGTGGTGCTGGCCCCTCGGAGAATGCGGTGTGACCCTGTGGGAAGTGCTTGGAAATTCCGGCGTCCGGTCTGGGGCTAGCCGCCTTGAGGTTTCAGAAGCTGGCATTCGGGATCGTGGGACAGACAGTTCAGCTGCCCAGACAGTGTTTGAGGTGGTCTCAGACCCATTGGTCAGGAAGTCTGGTGGGTAATTTCTCTTCTGTTTTGTTACATTTTTGGTCGGAGCGGGGAACTGCTCTGAGCCGAATGATCCAATGGCTCTTGAGAGGGCTTTTCCCTCCCTCCTGGGAGGTGTTTTGTCTCTACCTTCAAGGCGTCTCAGGGCTTGAGGAAGGGCAGGTGAGGGGAACCAGTGTTGAGAGGAGGCTGAAAGGCCTCCTGGACTGTTTTCCTCTGTGAGAGACCCTGGGACCCTCACAGGATTGCAGAGCGACCCGAAGTGGCCTGAGGCTGCATCTACACCCAGGGTGGACGGGGCTGAGGGGTCCCAGACAGTTGTGTTTTAAGGAAAATAAAGCAACATCCTCCTCCTTGTACCATTGAGACTACCAGACCACGCAATCAAATCAGACGACCAGCTTCAAAATCTAGTAAGACACACGGTCCCAGGCCTGTTTCAGAGTTTGAGACGCTTTCAAGGCAGAAAAACGACCTCCCCAGGTTGCAGGGCAAACAACTAACAATGATCAAACGGACACATGCTTTGTGGGAAGTGTCTACAAAGATGGTCCCTCTCTGTTCTTTAAACTGTAATGAGTGGTGCACTTTTTCTTTTTTTGCCTGATTAAGTTCACCGACCTCTTAAGGAAAGGATGCTAAGGTGGAAAATACACCTTTGAGTTGCATCAGGTTGTACTGGACTGGCCTGGGGAGATGAGCATTGTCACGTTACGGAACTGCGCCCTTTGCAGTGCCAGTGTCCCCTGAGATCATGGACGCTGCCCCCAAGTTTAGTGAATTATTATTAGGGGCATGTTTTCTTTGGAAAGCCAACCATCAGATTCAATCCAGAAATCGAATACTGTAACCAAACCATGCTGTGATTTCAGGGGGTGTGAGAATACAGTGGTTTGGCCAATAGTAAATGCCATGTTGTAATTTTTCTCTAAACTTTCAGGGTGTTGAGAGAGACTTGAAACAAATGAGACTTCAGAACATGAAGGAGAGTGAACTTCCGGCACAAAACTATGAAGCGAAGGTAATAAACATTTTGCCTTGGGGTTTCGTATTGAGAAGCTGGAGGGGTGGGTTACCTGCAGGACTTTCTCTCCTACTGTTTTGTGGAATTGCTTTGGTTTGTAATATGAGACAATTGGCTTTCAGTATCTACTATGTCAAACGGAGTTAGAATGTTAAGGTTTTTATTGGATTGCCAAACTAAGATTTTTTTTCTTGCTTTCTTCTAGAAAGGAGTAAAGTTTGAAATAAATTTAGACAAATGTATTTCAGATGCAAATACTCTCAAAGAAGAAGAGGTATGTTATTAAGTATATATTCCCAGTAGTAGGCATGAGAAAGTGAGCGTCTTAGTAGAATGTTTCATGAAATTTTTCCATAGGGAGTAGGGGAATTTTCCTCAATCTTTCTAGAAGGATCTCTGATGTTCAAGTAAGTCTTCCAAAAAACTTTTTATACTCCCATTCTTTTAAAAATTATGGTTATTCTCTTCTTATATGGATTATTCCAGTTTAATTTATTTTTAAAATAAAGTATCTATTTTCCTATGATATTGACTTTTAATCATAACCAAATTAAAATAGAAGACATCATACATGGTCAACAGATAATATACTTTCCTAAGAAGGTTGAGCAGGTACCCTGAGACCATTTATGTTTATCCGAGGTCTCCGTACTTGTCTTTGGATAAAACCCAGTTACGAGTTTGCGCTGTCTTTGACAGAGCAGTAAAGGCACAATTAAAGTCAAACCTCATTCTATTGCTTGAGTTAAGCATCTTTTTTAACCCTACTTTTTACTAGGCTTACTAACAAATATCAAAATTAACTGATTTGTGTTTCCATTTCACCTTCTCTAAATTTGCCCCCCCTTTAAGGTTTTATTTATTTATTTTTAGAGAGAAGGGAAGGGAGGGAGAAAGAGAGGGAAACATCAGTGTGTGGTTGCCTTTCAAGCGCCCCCTACTGGGGACCTGGCTTATAACCCAGGCATGTGCCCTGATTGGGAATCAAACCAGCGACCTTTTTGTTTGTAGGCTGGTATTCAGTCCACTGAGCCATACCAGCCAGGGCAAAATTTGCCTTTTAAATGACCAAAGGTTAAATATGTGTGTGTATGTTCTATCTCATACCTGACAGCCAGTTTCATTCTTCCGTGTTCTTCATTAGCTTAAACCTTTGGAATGTTACCGTTTCTTTCAGATTTGTGTGTGTGGTGAAGGACCCGTTTGTCTGTCTGTTTGTCTGTTTCATAGACTTTCCTGTTTTAGCGCCGTCGCGGGCACGTGGAGTGGAAGTACAGAGATTCCCGTGCACACTGCCCCCACACAGGCACAGCCTCCCCCACCGTCAGCGTCCCCCACAGAGGGGACCAGTTGTGACAGTCGAGGAACCTGCACAGACACGTCATAATCGCCCACGTCCATAGCTGACATTAGGGTTCCCGCTGGTGTCGGACATGCTGCGGGTTTGGACGAAGGTGTCAGGACATGTTCAGCTGCCACCCTAGTGTCTGTCACACCGAGTGTTTTCACTGCCTAATCAGCCCTTTGGGCTCCACCCGCCTTTCAGGTCTTTGCAAGCGTTTTGCTACCCAGGACTTCCTCAGGCTGCTGAGGATGAGCGCAGCCCTCCTCTCCACCGTGTGGCCTCTCAGTGTCCAGAGCTGGGGGGACCCGAGGGGGCAGAGACAGGGACAGTTCCAGGCTGCAACCTGAGGGGGGACCCACCTTGGTGTGCCCATAAAGTGAGGCACCAATGCTGGCCTGAGAGAATCAAAGAATGAGGTCCGAGAGGTCTTGTCCCCCAGTGTTCGTCCTTGATTACTTGGTGCTTCGACGGGCTTGAAACACAGGGGTCACTTGGGTGTGGACTCTGGAGTGTCAGGGGCAGTTCTAGGGACACGGTCTGTAAAACGGGGCACAGAGACGACAGCCGCGAGGATTCTGTCAGAGGGACCGCAGTGGCATCTCACCGGCGGTAGGGAGCACGGGCCAAAGTAAGTGACCGTGTGATCAGTGGCGGCCACTCCTGACAGGGAACAGCAAGGAGGGCGTTCTGTTTCTGTCCTGTTCCTGCAGAGTTCCACTCTCAAAGCTCTCCTGACTCACTCGCTTAATATACAGGGTCCTGCAGAAGTAATGCCCGAGAGAGTGTGGTTGGTAGGGCAGTAACATGGGCATCATAATTTATAGTTTGAATTCGAACATTTCAGCGACAGTGTCCTATGGTGTGTTGAGTGTGATAGTGTTATGTTACAGAATCACCTGCTCATGATTTTATAATACAAGATTTTGTAGTAAAAAGGAACGGCGTTATTTGCGCCGGGCCTGTAGCTACGCTGAACACTTGCCCTGTATCTTGGTACATGTTATTACTGGAAACACAACGTTTTGCTTTGCTTTGTTTTCAAAATATGGCTTATTTCTCTCAAAACACTGTGGAATTGTTTAGGCCGTGGACACACCAAATGAAACTTTGACCTGTGAGGACGGCATGAATTTGGGGGAAAACAAAAGCACGACGGAGCGAGAGGCAGCCTCTGAAAAACCCCGCTGCTCAGATGCAGGTGCGTGCACCTTCGAAGCTGCGCTGCCTCTGCCTACCCTCGCGGGCACCATGCTCACTCGGTGCCGCTCAGCCCTCCCCCATCCCCCCCCCCCCCCGATTTTGCTCATTTTCTGCTGGAAACGTCTCCAGGCCAGACCCACTGGCATCTCCAACTCAGCGCGGGGGCAGCCGAACTTCGGAGCCCTTCCTTCTCAGTCATCCTTTACTTTGGGTGACGCTGCCCCCAAACGGACAGGACGGTGCCCGCTGCTCAGGGCGGTTTCCATGCTGTGCGGCCTCTGGAGTCTCCTTCCTCCGCCCGATTCCCTCTGCTGCTGGTTCGGGGCCCGTTATCTCTGAGCCGCGTGGGGTAGAAAATGCAGGGGCTTTGGACCCCCGCGGGAGCTGGAATCCCAGCTGGCACTGCCACTTTCTGCTCCTGTGGCCTCTCACGAGTCCCTTAAACCCTCTGCATCTCGTGTCCTCCTAGGACCAGGGGGTGATGGATGGTGCCTGCCACAAGCTTGCTGCAAGGACAGAAGTGACACCTGGTGTCCAAAATACCTGGCACGTGCTACGTGCTGGATGCACACTAGTCCTTTGTTGTCCCGTTCTCCTCCCCTCACGGACTGGCCCCTGTGGCCCCCTCGTCTCTAGTATTTCCCTTTCATTCTCTAAGTGATTGCTAGTTATCTTATCCTATTATTCCCCTGCTCAGAAAAAGTTCTCAGTTCTGATAATGTCTGTGACACAGTTTCTCATCGTGACGTCTGACGCTGAGTGGCCCGATCCTGCGGCGACCTGCCTCTGCCACCCCAGCTCGCCCCCATCCCCTCCCAGACGGTGGGACCCATCCACAGGGGTGTGCGCATGTGCGTACCTGGCTCGGTTCACCTTCCGCTCCCTCCGGAAAATTCTTTATTCCATTCAGCAGGCCTCGCACTGATGACTTCTCTTGGGCCACAGGCTGTGCCAGGTGGTAGGGACTCTCAAAGAGGAACGGGACCTCAGAGTCCCAGAGGTGTCACAGCCAAGGAAGGAGGCACAACGCATGTGTCCCGAGTCCAAAATGCGAAAAAACGCGCTGGAGGGTGAGCTGGCTGGAGGCTTGGACAGGTGCCGCTTTCATACAGCCGGGCCTGCCAGCGAACTTGGGCTTCGCCTTTTGCGATGACTTTCCGTTCAAGGGCATTAACCCCTGTTTGCAGGGGAGGAAGATCAGGCTGGCCGCAGTGTGCAGGATGACGTGGAGGGGGAGGGGGCCTGGAGGCGGGGCAGGGTCGACAGGCGCACGGGCCTGAGCAGGGCAGAGAGAACAGACTCGGGTGTGAACTGCTGAGTCGGGGCTCGAGGATGGGGAGAGGCCAGCATCCTCCCAGTCGTCTAGTTCAGATCAGTGACGCCGTCACCAACCACAGAGGCGCACACGGAGGTTGCTGCTTTGGTTCCTGACCGTCACCACCAATATTTCACCAAAGCGACTCACAAGAACTTTTTGGTTTCTCAGTGAATATAAAACTTATGTTTACACTCTACTGCAATTTTAAGTGTGGAATAATAGCATTATTCCTAAAAAATCAACAATGTACATACCTTAATTTAAAAGTACTTTATGGCTAAAGGATGCTAACCACCCTCCGAGCTTTCAGCCTGTCGTGATCTTTTTGCTGGTGGAAGGTCTTGTGTGATGTCGATGCTGCTGACGGATCACAGAGGTGGCTGCTAATGGTTGGGGTGGACGCGGCAATTTCTTAAAAATAAGACAATAAGGAAATTAGCCACATCGGTTGACTCTTCTTTCACAAACGGTTTCTCTGTAACACGCGATGCTGTTTGGTAGCATTTTACCCACAGTAGAGCTTAGTTCAAAACTAAGGGAGTCAGCCCCTCAGTCCCTGCCACTGCTCCATCAGCTAAGTAGAAAAACTGGAGGTAAGCCTCCCCCGCCCAGGACAGGGGAGAACTAGCTCTTTAAATATAGAGAGAGAGGGAAAAAAATCACAGGATAAATTAGTAATAGATTCACCTGTAACAATGAACAGTTTGGGTAGAGCAAATAGTACTAGCTACTACAACTGTCACGTTCGATGGTATATCAGGGGTAAATAATCATAAATGTCCACGCAAAAAAGTAGCTGCCAATCAGTGCATTATAGTGTTATTTATAATAGTGAAAAAGTTTTAGCAACCTAAAAATCCAGCAAAAAAATAGTTATTACATGTGAGAGAAACCTTTGTTTGCTTTCCAATGATTGCATAGAAGAATATTTAAATAATCTGGATAAGAATGTGTAGCTAATTGAAAAAAGCAAGTTGTGAAGAGGTGTGTGGTAGGTGGCCCATTTTTTTGTTTCAAAACAAAGCAAGAACTACAGGCAGGGGGAAATTTTTAATTTTTAATAGTCTCCAAACAGTGGGATTACGGGTGATTTTAATTTCCTTCTATGCATTTGACTTTTAAATTTCCCAACATCTAATATTTGGGTCAATAAGAAGGTGGTTAACAGAAGTTTTCTTAGGAATGGGGATAATGGAACAGATGCATTTGCATGGAAACTGACTAACGTAAAAGTTCTCAGAATCGCCTCAAGGAATTTGCCCCTTTGTTCACTAACATTTCTTTAACATCCAGACACATCGGCCAGTCGATAAACTGTTATTAATCAAAGCAAAGCCATTTTAAACCTGTTTATATAAGTTTTGTTTTAGAAGTAGGATCGATGACTTAGTCCAGGCCGCTATAGCCAAACACTATTAACCATCCAGTTAATGGTGTTAACCATCTAGTTAATAATACTGTTTATTTCACAGTCTTGGAGGTGGAAGGCTAAGATCGTGGGGCTGGTGGACTCGAAGATTGGCGAGGGCCCGATTCTGTCTTTTTGCTGTGTCTACACACAGCATAAGGGCTGAGGGAGCTCTCCGGGGTCTCTCTTAAGGGCCCTGATTCTGGGCTTGAGGGTTCCACCCTCAAGACCCAGTCGCCTCCCAAAGGCCCCGCCTCCCAACACCCTCACACTGAGCGTCAAGTTTCAACGTACAGATCTGGGGAGAGAGGTGGAAATACAAACGTTTAGTCCACTTCAGAGAGGCAGGGGTGGCTTCTGTTTCTGAAGGGCCAGCTGATAGACTGCCGCCAGGTTTCCTAAAAGTTCTCTGTTGCAATTAACCACACTGTGGCTGCTTTTCGATTAATGAGCTGTTTTCTTCTCCCCAGAGCTGTTCGTGCAGGATGCTGCTGCTGCTGCAGGGAACAGGAGACGGTGGGAGGCTGGAGCCCCCCGGACTCTGCTGCAGATGATGGCGGGGGCCGACCTCACCTCCCCCGGCTGCACCAGGCCTGAGGGTGAATGGATTTACATCAGTCACCACACATCCCGGCGAGAGGAGACCAAGGCCTCACGTACAGCCAGTGCTCACTCAGTGCATCCCCATAGATTTGGCATCAAATACCTCCCAGGGGTGTTGTTTTGGTTCCTCCCCGACCTCTAGAGAAACCTGCTGGATGCGTATCCTAGACCACTGACCACCTGAGCTATGAGAATGTAAAGGAGGAAAGGTCCAGAATCTCTGCCTCTCATAGTGAGAGAGAACGCACCGGGAAGGGCGGTCAACTGGACCTCCCTTCAAACGCAGTCCAGTAACTTCGTTACCATTTCATGGAGGGTTGGTTTTCTGAATCAATAAAATCAGAATTAAAATAATAGCTATCCCACAAGAGGGAGAGAGGTAACAGTGCCAAGATAACATTTAAAATTGCTTGGCAAGCCAGCGTGCTCTTTAAACGTTAGGAGTGTTCGGTGTGTGATGAAAGTTTCGGTCTGATTCATTTGTTTGCCTGTGAGCTCTGGCAGCGTCTTTCCTGAGGGGAGGGTAACAGCAGCACCCAGGTGTTCGCTTCACAGCTGGTGCAGGTTTTCATTGCTTATTTCCACGTTCCTCTTGATAACACGGGGCCAGGGGAGACCTAAAATGTGTAACTGTGTTACGAGCTGAAGCACGTCAGTGTATCACTGAAGTTAGTCATTATAAAGATATGAACTGTCATATGTACACCGCTACAAAATACTGGACTCATCAAACTGGGAAGAAGAGCCTTGCAAGTGTATTGCAGTACCACTTAATCCACTCTGAGTCCATGAGTCGATGAAAGAGGAAACCTAGGTCAGAGTCAGCAAATCGAATAGAAACATTAACACACCCAAACAGCCAGTGAACAGCACAAGGAGGTTCTCCTAACCCACCCGCTGCGCAGCAACAGGTCACTAAGCTTTTCCCTCTCTCCATGTTCTCGTTAATAAGAGGAGTGGTGGGGTGAGGCGGTTACCTCTGAGGTTCTAACATTCTGCGGTTTTATAAAAACTCAAATGAAGAAGTGTTGTTATTTGCAGTAAGACCTTCTCCTCTTCAGATGGCCAAGCGCTGGTGATCGAGGGCGGTCCAGAAAGTCGGAAGCAGTGGCGGCGAGAAGCTCCGGGAACTTTAATGAGTGTTTGGGCAGCAGCCCAGCTAACGAGTAGCTCATTTTCTGCCAGTGAAGGAGAGTCTGGTATGTAGTTTGTTTTTAAGGACATAACTGGTCCCTGGGGGAAGTCTGATGTACTGGAGGTGGCAAGGGGGCAGAGACACCAGCCAGACAGTGCTGGTGACCGAGGTGTGCTTCCGGGTGAAAGGGCGGCACAGAGCTGCAGACGACAGGTGCACTAAGCGTCATGCAAGGGTCACCTGACTATTAAGGGAGAGTGGGTCTGCCAGCTCGTGAAGCCCGAATCTCCATGACAATCTCTGGGACACCCACGGGAAAGCCGAGTCCTAAACAATACTCGTGGTTTGGCTGAGACAAGAAGGACATTGTGGGTGGGCGATGTCCTGTGGGGATACGCAGGCCCCTGCCGGAGATGGAGAAAACATTGTATAATACCATAACGTTAATTTAGAAATCAAACAGGTAAATTTTGGTATTTTTTGCCATAATAAAAAAACACACACAGGCATCAATGACTTAAGAAGTAATTCAAAATTCTTTGTGTCATTGTGTTACTAGTCTCCTTCTATCTATAGAATCAGGATCTATAAAGGTTTAACTAGTATGTAAAAAAACTAAGTAATTTGGAGGAGTGAGACTCTGAAAGTGAGGAATTTTAGTTCTCCCTTATCCAATTTGTTTTGCTTATAGTTTCCTTTGTATGAGTATACAAAAGTGATCTAAGATGAAACACTATAGGCCCAGGAGGGACTAAAAGAGTGGCTATAATTTACATTTGTAAAATGTAAGTCGTGAGGGGAAGGAAACACTGTGTCCTTCTAATGGAAGCATTTTCTTTGCTATCGGTTATGAGATAAAAGTACATCTTACAAGGAGTGGAGGCTTGGAGTTGTTGAGGGGAGGCGGCAGTGCCATAAAGAAACAAAATATCGCACTGCATCTCCAGTCTGACCTTTTTTCCAAGAGGAAAAACATTACATTTTAAATAACAGCAATAAATCTACCTCCGCCACCAAAAAAAAAAAAAGATGTTTGTGCTTCGAGTTTTCCTCGCAGATATTAATAATTGAGATGAACAATGAGCTGGATACTCATTTTATAGAAACGGTGTAGAATAGGGTGTTCCAATGATGTCAGTTCTTCAGTTTTTACAACACGAGATTAAAATACATATATTTTTTTGTGCACAGCATCTACTCCCAGGTGAAAGCATTTTGTCTCTTTGTCACCGATCCTGATTCTGCTCACTCTTTCTTGTCTCATGTTGCCTGCTAGCTTCAGTACGGAGGTGCAGACAGTTGGGGTGTCGGCTGTCATCTGTCTTACTTGTTTTCAGACCTTGCAGAGGTTCTGCCAGTGCAGTTGATGTTCACGATAGGATTTCTGGTACACAGCCCTCACCAGGGGTCTGGGTTGGGATGCTTTAGTCTCTCTCTGTTCTTTAGCAGCGGGAACATCAGAACAGAAGCTTCCTAAAGAAAATGCGCAGAAGGTGGAAATGGCGGCTGGCCTTGAAGTGGACGGGGACCAACTGGAACCGAGATCTGATGATGATGATACGTGAGTAGGTCATGTCTAGATGCCTAAGTGACGGGAGAAAGTTCAAATGCCGTTTGAATGATAACCACGAAGACCTGGCAAAGGAGTTCAGGTATTATCACCATGTGTGTGGCCCTGTCTCTGGGCTCTCCATTGGTTTTCAATGGTGTTGACCTCTATCTCCACAGTAAGGCTCTGTCTTAATTACTGCGGCCGTATCAGACCTTTCGATATCTGGCAGGGCCAGCCCCCCACTGTCTTCTAGTCTCCAAACTTTCTCTTTGAACTTATCTCAGCTGTTCTTGCCTTTTACTCAACATACATATCTTGGCCTTCTCTTGTCAGTGCCATGAAAAATTGTGTTGGGATTTTGATGACAATGTCATTACATTTGATCATTTATGGGAACTGATATCTTTATAAGTCTTAACAGCCATGAATACAGGATAGCCCGCCATCTGTTCTGTCTTTTTAAATATCCTTCAGTATTTTGGTGGTCTTTTCTTCATGGTGTAGGTGCTACTTGATTGTTGTTGTTGCGGTTGCCGTGGTGAATGAGTCGTTTTTCCTCCTGTGCTTCCTGTTTGGCTCCTGCCAGTGCGTGGGGGCACTACTGGTGTTGTGTCCCGTGACCCCACTGAATTCTCCCATCAGTTCTAAAATTTGGAGTCAACTGAGTTTTTGCCGTTTTGTTTTACTTCACTTTTAAAGTAGGAGAAATAATGCGTGTGGCTCCAAATGCAGAAGGCATGCTCTTTCCATCCTTTCATGCTGCCGCGACCTCAGCCGCACGCCTGCTCCCCCCAAAGCCCCCACTGGAGTCTCCTTGTGCCCACGTCTCCCGAGGAATCCCATTAAGATGCAGGCAGCTGGTCCTGCCTTGCATAGCTGTGCCTTCTTGTTCTTTTTCACAGGAGCAGTTTCATAGGGTATGTAATACTGTGAAACCTCCTTCTTTTCCCCAAGGAACGAGTCTTGAATGCCTATTTTCATATGCAAATAGGTGTGTCCATATAGATCATGGAAATTCCCCGAACGGCAACGTACCAGGTCAAGAGCATGTACTTTTGAGGTCAGATGTTGTCAAACCGCCATTCGCAGAGGCCACACAGACAAACACGTCCCCTGACGGTGCGTGGAAGCGCCCATTCCCCACCCATTTTTTGTTCTGTTTACCAGACTTATAGCTCACAAGTAATAGGTCAGAGAAATGACATTGCGGGTTAGTTTTAATTAGCTTTCCTTTTAGGAATGAGGTTATCTTCCCATATGCTTAATACCCATCCTGACTTCCTCCTGGGGGAGTCACTTGTTACATAGTCTTAGCCATTTAAAAATTGTAGGCTATTAAAATTTATCGATTTGGGGAACTTTTTTATTTTAGAGAAATTAGTCTTTTATCTGTAATACGATTCAAAAATATTTCCCCCCATTTTTGTTTGCTTTTTTATTGTATTTACAGTGGCTTATGAAAGCAGGGGTTTATTTCTATTCTTGGACACCCCCAGGATGCAGGATGTACGTCACATTGTGTACCCACCGCTCAAAGTCAAGCCATCCTCCGTGATGCCCCCCTTCCCTCTAAAAACCACCGCGCTGCTGCCTGCGTCCACAAGTTTCAGTTTTACAACGCACAGAGGAGTAAAGTCATATGGTTCTCAGCCTCCGACTTATCTCACTCAGCATAATATTCTCCAGGTCCATCCATGTTGTCGCAAACGGCAGCACTGTGCCGTTTCTCACGGCTGAGTGGCATTCCACTGTGTACATGCACCACATCTTCGTTACCCAGGCCTCTGTCGAAGGGCACTGATTGTCTTGGCCAACGTGAATAACGCCGCAGTGAACATAGGGGTGCGTCATTGTTCAGCTTGCAAAGGAACATGCAAAATGGGAAGATCTTGTGTAACCACACACCTCAGCAAGACAGTCAACAAATGGAAGCTGTCATGTGTGGCCCATCCAAAATCTGTGATCTCCAGTGTTAGTGGGGGGCCTCTCCCCCCTCCAGTGTTATTGGGGGCGCATGCACCCCCACCCCCCTTGCTGTTATCATGGGACTGTGCCTCCGGTTTAACAGAGACCGTATGGGGGTCATAGGTAGAATCTTCTCGAGTGTCTTATTGCATTACTTCTCTATGTCCACATGAGTCCTCATCTCCTTCTCTCTCCCTGTCTCCCTTCTTAGGAGAAAAACTGCCCCCCTTTCTGTCGGAAGCCCATCCTTGCACAGATGCTCAAAGCCTAGTCTCTCTCTGTGAACTTCCCCCTATATTTTCAATGTCTGTAGCCTATTTCTCTCAGCATATAAACATGCCCAAACCTCGCTCATCTTGAAAAACACCAAAAAATAACCACCCAACAACAACAACAGACCACTGCCCCCACCTCCTGGGGATCGCACTGTCCTTCAGAGCTGGTGCCCCCTCCCTGCAGGAGTTGAAGCTCACCGGTGCCGCTTCCGTACCTCTCACGCCTTTCTCCGGGGCTCCTTCTGCGTAGCAATTGTACTCTCACAAAAGGCCACTTATGGTCCTGAAATTGCCAGGTCTGATCATCACCACGCAGTCCTCATCCTACTGGCCGCTCCCTCTTTCTGCAGACGTTCTGCCCGCTGGGCTTCCGCGATGACCCTTCTTGACTCTTACCGGCTCTTCCTCAGTCTCATTCACTTGCCTCTTCAACATGAGTCGTCTTGGAGATGGTTTTCTCTGGCTCTTGCTTTCTTCCCTTCTAAAAGCATCCATGCTGCAGGGGTAGACACAATTCCAATTCCTGCCCCTACTAATCAGTAGCTGTGAGACCTTGGGCAGATGTTTTCCTCTCTCTGAGCCCAGACTCTGTGTCAACTGATGATGATGATAATGCCCGCCTCCTTTGGTTCTGAGAGAAACAGTTTGTAACAAGCGCTCTAGGTCAGTGACGGGCAAGTGGTGAGGGTTCACCAGATGACATGTTTTCTTCTCACTTCTTTCTGCACATAATAATGGGTATTAATAAAGATATTGTAATGAAGGTTGTTGAACACAAGACCAGCTAAACAGGGGACTGATTCTCTGAACGTTGGCTGTCTTCTGTAGAAAAACCACACTGGTGTGATAGTAAATCATTACCTGGGTGAAACTGTAACTTTCATATTGCTCAGGTGCAGGTGGGGCATCAGAAGGGAAACTAATTTTCCTGTGTATTCGTCCGTGTTTTGGTGTGATGAAACTGATTTTTACTGTTTATTGTTTCAGAAATTTTGAAGAATCTGAAGACGAGTTGAGAAATGAAATAGTAGAATCCCTGGAGAAACTCACTGCTTCTGAAGAGGACAGGGAGGAGGAGGCTCCCGGATTCTCTGCGGACACTGACAACGCAGGACAGGGGGGCAGCGCGTGCAGAAATGCGCAAGAACCACAGGAAGGCGTGGAGGCCGTTTCATCCAATGGGAAAATCCTTATTGTTGATGAAGACCAAGGAACACTGACCACCAGTCAAAATATGCAAGTGTGATTATTGGCTTGGTTTTTTTCTGAAGCCACACATTAGTATCTTGCCAACACACGAAACATTCAAACCTGTAGAGAATTTTTGTGAGTTTATTTGAGCCGAACTGACAACCGTTGCCGGGAAGCAGTATCTCAACAAATTGAGAAATGCCCCGGGGAATGGCAGTTTAGCACCTTATTTTATACCTTAGAATCAAAACAGGAAGTGTAAAGGGGTTACAAGAAATCCATTGGTGGTAGATTAGGGAGGCGGGAGAAAGCCAAGGCGTGGGGGTGGGGGGAACCTCTGGGATTGGATAAAAAGTAAAATGATAGACACTTCTACCCAGGTGGGCACAGGAGAGTTAACAGTCAACAATTAACACGATAATGGTATCAATGAGGAGATCTGTGGTCTCCCCCTGGTGTGGAGCCTGTGCTCAGAAGGGTCTGGAGAAAGGAAATCTGACATCGCAAAGGTATGTTATCGTCCATGCAACAAGACAGTAGATGGGCTCAGTTAAGGTAAAGACTGACCTTTGTCAGGGGAAACATACCGGCCGAGGAGGCGAGTGCCTGCCACGGACTGCTTTTAGTTAGAAAGTCTGAATTCATACCATCCTGGGTGGTTACTTTAGGTCTCTGCGTTCGTAAGGCCGCCACACAGGCCTCCCCTGACCCGGCAGGCTTTGCATGCAGCCCCTTTTCACCCACATGCCTTTTTTTGTCCATATAGTGTCTGTTTGGGTACAAGTCATAAATACTTGTTTATTGTAAGGCTTTTCCAGTAATCCAAAGGACTTCCTAATTTTCCTCTCTAAATTTAGACAATAGAACTAATGTTGGGCATTGAAAGTATTGCGTTCACCTTGAAACTTAAGAAACTCTTCAGATAATGTGTTAGGCAGAATGTGAACATGTGATGTTACATGCAAAGGGGAACTCATGTTGCACATGGAATTCCGCTGACCTTCAAACACGGGGGTTAGCTTGGATGATCCAGGTGGGCCCAATGGAGGAGGGAGGAAGGCGGGAGAGAGAATCAGAGAGGGCAGAATGAGAGGGAGTCGGCCTGACGCTGCTGGCTGCCCGAGGCCCGCCAGAGAAAGCAGGCAGCGTCTAGGAGCTGGGAAAGGCAGGGGAAAGGGGTTTCCCCCAAAGCCCTGCCGACCCCTTGATCTTAGCCTAGCGACGTCCACTTTAGGCTTCTGACCTGCAGGACTCTATAAGATAATACATGTGCATTGTTTTGACTTAGTTTGTGGGAATTCCTTAAGACAGTGATAGAAAACTAATACAAACTCATTGATTTAAAATAGTGGATCTGCCGTTTTATAAAACCATGATTTTGAAACTTCTTCAGTTATATCGAAGACATTTTTTTTTTTGAAGCTGAAGTTGACATGGGAGTAAGGCTTGAAGGAGGAGAGGAATAAGGCATGTCATTAACTATACACCAAGAAATCATTTTATTGTTTTATTGGATTTTGATAGTGTCAAATGTTAGGTTATACACTTTTTAATGGTCTTTTTATATATAGTGCCTGGCATAGTGCCAGAAATGTCTCTTGAATGAGTAGATGCTGCTACAGTTTCCTCAGTGAGACTGTAAGCTCTTTGTCAGGAAACTAGACTGTTTTTTATGTTGATTGAACAGTTGCAACCCCAGCGCTGAACACTGTCTGCAAAGTATTGTTGACTTTCCTGCTGCCACAGAGGACAGGGTTGTTCTATTCCCAAGTGGTAGAATTCTGCCTGAAATATCTGCTAATAAAAACAAAACCAAAATTGCACATTGGTACCTTGTGGAACCAAGAAAACAAAGGTGAGGAGGGGTTGGTCAGATTATTTTAAGGTCTGCTTAGTATTTCCATGTGGTATAATTTTATTAACTGTGGGGAATGCATGTATTAGGGATGTGTCCAATCTTGGATGTGTGCAGGGAAAATAAAAGGAATGAATGTTTAAGCATAAGCGTATTCAGTTTGCTCCAGTGACAAGATGCTCGGCTGGAGTCTCCTGTAGGTAACAGCCCCCACGCCTGGTTATCATGCACTCCAAGATCTGAGCCCTGTGCTGTAAATCAGAGAGCATTCATTGTGATGCGTGTACATACCTGTGAGATTTTTCAACCCGCTTCAGCCCTAATTCACCTTATCCACTTTGCACAATCATGTTCTAGAGACAGTTCTGATTACTGTTCTCTACTTCTAGGCGTTGACTGCATCTGCTAATTTCAAACTATTGAGCAGACCTGCATGCGCTTTTAGAATATATTTGATTAGAAAAATCATGCATCCTTATGTATGTTAGCTATCGAATGGATCCTTCTTTAGAAGGTACTAGGTGTGTCAAGCCTGAACTCCCCTTCTAAGTGTCTTGTAACCTTTACACACAGTCCAAGTGAGCACACAGCGCTAGAGCATTAGAGGTGATGCTTCTCCGAAGCCAAAGGAGGCCTTCGATGTAGGCGGGGAGAGAGGAAACATGGGGAGCAGGGGGATAGTGGGAGAGGTGGGGCAGACTGCAGGGGTCTAACCGCTTCTGGTGTTTGCGTAACTTCTCGTGGCGTGACACACGTGGGGAGAAAGCAGCTTTCCTCTACCCTTCCAGGGTCTTCCAGCCGGTCTAACAATTAAATCTACACGAGACAGAGGAACAAGAAAAAATAGGTGGACTGAATTACAAATGTGTGCACGGGAACCCCACACACCGGGGAGGTTCAGAGACAGAAAGGGGGTGTGGGGGGACGTGGCATTTGAGCCAAGGACGCGGTAAGGCACCCTGGGCTTCAGGGGGAGGAGAGCCACTCGCTGGACCTAAGGGCGGATGTTCAGTGACTGGAAGTTGGCCCCGCCTGCCCCATGGGAGAGGTTCTCAACTTATTTCCGGTGATAACTCATTGTGGGCAAGGCCCCACATTCAAGTTCTTGAAGGGAGAGGTGAAAGTTTCTCGTGACCGCACAGGGTCTCAACTGCCTTCAGCTCAAATGACTCACACGCCGCCAGTGGCACGTTTGGGGAGCCTGGCTCTCTGCCCCACAGGAGGAGTTTCTGTGCCCACTGACCGCTCCGGCACAGACAGGTTCTCCTTTGTCCATTCACATCGCAGCTCTGGGCTCTAGGCTCTAGGGGACATTTACATATAATTAAACAGGATTCTGAAAGCCTATCTCATAATTTTGCCTCCAATTTTGTAAAATACCCTGAAAATTATTGAAATAAAGCTCTGCTTCACAAAAACATTTTGTATGTCTGAAATATTTATTTTAAAAAAGATATTTAAGAAACCTGCCAACCTATCTGTCTTGGGTACAAGGGGCAAGATGACTTTGTTGCCTTAAGGGTTTTTTTGCCCTTTTTTAAAAACAACTTTTCTTGGCATGGGAAGCTTGCTCATAAATAACTCAGCATTGGGAGACTACTCGAGGGGTAGAAACATACCGCACTGGGAAGAGTACCCAAGATAATGGAAATCACTTCTTTAGATCACAGGTAGACACAGACAGTGGTCCTGTACCTATCACAGCTGAGCTGCATCTAGATACAGATCCCTACACACCGGAACTGGAGACAAGGACGCGTGAGTCACCACGGCTGCAGGGTCAAAGCAACGCCTTCCAGAACAGACACTTAGAATTTCTCCAGGCGGTAGCTGACGTGGCTTTGACACTTTTCATGGTTTCATCATTCAGGAAAAAATATATATAATAATAGCTACGACATGAGGAACATCAAAGTAAATACATGCAAATCATGTTTTTCAATTTAGTGATAAATAAAAATTATTTTGGGGAAACAAGTCTAAGAAATATTTAATGGAACTTAAGATCCCTTTCTTCCTACTGCATCTTCTGCTCAAGTTTGGCTTCAGTTCCTTTATCTCTGCCCCACATTTCCTTCGGGTAGAGGGTTGGGTGGAATCCTGCCTCAAAGTCTAAGTGAGAGATGAGAAAGCCCAGCTTATCATCCCGATTGTGTCATTAAACAGCTTTGTGATGCTGAAGGAGTCTCAATTCTTTCAGCTGTTCTTATCTGTAAAATTAAAAGTAAAACTGGACTTTGTAGCATTCCTTCCAGCTCCAATCTGTACCAGTCTCTCTCTTGTAAACCGAGTAATCTCCAACACAAAGCTATGTTGCTGTGTCAGAACACCCCGGACTCAAGTTTTGCTGCTCTTTAATCTGATGACAACAGTCGGCCTGCAGACAAACTAACAGTGCTACTGGTGCAGTAACCTAGACTCTCCATGGGGTCCCAACGTGGTGCTGAAGACAGGAATACAGAAGACATGCACTGTAGGGCACCTTTTACTAAAGTAACTTTTACCATTTTCGAGGTACCTCTACCTCCTTTCCATGTGGCATCAGAAGTTGAGAAGGCGGTGAGGACGGGCATTACCTCATCCAGGCTACAGATGAGGCTCGGAAGCCGAGGGAACAGCTTTAACGTCAGAGGACAGGAGCTTTGTGAAGATGAAGCTGGGGTCAGGCCATGGTAGCTTAACTGCTGCTCCTTGTCGTCCTGGGATGCGTGAGGCTGCGCACAGGGGCCGTGCACTTGGACCTGTGCGTTACGCCATCACCATCAGCAAAGCAGCTGCTTGTGATGCTCTTGCTCAGACTCCGGAGAGACGTAAAGCTGACTCCCAGCCTCTGCGAGGTGGAAATGCTCGGGAACGATGAGAGGCCCAGACCAATGTGCCAGCTGCACTGACCAACACCCAGTTACGGACACGCTCGCCGGCAGCACCTTGGGCTCCAGACGCCACCGCGCACACCCACAGATTGGCCCAGTCGGCTCGCCTTTTCACCGAAATGTGATTGGGCCTGCTTAGAGTTTCCTCTTTCTTTTAAGAAACTCATTAGCTGTACTGAAAGAGGTCATCTACAATAGTTTTTAAAATTTAGATGTACCAGAATCTTTGTTTCAAAAATGTCAGAACAACTCTAAAGTACTAATCTATGATCAGTCCTCCATTTTTCTTTCAACATTTCCTTTTTTCTAAAGGGAAATTCTCTTTCCTGGTTACTAGAGTACAGTCGTTTGACATGTGAGATTTGAAAAATATGAATATGAATTCAACCAAAATTAAGAGTATTCATTTTTATCCCTTTAAGATCTGTATTTTTCAGATTTTTGAGACCAAGCATGAATCTAAAATTTTACACTTAAGCATATAAGTTTACCTTTTCCATTTAGGTAATTTTGCCTTTTTTCCTTGAAATAAATACCTTGTCTATATACCTAAAGTGCATTATGCTCAGGCTGACTTTATCATAACATGGAATGAGTTTAGAAAAGTGTTAGCACGTGACGGTGTCCACCCATTACACGCCGTACCTAACTTGCACAGGCACGGTGTCATTTGAACAGCTTCTCCACAGATGACAGGAACGCCACTTCGAACTCCTGGTCGGAGAACCTGTTCACAGAGGCGCGGGCATTGCTCCTGATCCGGAGCCGCTTTTCCTCGGACATGGAGAGGATGTGAGCCATGGTCTCAGCATAGTCTTCCTCGCTGTCTGCCAGAAACCCAGTGACTTCCCCTCCGTGAGGGACGACAATGTCAAGCTTCGGGCCCCCCGAGTTGTGCGCAAGGATAACGGTGCCCGCTGCCATGCACTCCACCACACCTGGGAAGAGACAAAACCACGCAGTCTTTAAGTTTTGGACATGTTCAAAAAGAACAGGAATGAGCAGAAATCTCTAAAAATTTTAAGAGACTTATGAGAAATTTAATTAGCATTGTCTCTTCAACACGGGGGGAATCTGGGGAGTGGACTTTTCCGCTGTTGTGGCATTTGAGTTCTTATTTGAAAACTAGGGATTGTACCACAATAATCTGTTCGAGGCTGGACTCCATTCCTTCATCCCTCCGAGACCTCAATCCATCAGTTCACCGCCTCCCTCCAGGATTTTCCACCTCTCCCTCCCTAGTGGCCTCGTAAAGTGACGATAACAAAAAAAAAGCGTGTGTGCACTAACACCCTCACTCTCTCTCCAGGCTCTAAGTCCTCCCCTGCTACTGTCTCTTCTTTCACCTCCCTTGCACTTGAACTTATGAAAAGCATGGTCTGCACAAACCCCACCGGCTCACCTGCACTCAACGCTCAACCCACCACAGTCCAACTCTTGCTCCTACGCCCCCACCAAACCACCCTTGCCCGGGGCGCCGGTGCCCTCTTCCTCTGGCCCAGCGTCTCGGAAGCACAGGGACTCACTGCCCTTTCCCGTCCTCCGCAGACTCTCTCTTCCCTTGGCTCCCAGGACACTGCACTGTGCTGCGTTCCTCCTCCATTTCTTCCCTTCTCCTCTGCCGGCCCCCTCCTCTGCCCGCCTCTGAGATGCTACCGTTCTCAGAGGTTTGTACCGTGGGCTGTAGGCAATCTTATCCGCATCCAAGGGGGCTGCAGTAACTACCTGGATGACAGCTGCTCCTCAGCGTGCGTTCCCAGATCAGGTCCCTCTCCCGTACTGCAGACTCATATAAATGAATGCCCGCTGGATGCACAGGCCCCTCAGCCAGCGCACACCCTACATGCTCGAACCTGGTGCCCCAACTGCCTCTCTCCGGGCTCCCTCTCTAGGTGGACGCACCATTCACACAACTGTCCGAAGTAAAACCCGAGGCAGTTGTTTCTGACTGCCCTTCGTCCGTCATTTAAAACGGCGCGTCAGGCACCAATCCTGTTCGACCCTTCTTCAGCACTTCGCTGCCGTGCTTGGAGTGCCGGAGCCCGCCATCCAGGCTGCTCAGCGGCCCCCATCTTCCTGCCTTTCTCGCCTTGCCCTTCCTGCTCCTCACCAGTCCATCCTCTGTATTGCAGCCACAGTGACGTTTAGGAAATGGAAAGCTTTCAAATCCAACACTTAAAATCTCTGCATCTCGTCCCACTGGATTAACATGGCCACATGAGCTGGCTGCAGGTCACTTCTCCACCGTCTCGCTGTTCCTCCGTCACTCTAGCTGCACTGAACTGCGGTCCTTGAACATGCCTGTCGGTGCTCCTTTTCTGATGCCTGTCGTCACTGTGGTGTGCCTGCCCTTTGCTGGCGGCCCTCCCCTCTTCTGCATGGCTAACTTCTAACTGCTGCTGAGGTCCCAGGTTGAGTGTCACATCATTTCCCAGGCCACTGTTCCCGGACCCCACGAGTCTGTGCCAGGTGTTCCTCTCTGTGCTTCCACAGCGCCCTGCACAGCCAGGGGCCACCTCGTCTGCACTGCTCACAGCTGTGAGCCACAGCTGACGCCAAGGACACTTCCTACTTGTCAGGCATTCCCGGCACCAGCCCAGCGCCCGGCGTGGTACGTGCTCCACACACTCGGGAAGTCAGCCTCCGTGCAGAAAGTCTGCTGTCAAGTTCTCCCTGTACGTCTGAGCGTAGGGCTGCGCTACTGACTAGGGGCAGAGAAGAGTACAAGAGAAATGGTAGCCTCAGCGTAGGAGGCTTCGCTTTTGTTCTTGTATTGCCCCAACACCTCACAGTGTGAGGCACAAGTAGGCACTTGTGACAAGCTGAACCAAATTAGACACAAAACAGTACTTGATTTTACACCGAAAATGTGTGCATAACGGGAAGTCCGAGGAGAGAGCAATTAGTGCTGGGACAAACAAGGCTACATTAAAGGGCAAGGAGACTGAAGCTGAACACTCATAATGGGATCTGGCAGGAAGAAAAGGGGAGGCCATTCCAAAACCGAGAACAGAATTAATGAACACAGCAAAGAAGTTCGGGGAGAAGGCCACCTGAAGTCAGTAGTTCTCAGCTTCTGGTGCAAACAGAATCACGGAAGCTGTACCAAGACACCCAGACCTGGGCCTCACTCAGAGAGTCGGACTGGGTCCCTCAGCAGGACGAGCAGGGCCTAGGAACCTGTCCCAGCCGTAGATGGGGGCAGGCGGGGAGAGGACTATGACGGCTAAGAGCAGGGGCCGCCTGCGTTGGAAGGTGGCCTCTACCTCTTTACTGTGTGACTGGACTTGGGCATGTTCTAAACCTCTGTCTGAGTTTATCCGTAAAACAGAAAAACTGCCAGAATGTTATCGCTTTATCCAAGCATGCTGAAGGACAGACTCACCAATCCCAAAATGCTCGTTCCACATGGTATGCAGACCGATCGTTCCTTCAGACAGGTAATTCTTGAGCTCATCAAACGGAATGTTTATTTTAAATTCCACATCTTCTTGAACACCCAGCTCCTCACAGAGCCTTCTCAGTTGGCTTACCCTAAGTTCATCATCCTGGTTCCGGCAACCTCCGATGAGGACAAGTTTGAGTGAAGGAAGGGACTCAGCCTTCTTCCTCTTCAACAATTTAGCGAAGGCCCTGATCTGCAAAGGATGGTTCTTTTCAGGCCTGAACTGGCCAACGGACACCAGTAAATGCCCCGGGGTTGTCTTTTTCTCCCGCAAGGGAATGTCCAGAAATGTCTGCACGTCACAAGGTGGGTACACAGTGTTGGTGCAATGCCCGACTTTCCACAGCAAGAGGATGTGGTTTAGCGTCCAAGAAGAATTGACCATGACCACATCACTGCAAGAACCCACGAGCCCGTAAATAAAAGCAAAGAAATAGTAGTACAGGAGCTTCCCGGTGCTGAGCACAGGGTTCCTGGTGATGAAGGCCGCATTATTAAACCCAACGTTGCGGCTCCTCACCACAGAGAGCATGTCAGTGCTGATCGTGGGGTAATGCACATAGCTTCCAACTCGGCAACCGCCTAAATACTTAAACAGAGGCAGCGTGAAAGCGTAGCCCATTGAATCGATGTAAACGTCGGGAACGCACTGCATCAGCGCTTCCCAGCCGAGCACAAGGGACCCCAGACTCTGGAGCAGCAGTGTGAAGTGAGGGTAGAGTGAGTCTTCCACCAGGTAGCGTTTCCTCAAGAAAACAAACGTCACCGGGTGAGTTAATCTGATGTTAAATCTTCTGAAAGCACCTTCTAGTATCTGCTCACCGCTGACGTTAACATCACCGGTATAAATGACATAAACCGCTGTAGGGTACCTAAGACAGAAGAGTTAAGAAATTCACTAGTTTAGGTTAAAATCAAGCCAGAAGTTGTAGACAGTTTTTTCCTCACAATCTTTGAAGTTTATTTTCAGACTGAAACAAATGTTTCCCACTGTTTTTCGTTCATCGCATTGGAACTACCGATCACCTTCTCTCCAGCCAACACGCAGAACGTTAATCTTTCAAGTGAGACTTTGAGTGTTTTGCTGCCTCCTCCACTAAGTGTTTCCCAGACACAAACAAAAGCTGCCAATTTATAAATGAGACGTTTACATCTTCAAGAATTAAAAAACTTTGACAACTTTCTCAGTATAAAATGGTAACAAAACATTAATAAAATACTCTCAACACGAATGAAAATTCACTAAAGATACCTTTGCATAGGACTGTAGATGCTAAAGCACTTCCCAGTGTTATCTGAGAAATGCAAGAGGGTTTTAAAAGCCAGACCTTGTGCCTGCATTGCAGTAAGATACATAATTATAATGCAAATATGTAAAGTATACTCTGGCGACTTTCTAATGCTTCGGCCTGCCTCTTGTTGTGTTCATAATTTTTTTAAGTCATAAAACATTAAATATCTAGTTATGAGCTACTGGAGTCTGGGGATTCAAGGATGAGAGTCCTTATCCTCAAGGAGCTCCATCCAGTCGAGAAAAGATACACAACCGCACAACTGCGTGGTACGTGTTGATAAAGAGCCGCACAATTCTGGGGAAGCCTAAAGGATGGGCACCTAGCTGCTCCTCCCTAGCCCCCTCCCGGCATCCAGAATGACCCTTTTAAAATGTGAAAAGGAATGTCATTTCTGGTAGCTTAACGACGGCCACAAAGTGTTTGACACTATTCCCATTAGGAGGTAGGCTGTAGGTCCCCTCCCTTGGAGCAACAGTGGGCTCTGTGACTGCTTTTACCAACAAAATATGGCCAAACTGCTCCGGTTTCTGGAGCAGGCCATGCAGCTTCTGTTTCACTCTAGGGCAGTCAGCTGTCACATAAGAAGCCCAACTATCCTGAGACTGCCATGGTGTGTGCAAGCCCAAGGTGGTCACCTGGAGAGGCTGCCAAGTAACAGGGATGCCCGCCCGCCCCCAGCCATTCCCAGTCCTCTTGACCCAGCTGCCATTTGTTGTGACTGTAACAGGAGTACGAGGGATTCCAAATAGGGCTCATCAGCCCCCATCACTATGAGAAATAACAATAAATTCTGAAGGCATTAAATGTTGAAGTGGTTTGTTATGCAGCAAGAGATAATCAGAATATCATCTCTTTGCTCAAAACTCTGGGGATGAAAAAGGTGATCTGATCTGTTCATAAATCCCTCACTGAGCAGGTCATGGTGGGTTTTCAGTCCTGCCTGCATCTTATTTACTAAAAGGCCTATCTTTCCCTACACAACCCCTGTCCACTGTGTCTGTATATCGAGGTCAATGCCTTTTTGAAACGCCTCTTTTCAGACGTCACCTTCTAAAGGGTGACCATCCTCAAGACAGCATATGACCTTTTAAAAGTATCCTCACCCGAGGATCTTTTATTATTGTATTATCCTATTTTAATTTCTCCCCTCACAGCACCCCTCACCATTTGATACTTTCTTCCTTTGCTTATTATCTTGTCTCTCGCCAATAAAACCCAAGGTCTGCAACAGGGACTTGGTCTGTCTTGTCCCCATTTACTTTCAACTCCTTTTACCTGAAACCGAGTGGGCCCCCCAAAATACTTCCAGGTCCAGTGAAAAGCATACTGTAGCTTATGCTGAGTCAGGAAAGACTTGTAGAAATTAACTGAAGAGAAAAAATTATTTGAAAAAAAGGGGGAACACTATATGGAAAGGCAAGGAATCTGGAGAACACGTGAGGCTCACTTCGCTTTGCTGGAGCAGCGGGCACACGAAGGGGGGAGGGTGGGAAACAAAATGCTGCACAAGCAACATGAGAAAGCACCTTCTGGGTCATTCTCACTGTCTGGGTTCTTTTTCTTGTCGACGGGTTAGGAATGACAGGGGTTGCTGGGGAGCGCATGTGCAGATCTAAAGCATTGCCACTGCCCTCAAGACGCAGCCAATCTCGTCAGAGAGCACAAAGGCACTCCGCAGAGTTATGAGCACAGTGCAGATCAAGGTGCAGAGGGCTTCAAGGAGGTGGGAATGAAGCTGGGATTTAAGAAAACTCTGTGGATTTAGGCACTTACAGAAGATGGAAGACGGGAGAGGAAGTACAGGGTGGTGGCTGTAAGCCAAGACGACCCAGCGACCCAGAACAGTAGAGGCACTGGAATTACCGGTGAAGGTTTGGAACTAAATGAAGGGCGCCTGCCTGGGAGCAGAATAGCCAGGGATGGATGGACAATGGTTTTTCTCATATGATAAAACAATAAATGGAACTTTCACTGACTGTGCCTTTTCTTTTTCTAAAAGAGAATCTAAATTCTAAGAGGGAAAAGTATTTTAGGGATGGGTATGAGGGAAAAAAGCCTAAAACATGAAACGATATGTATGTAACACCCTATTCGAAGATGGCAACGTTCTGAAAACTATCCAACCGATAATGCTGTCAGAACTAGAATCAAACAGATGCTTCGTAAAGATCATTTCGGGTGTGCCGCCACTGACCAAAGTCCTCCCCCACACTTTCTGTTTGGTTAAAAAGTGAATTCCTTATGGCCATGAATGCGGTGTTAGAGGAAGATGATTCTGGGTGACGGTTTTTTGAAAGGTGGTCACAATATGACAAATCAGCTAGACAGATGCATACCTACTTTTTCTGCAGGGCCCTCAGCGCGCACCACAGGACTCTCTCTCCCCCTCCACCAGCATTGCAGTACGGATGGAAGAAGGCAATCACCACTTTTTGGCCAGTTGGTGCTGAGGTTTTCTTTCTCTGTAGCATGACTCTGACTCTCCAAAGTATAAAGATCAAACACAAGCATAAAGTTCCACATACGATTAGCCCAGGGAAGAATAATGAGTAAAAAAACCTGAAACAAGAGGGAAAGATGAAACTTGATATAATGATATAATGCCCGTTAAACAAAAACAGGACTGGAAAGTACATATCCCCTTTACATATTATATATTAGTAAGAGAAAATTTTTATAGCTTGCAAGTCTGCTAGCGAAACACTCAATTATTAAAATTCTAATGTGACAAAATATCCAGTGATAAAGTGTAAGTCCCCTTGAATCCCAATCTCCACCGTAATGTTAGCAATTTGATGCATTTTCCTTCCTAATCAGCAGTGAAAATCAAGGCTGAGGTACCTTTCCCCTAATTCAGCATATGCATTACAGGATTAAAATAAATTTAATTATTAATCTCAACAAGACATTAGTAATAGCACCTGAGCATCAAAGTGACAATAGTAACCGCCCAAAATGTCTTCTTGAATGACTAATATTCCATTAGTTAAAGTTTGGGGAAACAGTACATCATTTTTATTCTCTCACTTCACAATAAGGGGAACAATTTTTGAGGTGAGAGGAATGGAATTTAAATTTCTCCATTTCTGTTCTGAGGTTTGCATTTCATCTGTTTACATGACCCTAAAATCACTGCCTCCCCTCATTTGCCTCTGAATGAGTTGCCAGAAGCCCACTGATGTCCCCCCTCATGCAGGCAGGAAGCTCACTCCTGCACTCCTACTGAAAGGTCCACTATTACTGCCAGGTCGGCCGAGGCTTCGCAAAGCCAAGGACCCAGCCTTGCTCACCGCCACATCCCATAATCTGGGCACAAGTATGTGTCGACTGAACGCAAAATTTTATTTCCTCTTCAGATGTCACTTAAATGACGTTGAAATAATTTCTCGTAATCTTTTAGTGTTTGTAATACCATGCCTACCCTTTATGAAGGATTTGAGGGGCTACCAAGTCACAAAAACAATAAAATACTAAAACTTAAATAGTAAAAAGTCAGGGGAAATACAGAGTCAGAGTGTGTTTCAGGGGAGAAGAGGCAGGCTGGTGGGGAACAGATATGCAGGCCCTGAGTCTGTACGCAGCACCATACAGGAGATGGGGCTTGGGCTGCCGAATGACCCAAGCAAATGTGGGCATGTATCGTGTAGTTCTGTAGTTTTCATTGTCATACGCAGAGAACACACAACTTCTTTGGAAAATAAGTACCTTCCTGATATTCAGTTTTGAAATAAATTGCTCATGTGGCATTTCCTTATTGTGATCAAGCCCTTTACTTGAAGAGGTATTTCACTTGTTAAAATGATTTGGACTCAGGATAACTCTGTATTCTTAAAAATTACCGAGGGCCCCATATAGCTCTTGTTTAACATCAGGTTTTCCCAATTCTGACACTGTAGACATTTTGAACCAGATAATTCTTTGTTGTGGAGGCTGTCCTAAGCAGTAGGGGATGTTTAGCCATATCCCAGGCCTTGATCCCCCGGATGCTGGTGACACCGTGCCAATCAAAATCACCTTCAGACACTGGTAAATGACCCTCAGGGACAAAACCGCCCCCACTGAGAACCACTGACTTACAGTGATTTTATCTAGCAATATTTAGCATATTAGGAATGAAAGCTGATAAATTACAAACACATATGAATTCATTTAAAAATGACAAATCCATTACTTGTTAACATTTTTATTTTAAAGAACCTTGTATTTTTCCAAACCAAAAAAGAAAACTGAGTAAGGATGTCACTGTTTAAGTTTTACAAATCTCTTTGATGTCTGGCTTAACAGAAGACAGTGGCTTCTTGGATCTGCTTCTGCATTCAACCTGATACGTTGTTTTATTGAAGTGTATAAAGAAAATACAGTCTCGGGTATATAGGAAAGGGAGAATATTCCAACAGCCTTTTCAGAGAGTTAGGGATATTTTTCTGTGATATTATACCAAATTCAAAAAGCGAGTCATTCGCTCAGCAAACATTTATTCAGCCATCACTATGTGCAAAGCATCGAGTTAGGGATATTTCAAATGACAGGGAAGAACATGAAGGCTCTGAAAACAGACTTTCCTGTTCAAAATGTTTTAAAAAATCATTACAGAATTTGAAGTACAAGGGACAAAAATGAGCAATACCTGAATTTTGGAGAGAATATGTAAATACTGCTATTCAGGATGCTATTCTGTGAATTACAAAATTTCAACTTGAACTAAAAGGGCGGGGCAAAAGTAGGTTCATAGGTGTGAGCACGTAAAACAATTTCTTCTTATACTATTAGGTAGTAATTACTGCATTATTTTTCATTTGCACAACCGTAAACCTCCTTTTGCCCACCCCATATGGTAGGTGTTAAAAGGACTGGTTAAGTAGAATAGACTAGGTTTTCTAGTTTTATTGGTGTAGGGCAAGACAAATAAAATACCGCACTAGTTCAACAACAAATGTGGGGAAAAAAGTCTAGGAGTTTTCCAAACGTTAACAGTCATTATCTCCGAGGGCAGCATTCCTGGCAAATTTTCATTTCTGCTCATTTTCTAATTTTTCTGCAAGAAACCACTTATTACTTATGTAATAGAGATAAATGTAGTAACATTTTATATAACTATTCTTACATTAACCATAAACAAAGATCAGTGGACGACCAAGAAGCAGGGGATTCAACAAAAACGTTGTATTTAAGTAATTTACGTTAACGTGAAAGAGAAACTAACTCGTGAGAAGGAAGATCCCTTTTCTTTACCAAAAGACAGACACGACTGATTGGAAAATGAGAAACAGATAGGAATAATTTAATAGATAAATGGAGTGCAAACAAGAGAAGGAAAAAGTTGAAAAAGGGAGGGCAACTCAATCCTTCAGCCAGCAATGGGGCAGACGAAGAAAAGGCAGTAAACTGAGTCTTTAACCCAGCCGGCTCCGGTCTACCACGAAGCGCTCACTGGCCTTAAGAAAATAAGGTACATTCGTGACAAGGAAAGTGCTTCCCCGCAAACTTCAATTGCGCAGACGGACAAGTACCCCCGCAAAACAGAAACCTGCGAGCCCACACCACCAACTGCTCACCTGAGTAAATCGCACCAACCCCTTGCGGCGGCCGCCATCTTTAGTCGACCCTTGGATTCAGGAAGCGTTTTGCTATTTCTCTTTTCTATTGGCTACTGAAGAAGCGTGCGCTGTTTCCCCGCCTTCAAAGGGCCGATTCTACGTTTTAATTGGTTTATGATTGCAGCTTCCCACGGCCTTTCAGCCAGTAGAATCCCTAGGGGTGTGGCCAACGTTTTGGCGTGTAACACTCCGGTTGCTCGGACCGTGGGCGGGGCTGTAGCGGGAGGCGAGATGGAGGGGGCGTGGCCGGTGATGGAAGGCTGGTTCTCCCGCCCTTGGTCCTCCTCCCCCACTGGAACCCCTGGCTCTGGGGACCCGGCCCCTGGCTCAGAGCCTGCCACCCGTTGGAGACCAATGGGAGGTCCTTGCATGTCTCGCATCGATTTTCCAGGCACTGAGTTCACACCGGAGGTGGCTGCGGCGTGTGAGGACCGCGGTTCCCCGGAGTCAAGCGCGGAGTGGGAGCGCGGACCCCGCGCGGGCGCCCGCTACACCGCACTTCCCGGTGCCGCGGTGGGCAAGCCTTGGGATCGACAGCTCTGGCCCCGGTCCGCGAGGCTCGCCCGCCCCCCTTCCCTCCCCAGCACACGCCGGAGCTGAAGACCGGGTCCGACGCGCAGCGACTCGAGGTAGCGGAGATGCGGGAGGGAGGATGGGCTCCTTTAGGGGTCCCGGCTCGCCCGAGGCATCAGCAGGCCGGCCTCCCGGTGTGGTTGTGGGTGAGGGTCTGAGGCCCACCCTCCGGTCTCGCTCTTTTGCCTGAGTGCCCAACGGCCAGGGGTACGATGACACGCAACTTTGAATTAATCGGTAGGGAGAGGGCAGCCGATCCCCTTGTCCGAAATGCAAGGGCGGGTTCCCAGGCCCCGCCTCGGGTTAGAGCCGAACAGAAAAGATGCCGTCCACACCCCGCACCTCGTCTTTCTGGATTTTAACACCGCGCTGCCTTTTCACTAACCAGGTGACCTTTGGGCTGCGGAGTGGATCACAGAAGAAATTGGTTTCTCCGGGAGAAGATGCCTGAGCAGGAGCGGCAGATGACAGCTAGAGAAGGGGCCAGTAGGAAAGTAAGTTTCCTCCCCCCACCCCACCGTGCGGTGTGGGCACACTACCCGGAGGGCTTCCCGAGTCCACCTGCTCACCTGCGTCCTCACTCCGCTCCTGGGGGTTCGCTGGGGAGGCGGTGCGCCACAGCCCTACCCCCTGAAGAGTCAGGTCTGAAAGGGCATGGCTTTACCTGAACTGGTTTTCGGGAACCATTTAAAACCGGGAACTTCCCCACCGGTCTTTATATTGGGGAGGTTAAGTGAGTATTGAGTTGCTGGGTAAGAGCCCTAACTGCTCAAGACGATGAAATCAGTCACCTGCAGAAGACATGCAGAGTTGGTGCCGTGGCCCCTTTTTGGTCTCTCCAAGTCCTGCAGCTTTTTTTTTTTTTTTTAAGAGTTATTTCCAATTCATTTTCCTTAGACAAGAAACATTATTATTAGTACAGTCTCTTAAAGTTCGAACAGTACAGGAATATTTAGCATGAAAAGAAGATCAATTTTCTAATCCTTTTGGATTTATGTCCATATGTCTTTGTTCGTTCAGCAAATATTTATTGAATGCTTACCAAGTTTCAGGCAGTGTTGAGCTGAGAATGCATACATATCATATGTATAATATACATATCCAGAGAAATCTTTAGGTTTTGTGCAATTTTGAGCATTCAAAATTTTTGCTTTATACAAATGAGATCAGGTAATGTGTGTTCTCCAATCTTTTCCCCCCTGTATAACAATTTATTTTGGAGATTGTTTCGTGTTAATACATAAGCGTCTGTTGTGTATATTTTAACCTCCGCACAGTATGGAGGCATCTTAATTGTGTTTACTGTTGACCAGTGGGTGGACATCCTGTTTGCTTCTTCCTCACCCCACCTCCCCATAACAAGCCAGGCTGTAGTAGACATCGTTGTGCACAATTTATAATGCTGACACTTAAGCATTTCTTTACAACAGACACATAAGCCTAGTTTGCTGATCTGAAGAGTAGGCTGTACCTTTTCTATGGATTCCTGAAATTAATTCAACATTATTGCATGTCTTGTAGTAAAATTTGTCTAGGCTCTGGTGGTGTAGAAATGAAATCTTGTGGATTGATGGGTGGGTGGTCTGGTCAACCGATGATTCTTAGTGTGATGACTCGGCATCTGATGGAGGTATGAGGAGCACACGCGTGGGGGAGGGCTGGCCTGCACAGAAGGGGAGAGCTTGTCAACGCTGGCACTGACCCCACCTCTCCACCCATCAGAAAAATCTTCAGCCTTCCAGATCAAGCTTAAGACCTGCCTCTTCCCCGAAACTTTGTAACTGCCTCTGCGCACGGTGGCCTCATCCTCTTCTGGATTCCTTTGATAACAGTAGTAGCCGACATTACTGAGCTTATTCCGCAGGAGGCTCCGCTGTGCCTCCTTCCCTGTGGAGCTGTCTTCTCCGTAGAGCAAGTTGGCTGTCCGGGCTCCTCAGTGTCCAGTGTCAGAAACCAGCGACAGTCCTAAGGGCAGCAGGAGGCATAGTTGGAGTAACTGTCGGGGGCGGGGGGGGGGGGGCGCTGGATTTCAGACGCTTGTTTACCTGACATCCGCTTTCTTTTCCATGGCAAAGACGGAGGCAGCCCTGCCACATGTTCTGCATTGATTCCATAGCATAGGAATCAAGGAAGTGTCCGCATTCAGATGTGGGCAACATTAGTCTCATCTCTGGGATGGGCATTATTGCCGAGTGAAAATCTGCAATGTCTGTGGGTTTTCCTTCCTTTCTTTTTTTTTAAACTAAGTTAAAGGAAAACGTCTGAACTGATCAAAGGTTGATGAGATAAAATAGAGGACAAAGCAGAGAGTGATGTAACTAACACAGCAAATAAGACTTTAAAAACAGGAGCCATTGTGCAATCTGCTTTTGGAATGTAAAAGGTTTTTCTGTTTGTTTTTTAAAAAACTCAGTTCCTCTAGAGACTAAAAATTACAATGCACTGGGTATTAGAAATGTTTCAACTTGTTTTAAAAAATTGTTATTATTAAAAAAACTGTACTTGAAAAATAACTAAATAATTTTTTTAAATTAAAAAAATTGTTATTATAAAAGCAAGTTAACTCCATAATGAAAGTTTGGAAATAAAGACCAAAGGGGGAAAATTTACTTTTTTTCCAACCACTCTCAGAATGGCTGTTGTCCACATGCCTGTAAAAGTCCTTCATTGTTTGCTTTTGTTGCATCTAGTTATTAAGTTTCAGAAATAAAAAATATATCCTTGCCATGCAAAGATAACCAAAATTAGCCAGTATCTTTGGTCCAGTCTCTCCTTTCCGTGCAGGGGGGCCCCTGAGTCCCCAGCCCCGTCCCTCTGGCCAGCAGCCTTCTCCACTCCTCCAGCAGGGGGAGACACTTGCTAGGGGAATTCAGGCAGTGGAGTGGCTGGCTCTGCTAGCATTTTCTGGTTGTCCTTGCAAATGCATTTTACTTGTTCCTTCTTAACTTCCTGTGCCTCTTACAAACCATCACCACTTGCAGCAAGCCTTGGGCTCAACCCCTGCCCCCTCTTATTCTCAACAAATGAAACAACCTGAGTCTGACCGTGAGAAAATTTGACACCATTATGTTTGAGTTTCTTCAACACTCTGCCTGTCTCTACCCACCTTGTCCCCAGATTTTACTTGGAGGTGCAAACCCTGGTCCCAGGACAGGGCTGCCTTCTTTTGAAGAGCCTCCTCATGAGCCCTGACATGCAGCTGCTGCTTGTGTTTCACGGGCCAGAACTTTGCAGAAGTTTTCAGCACTTTAAGCTTAGACGACTGTATGTTGTGTAAAACTCTAGCTTCTTGTGTTTAGAATTGTCGATGTAAGAAATGTCCAAACCTATCGACAGTTTTTATGGGTTTATTTGAGCCAATCTGATAGCAATTCGTGGGAAGCAAAACCTCAACAGATTGAGAAAATGCTCCAGAGAATGGCAGTTTGCTGCTGTTCACTTTGTACCTTACAGTCGGAGGAGGAGACGTCAAGAGAGTTACATGAAATTCTTTGGTGGCAGATTAGGGAGGTGGGTGAAAGCAAAGCAGGGAAGTCTCTGGGATTGGATAAAGAGTAAAATGAAGAAACAAATACTTCTTTCGCATTGGTGGGTGCAGGAGAGTTAACAGTGAACACTTATAGCACGTGAGGGCCACAAGGTAACAGTGAGGGGCTCCTTGTGAAACCGAAAAGTCGGCCTTCGCGATGCCTGGCACCACCGGGACCAATAAGCAGAGACGGGGGTCGAGTCTTTGTGGACACTTTATTCAGATGGCCAGCCATCTGAGAGGACGGTGGGTTTGTACCCGAACAGACCGTCTTAAATTCTATTTTAAACTGACCCTTTTGATAAGGAGAAGAAGAGTGTAGGTTAGGGGTTTGGAATTCAGGGGAAAGTTAAACAGATGGAGAGCCGCAGCCTTCATCTGTGCCCTGGGTGGTGGGCATCTCACCCTGGAGCACAGCAGCTCAGGTGCCTTCTTGAGGGTGTGCAGTCCTCCGGAGGCACAAAGGTGGAAGTGCCTCTGGTCTCCTGGAGTCTGGGGGGTCGGTCCTACCTTCAGTTCCTGAAACAATAGCTTTTAACATGCCTTAATTGCTAAACTTATTAGGTATTATCCGAAACTAAAATTTTTCCAACATCTGAGTCCCCTGTCATATTTCAAATAATGATTTGCAAGCCAGGAACGTGCCCCTGGCATGAACTGAGAATACGCTCCAAAATGGAGGAGATGGAACAAGGTTTTTAGAGGCACAAGTTGTAAGGAAGGAGCTGATGATCTAAGAGCTGTGTCCTGGGGAAACAAGACCGCACACGGAGCTGACTCAGTGGTCAAGCAAGTAGGGTTTTGAGGCAAGAACAATGGGTAGTATATGATCGAGCACTTAGTAAAGCCCTGGTTTTAGCGCAGGCCTTTAGAACAAAAAGGCAATGTTAGGGGGGTTTTTTCCTCCATCACACAGTTATAGTACAGGGATTGTTATTTCTCAGGGGTCATGCAAGGAATACGATTTATCAGACAGGACAGTGAGCCCAGGCGAGCTGTGTGCTCTGCAGGCGGTTTCAGAGCCAAAAGGGCAAAGCCGAGCCTTGCAAGCAGTTTCAGAGCTGAAGCTGCCAAAATCCAAATGTTGGGCCACAGGTTACTATGTTAAAGTTGTTACGAAGTACTCCCCTGCTCATTTAGGTCATTATGCCCGCTCTTGGCAGTGTTGGAGTTTAGACTCCTGGCTCGGAGGGCAAGAAAAAGGGGTAAGTGAAGGGAGGGGAGGGCCAGCGCTGCATGGGGCATCTTCAGAATGAAATGTTGAACATTCATCTGAAAGTTTAGTGTTTTATAGCACTGATCACGTTCTGATCTGTGTTTATAGCAGACAAATACGTTTTTGTTAGGCATTCTCTGCCATTGATTCACTCACTAAATGTTTATTGAGAAACTTAAGTATAAGCACCATGTGAGTGCTGGGAATGCAGCTCCGAGGGAAGAAAATACGGAAATGCTGCACTTGTGAATCTTACATCCTGATTGGGAGACAATAAACAAACAAGCGAAATATATATCTTTTATCAGATGGTAGTTGAGTGTTCTGGGGAAATTAATTAGGAAAGGATACCATAGTGAGTGGGGAATGTTTGAAATGTAAACAGGGTAATGAGAGGAAGCCACTGAGATCTGAGCAGACCCTGAGGAGCTGAGGAAGGGGGTGGTCTCAGTATGGGGTGTTGGGAAAGGAACGGTTCTAAACCAGGAAGCAGCCAGTACAAAGGCCCTGAGGCAGGCGCGGGCCTTGCTTTGTTCCAGGAACCAAAAGATCAGAGTGGTTTTAGCAGAGTGAGCGAGAATGAGGGGTGTGAGGATAGGTGGAAACCTAATGATGGGGCAGATTCTAGAAGGTTCTCTAGGTCATTTGAAGGAATTTAGGTTTCACTCCAAGTATAAGGAACTGCCCCAGGGGGGTTTTGGAGAGTTGTCCTTATCTGACTTCCTTTTAAGGGCATTTCCCAGTTTCGA